ATAAAACAAAATCAATGTTATTGGAAGTAAAGTATGAAGAGGATTCTAAAATTAACTTATTGTAAAGAGTTAACTTAGATACAGGGAGGTAGAAAAAATTAAGGAAATTCATAAAAAAAAAAACTCTACATTTATGAATTTACCAAATAATCTTAAGAGTTGATTACTAGCAAATGCTAATTCATTTCAAAAGGAAATTTAGACTTTTGCATTTATATGAATTTCATGAAATAAACTTTAGTGATATCTTGGAAAGTAAACCTAATACAGATCTGAAGAGAAGACTGGAACAATAATTAGAGAGGACACGAAAAGATGCAGAAGGAGATTATATGGAGTTATGATTTCTGAAATCAATAATAATAACTATTATCATAATAATATCAGATATATGTAATATGGTTTTTAATAGTTTATATAGCCAATTAATTGTATCATTCTTCATTTATTGTGCTAGTTAAAAAAAGAAAGCTTTCTCAAAACAGTCATTTGATTTTGGGATTATATGGTTTTTGAATTTTCAAAATCATTTTGGATTTTCTTAGGTTTATTTTCATAAAGTTGTAGAAACATGTAGATTTATAATTTGAAAACTATATTTATTGTTAAATATTGTATTATGAAATTTTACCTTAAAGGTGGATCAACTTAAAAGCTAATACATACAACATAATATGAATTTATTAAAATCATTTTGTGAATATCAAATAGTTCAATATATTTAAAATAAAGATTTTATTAACTACAAATCGGGTTTTAGAAAAAATGATAGTTAATAATGAAAACAAATATATAATATGTTTAAATTAACTGAAAAGAATAAGAATGTGTAGATAAAGAAATTAAAAGAACTTAGTATAAATGGAAAAGTATAGGGAAATATATTAGATTTATGAAATCATAAATACCAATTTTGTTTTTATTATGAAAATCAAGAAAATTGATGGAAAAAAAGATGAAAACAAAAATAAATAAATATTATAAAAATATGGAATTATAGTTGAAAAAGTTTATTGGAAATATTTATTAATTTATAGGTAAATATGTAACATATTTAGCAATAGTTTTTATATGTATCTGTTATTAACTAGAATTAAAGCATTTTCATAATAAATGATGAAATAATCTTACAATAATTGTTGAATTTTAATAAACAGATTGCTTTTAATAACCAATTTTGATAAATTATTCCTAAGTAATTTTTATTAGACTCAAAAATCACGAATAACGCCCACAAAAATCACAAGGAGGAATAATCCCTTTGTCATATCGATAATATATGATGACTAATTTATATTCATCCTTAAACATCAACTTGCCTCGAAAATATGAGAAATATTGAATCTTAGGCATTTCATGTTGATTTTTGTGTTCTATATTTTCTTTATTATCCATTTTGATAGACAATATTAAAAGTTTCTATTTTTCAGAACAGGCTATTTTTAATTGTTGTATTCGTAGAGATTAATTCAAAATAGATTGTGATTAATGTTTGCCTTTATAAAAATATTTGTTTATTGATATTTTGAATGATGCTTAATTTTGTTAGATATCCTGCTATCTGGATTTTTGTGTTATGGTTTCTCACATCAAAGATTTTCTATCAATATTGGTCTTATTGTAATTATCTTAATGTAATCGAGATGAATTAATTGATAAAATAGTGAGTTGATATTATACAACGATGACATCAACGATCATTATATGAATCAATAAAATAAATAATGAAATTAGAATAATAAAATGAGAAATTTGATTTTTTTGGTATTGATATTGAATTCAATATTGTGCTTAAATCCAATAGATGATGAAGTAAAGGAATGGCCGTTTTATCCAGAGTATAATTTTAAAACTTACAGCGGATTTGTTGAGATATATGAAGGGAAATAGTATAAATACTGATTAAGTTTAGGAAAATCCATTATATATTTATGGAAAGCATTGAAAGTCCTGAGAATAAACCACTGATTGTATGGTATGGAGGCGGGCCAGGATGTTCTTGTATGTTGGGTTTGATTTCAGAAATAGGACCTTATGTGAGAGAAAAATTTAGTTAAGAATTTGTCTATACTTAAAATCCATATACCTTACACAAATTGGCAAATATATTATATTTAGACATTCCTGCTGGGGTTGGGTATTCGGAGCTCCACGATGAAGATTATGAGTGGAGTGATACTAATACAGGAAAAGATTCCTACGAAGCCATAAGGACTTGGCTAGATGGATTTTAGGATTACAAAGACAGAGAAATGTGGATTGGAGGAGAATCGTATTCAGGTAGAATTATGATCAATTTTTTTAGGGATGTATGTTCCTTGTACTGCAGAAGTAATTGTAAATAAAAACAAGGAAGGATAAAATAGAATAAACTTGAAAGGAATACTTGTAGGAAATGGTGTTTTGGTTAACGATGATGACTTTTTTGATTTATGGAATAGAGAATATATGGTAAAAAGAAATTTCTACGATATTGTTACATAAAATGTTATGCATAATTCATGTTTGAGATCACCTCAATCTGCAAGTTGTTAGAAAGCATTGGAGACATAAGCAATAGTAATGAAAGATTTAAATCCTTACGATGTATATGGATATTGTTATGGAGATTCCTCAATCGAATAGAAAGGAAAGTATAGAACAATTCGGGACTCTGAAGAAGCCCCATGCATTGATGTTGGACCCTTAAACAATTTCTTTAATAATCCAGAAGTAAAGAGTAAATTGAGAATCCCAGAGGAGAGAACTTGGGAAGCTTGTAGTATGGAAGTTTTTTTTGGATTTAACAGAGATAAGGATAGTCATGTATTGATGAAATATCTGTTTGAAAATGGAATAAAAATACTTCAATACTCTGGAAATTCGGATGATATTGTAAGCATTGATTACACTCTTGCATCCTTGAAACTAATTGATGGTATTACATTAATATCAAGAACACCTTTCGCAAATAAGGAGACCAAATAATTGGCTGGGTGGATCATGGAGTACAACTATTTAACTCTGTATATCATCAGAGGTGCAGGTCATTTGGTTCCTTATGATTAAAGGGCTAATGCTTTCCAAATGTTCCAAGAATTTATTAGCAGATAATGATAAGTTAATTCTAATATTAAGTGATAATTTTTTTATAAATATTTTTCATTAATTACAAAAATTTTGTCTAATTATTATTTTCTTTTATAGAAAAGCACAACAATATTTTGCCAAAATTTTTCAAGCATATAGTAGCAAGGAATTTAGTTTTCAGTAGAAAAATGTTTTCTAAAATAAAATGTCCAACATGAATTTAGGTAAAAAGAAAACTGAGACGATCTGATAATGCTTTTAGCATTAAATAAATATAATTAATTAACGTTATGACTTCCTACAGTATTAATATAATACTGAGAATTAAAGTAAATTAATCTTCAGATCCATGTAAGAATAGAAGGTCAAAGTTAATTTTCAATACTAAATACAAAGTCATATTATTATATTTTAGTAAATTGTGAATCTGATGATATATTATAAATTAGATTGTGATGAAATTTTTATAATAAATTCATTCTCATATAAGCCAAAAAAATCCATGAATCCTCCTATGTATTTTCCCAAGAGATATTTGCAAGAATGGGTAATAATTTCATCTCTTAAAATATTTTATAAATGATTTACTCTTATTTCGAATGCAATTCAATTCAATCACCATCCTTATATCCATTTTCATTGTATTCTCCTCCGCTTCTTTATTTAAAGATTGATATTACATTCTTTTATAAAAGTATCAATCTGTTTCTTTATATTAAATATTTCATCTTCCTTATTTAATTCCATCCCTCTATTCTCCAGCAAGTATGAACTAAAAATTTCTTCTAATTAAATTAATAAATGATAAATACCCATTAGTATTCTCATTTATCTCAAACCATTTCTCATATTTTAATCCATAAACATCATTAGATCCCCCGCTTCTAAATTAGAAATATTTATTAATTTTACAATTATAGAGATCTATATTATAAAAGATAGTAAAATATATATAATTAATATTTAGAATTTAGCTAAGGATTTTGAGAATACTTTTAGGCACAAATAAACCTGAATTTATTAATCAGAAATATGTGACTAGAGATATATAATTGAGATTGAATTTTAATGTTTTTAATTAACAAAATCCATATTGCACAAACTCTCATTGTTTCAAAATCGTATTTTGAATGAATTATATGATAAAAAAATAATAATGAAATTTGTATATACATTCATTCTATACCTAGCTGTAGTGCAATGTAGTAATTCTTTTACATTTCAAATAAATTCTGGAGATTTAAGTAGAACAACTTTGGAATTCTTTGCTAATCACCCAGTTTATTAATTGAGTCTCAGATGCGATGTAATTAATAATTTACAATACTAAGGGCTACTAATCTGACCTTTGGTTAGCATACAACTACACTAATTTGGTTGTAACTCCATCACAAAGATAACAGTATAAATGTTCTGATAAGAACTTCACTATTACTTTATCGAATGATTTTACAGATGAATATGCTACTATCTAAGTCAACAATTACAACAACTCTATGAGAATTCAAAGTTATGATTTCTTAACTAATACCTAATCTTCATATAAGACTGCTTTGACTGTTAATAAAGCAACCACTTAAGGCCTCTACTACACTTTGAATGACTTCAGTTTGTAGGTATCTTATCCATCTACTGTGTATGTTGAAATTCTGAAATGCCCAACTTCTAGATCCAAAATTGAAGCTAAGACATATGATTAGTTTGGGCTATATAGAAATTTATCAGGAACTAACAACAATAAATTCTTCTATGATGTTTTTAATACAACCAACGGAAGTTTTTACTATAGATTAGAATAAATGAATTACGAATCCCCTGATGTTTTTATTAAAGTAAATAATTAATCTACAAAATTAGTACCAAAGAGCATAATTATAGGATTTAAAGGAAATAAATACTTATATTACAAATTACTATCTAACACCTTCTGCTGAAGTAAAAGGGGATAAAATATTTATCAGGTTTCCAGCTTTTTAAGTCTAGAATTATGAATAAATTGAACTTCGTGTAACAGTTGGTTATGATGGTTCAGAGTAAAGGGAGATAATTTGTGCTTATGGAGATACTGATATTTGGAGGCAATACAATTCCTATTATACAAGCACATACAATGTATCATATAGCACGTATGGAATCAATGAATTGGTTACAGATTTTCCAGGCTACACGTAAGGAAAGTACAATATTCGAACGACTGCTATAATCAATTTTGGAACCATTAAATAAACTATTCCATTGCAAACCATTTCAGTTTATAGAAATTTATATGCACCAGCTGGATCATTATTGGTTCATATTTTGGCTCCAATAATAATTTCTGTCTTAGCTTTGTTTGGATTGATCGTCGGAGGTTGTAAATATAAGAAGAAGAAGGATCTGTATTTATAAGAATAATAATTGGCATAATTGCAACAGCAACATTAAATACAGAATCCTTATATAGGTATCTAATGAAGACATATTTGAGTAATTTATATAAAATTTATTTATTTAACTCTATAATAGATTTATCTCTAATCGCATATTATTCATTTCTTTTACAAAATATTCTCCAACTTTTAAATTTCATTTTTTATTTCTTTATAAAGTTTATATTCTTTTTCTACTGGAGCAATATCTTTATGAAATCTAATTCTTCTATTGTGGGTGGTTGTGAATTCATTTTAAAAGTTATTCAGTTTCTCTCTCAATTCTGCTCTTGTTTTCTTTAAATCTTCTATTCTTTTTTGAATTTCTCCTTAGGTACTATTTGTTGATTGCTTGTAAGTTGGAATTTGAATTCCTGGATTTTGAGCAACTTTGTCAATTTGTTATTTCAATTTTTTATAGTAAATGTATAAGGGTCTCATTGGTTCTTTTTCATTTCTTAATGGAAATCTATTGAAAATTGATTAAAAATTGGCATCATAAAACTTGAGTTCATTTTTTACTCGTTTCTTTTCATTCGAAAGTTAATCCATAGACATCATTTCTAAATCTCTTTTAGTTAATTTTGCTAAATCTATATTCAATCTATAATATCAATAGCATCTTACTTAGTTAATGATTCTTACAGTTTTTACGGGCCAATTATATTAACCCATTATTCTATTGTTGGAGGATTGGATAATTTTTATTGTGGTTGTTCAAATTTTGGTTGATCAGATTGGATAGAAGATATAGAAGTTTAAGATGTGTTATTTGAATTCTTTTAGTAATTATCATAAACTGGATTGGGTTTCTTAAAATTATACACAACTCTTGGATTAAAAAGTTTACCAACTGTTTCTGATAGCAATTCATTTAGTATATCGATTTCCATTTTTTAATTATTACTTTTAGATAGTTCGACAAAAAATTCAAATGTTACCTCTAAAAATTGGAATGATATCATCAATAACTGAAACCATTAAATACAATATTAATAGATTATTATCTAAAAACACAAATATAATTCCTTTATTACTTCCATTGATACACTCAATTAAGTGGAGTTAGATCAAAATTGATAATCTGCGTAGTTAATGAATAAAAGAATACTTAATTAAGTGTTTATAAATATTTAATGAAGGAAATAAAGAGTTGCCTTGTTGAAGATTATGATAATATTATTAATGAGAATGTAAATGAAATATTATTAATTTTATTTATTATAAAATGAATGTATATTGTTAAATGGCAGGGTATCATCAAGGTATTATATGTAAATAAAGGTGAAGATGAGCCTTTAGAATTATTATGTATGAATCCAGAATGCATTTCTATGAACAAAGTTTTGAATTGTGTTTCATGTATCGAGGAAAATCATATAGGACATTAAGTGATTCACTATAAAAAGTTCATTAATCTACTGCAAAAATAAGGGAATAGTTTATTAAATGAGATCGTAATATTTTCATATATTGTCATAGGAATTTAGATTTTAGGAATCTACGGTGTAAAATGATTTAGTGTGCAAACTAAAAAACTTAATTAAGCAATTAACAGAATTATCAGACATAGTAAATGATGCCATTCATAAATAGAAGGATATGTTAGAAAGGAAATTGTAGTATTATGAATGTAAGTAGTTTTGTTGAATTTGTTTAGAATTTTCTTGTGTGCTGCCTACTTAAGATACCTTTAATAGAGCTATTAAATAGCATGACTAAAATTTGATTTAGAAGTTGATGAGTTAGTTTTTTTAGAAGGTTGAATACAATACAAAAAGATAGGAGTTTTTGGTAAGAAATAATTATATTTTGGATGCCGCAGAAGAAACTGATGGGGAAAATCTGTTATTTAGAAAACTTAAGGATGTAATGAATACCTTCAGGAGCGATGTAGAAATGAATTATTAAACCCAAGTTTCATAATAAAGTAATAGCCACTTATAAAAAAAACTTTCTTAAACTAATAATGAGTTTAAGCAATCTCATCAACAATTACCAAGTTATAAAAAGATCACAGCTATTGAAAAATCTCCAGGATCTCCAGATGATAGAATTTCTGTTAGTCAATCTTTGAGTCAATTTTACTATAAACCTAATAATATGAAAAAACGAATAGGATAATAGATGTCTTTGGTAGAGACTTCAAATACTTTTAGTACAACACATTCATTCCATTCAGAATGCTTTGGATAGGGATTGTAAGTAACATCTAAATAAGTAAAATTAATTTTAGATTGTGATAAAAGTATTGCATTCATTAAGCCATCCATATATGGAAGTGGATTAGCAAGAGAGTAAAGAGTAACCCTTGTTATCAAAGTATGTAGAAATTCAAATCAAAGATATCCTATGGCAGTAGGAATTTGTGATCAATAGAAATTACAAGAAAATAATTTCGTTTTTACAGGATCAGCAGAGCATATGCCAGGATCAAATAATAAAGATCATGGATGTTATCTACTTAATTCAAATGGATATATTAGATCGATGACAGGATCAGACATGATCAGGAGTTCACCTAATTTAAGATTCTATAGTAACTCTACTTTAGAATTAACATTCAAGCCATTTCACAAATAATTAATAATAAACAGAGATTAATAAGTGCAGACTACTATCCCTTTAGAATTTTATAAAGATTAGAAACTTTTCTTTTGTGTAAGATTAGCAGATCTGCATGATTGTATTGAAATATTATGAATAATATTAATATATAATAAAGTATTGAATAAGAAATAATGAATAAATTATAAATTTAATGAATTATGTAAAATTTCAAGAGGATGTAGATGATGGGATTGAACCTGATGAGCATTCATCAAAGATAGATTTACAAGAACTGTCATTAATAATTGATTTAACTTAACTAGAAGGATTTAACATATTTCAATCAATTTATGCTATACATTTTAAAGGGTTTAGTAGAATTTAAGATGCTGCAATATATCTCTAACATGATGAAACTCACAGATATGTTTAATCGAGTAACAATTGTGGAGTTTGCAATAAAGGTAGGTAGTTTCATCTGATGATTGATGAAAATAGTGAGAAGTTAGTAGCAAAAATAATCAGAATAATAGATATAATATACGATAATTAATAATGTTGTGTATGTTATTTGATGTATTTGGACAAAGATTTGGTTCATCTAAATTCAGAAAAACACATGATTTGCTTAAATTGCTTTTACAATTATTTAAGGCAATCAATAGAAGATAGAAAAATCAACAATATTAAATGTCCCCATTGTGATATTCCAATTAGAGATATTGATGTCCTGGAACATTCACAAGAACTTTATAAGAAATACATAAAGTTACATCAAAACTTGGAAATTGCTATGAATCCCAACAAAGCTTGGTGTCCTACTATAAATTGCAATAGTGTAATAGAATTTAAACAATAATCAACCGTATCTACTTGTCCTTATTGTAAAATTGAAGTTTGCAAACGATGCAAACAAAGAGCACATCCACTTCAAAGTTGTGAAGAGAACTTATAATAAGTTTTAAATGAGTGGTAAGAAAATAGAGATACATAATAATGTCCAAGATGCAAAATTATAGTTGAGAAGATTAATGGGTGTAATCATATGACTTGTTAGTTTTGTTAACATGAATGGTGTTGGATTTGCGGGAGCGATTATACATCTATTCATTATGCAATATTCAATCCTTTTGGTTGTCCTGCCTTGATGCCAGGATGGATTCGATAAAAAGATTGGTCATATGTTAAGTTAATAATATGGAGGTTCATTTGCTTTATACTCCTAATAATATTGACTCCTATGGTAGTAATAGTGATTGCTCCTATTTTGTGTATAGCCAAACTAATCCAAACAAGGTTTTACAGAGATAAAAACTGTTGGATATAAGCATGCTTGTTGATTTTTGCTTTTATAATAGGTGTTGCACTTATACCCATTGCTATTATTGTCTTTGCTGTTGGTAACTCTTTCTTAATATTTAGCTTTGGTGCCTTCCATTATTGGAATAATAGTATTTTATTATGATGAAAGAAAGAGACTAGAATTCAGACATTAAACTGCTTTATCCAGACATTTCCAATAAAATCCTTGATTATAATTTATAATAATAATTAGCATTTATGATATTTCCTGTATAATAGAATCAACGAAATTTGGTGTTCTTTCAAGTCTTCATCATTACAAAAAATAAACATGAACTCTTTATATTAGTATTTGCAATCGCAGACTACATTGCTAGAACGTTCTCTCTTTTTATGATTTTCCTTTTAAACAAGCTCCTTAAAATAACCTGATAATGAACTAATGTTTCTTCTATTGTCATTCAGACAAATCAAGGTCTACAATCATCTTGTCTACAAGTTGATGAAGAAAAGAATCCTTAGTTTTCATTAACTATTTCGATATCAAAATAATTGTATTTATAAAGGATTTACATTTAAACTCAATCTTAGATTTTATACATTTCCTAATTAAGATGAATATTATTAATTTTGATATGAATTAAATTTAATAATAATATCATTAAAACTGAATAATTTGATAAAAACTATCAACATAAATTCCATTATTACAAATCCAATCATGTATTCTCATTTTGTTTAAAAATATAGTTTCATAGATGCAATCATAAAGAATTTTATAAATTACGAAGTAGTTGATTGTTTCTTAGAATTTATGAGGTAATTTATTCCTATATTGGATAAATTAAAAAATTTATAATTTATTATTGAATTCGTTGGATTAAACCTTGAAATTTTAATATGTATTAGCAGAAGCTTACATTNGCACTTTTTCTTATTTTATGAGAGTGACTTATTCCTTTTATAATCCGAAATATAAGTTATTTTCCAATAACTACAAAGTTAATTTGTGAGTATCATCTGATGTCATTATTGCAAAGGGTAATAATTTGTTCCCATGTTTTTTTTATAAATTCAGTATAAATTAACAATAATATTCTAAGTAAGTTGTATTAGTAACTAATTCTATTGGCAAAGCTACTTTAATTCCATCATAACCCAATCTCTCACCTAAACCACCAGCCACTAATACAAAACATGTATCCTTAATTTCTTCCACTCCCAATTATTCCAATCGGCAATATTCTTCAGAATAAATATCTACATTCTGTCCTTATGGTACATGAGCAGTATATTCAGCAAATGGATTGACATCTTCAGAAGCATCAAGCAATAACTAAATATATATATCAATTCATACTTTTCTTGCTCTATTTGCATACTCTTTGATTCCTCCTGGATAATTCCTATTGAGTTGATTTATTTGGTCAATGAATTCTGTAATCTATTATTGAGTATAATTATGAATATAGGTGATTAAATGTTACTAATCAATCGAAGTTAAGTACTCTATCAATTGGTCTTATGTCTAAATATCTTAATTCATAATATATTTATTTATTTATTCATTTAAATAAATCTTCACTTTTAACTCCTTTAAACCTTCTTTAATTATCTCTCTGAAAGTAAACAATCGATTTTTCTTGGACTCAAAATCATCCTGACTTATAATAACTCCATTTGGAGTCTTTTCAGAAGAGAAGCAGAGAATTTAAATAAATATTGTGTTCTAAATATCAATATAATATTTTTTAAAATAATGAAATAAAATATATGCAATAATAATGTATTTATCTATTCATATTAATTTTCGATTCAATTCAATTCAAGTTAGTATGCGATTATATACTAGAATAAAATGCTAGCATTAATGAGAATCCTAACTTAGAAGAGAACTCTAAAAGAAATCCTTTAAAAAATCCTCTCATTCCTTCATTTTTAATAATTTTAAAACAACAATCAAAACTATTTCCATAAAGAACATCAACTCTTCCTATTAATTGATAATTATTAAAGATTTACCTGATTGCATCATCATCCTTCTTCTTATTGTATCCAAGGGATACGATAAGATACTAGCAGTGCATGCTACAAATTAAGCTAAAAGAAATAGATAAAATATATGATTTTAGTGATTAAACATCTTTAGGGCTGTGTCATAAGCTCCAAAATATATTGCTCTGTATACCATCACACCAAAAACTGTAACTCCGAAACCTCTATACAATCCGATAAAACCATCCAACCTATAAATCTTAGTCAAACAATCCGTTAAACCAGTGAATTACCTGTCAGCTTACTTACCAATATCTACTGCCAATCTTGTTCTTGCAAAATCTAAAGGATAGACTAATAGCAAAGAAGTGGCGCCAGCTGCGCTTCCTGCAGCGATGTTACTAATAAAAAATCGAATTGGTTATTTCTTTTGATCTTAAAGATATTATATTTTATAAACCGTATTGGTTAAACATATATTTGTATGTATCCTTTAGAGCAAAGCTTAAAGCTTGAGCAGGGAAAAATCTAATGATGTTTGCGAAGTTTCCTCTCCAAAACGCAGATAGTCCCTGAGTAGTTTATCATTTAAATAACCTCTTCTTTAGATATTCGTGAGAAACAATCGAGGATTCCATTATATCTCTTTGTTTATCCATTTTACACCTTTTAAATGGCATCTTAGGTTTAAAGTAGTAGCTTAACTCTCTCAAATGGTGCAAAGGCCGTTTTTGAACATGCAGCTGAAACCCCTCCTATGAGAAAGTTTTATAAAAAATCTGTCATTAAAAATAAAATTAACTTTATTATTTTTACACTAATTTAAAAATGGTTTTAATTAGAATTGATACAATTAGTTGATGTTTATGACTTTCTTTATCTTTTCATAGTTATATCATCATTTGGATAATTCTGCAAAATCTGAAGTTTTGCTAATTTTGTAGTAATATTAAAAAAGATTATATTTAATTTTTTGTAAATTTCTCCTAATTGACCTAAAAAAAATCCTACAAATATATCAAGATATTTTGTTTTATAGAAATTTATAGATGTTAGAGGATCAATAGTGAATATTAACATAATTATATTGTATATACTATTATTTTCATGCAGAATCTATTTTGAGTGCTAAGTCTAAAATTATCACAAAAAAAGGAAATGATAGATATATAAAATGATATATGATTTTTGGATTTGTATATTGAACGTAAAATTAATGTATCATTCACCTCCTGAAGATTTAGATCCTGGAGCAATGAATTGTTAGATTTCATCATAAAGGACTAAAACGAGTGAAGCACCAATTCCTCTGAAGAAATTAGAAAGGGCTCCTTTGAAGAAGGCTTTTGTTCCTTCATTCTTAGCAATTTTGACTGCACAATCGAGTGTATTTTTATAAAGAACATCAGCTCTTCCTATTAAGAGATAATGATAAGAAAATACCTGATTACATCATCATTCTTCTTCTAATTGTATCTAAGGGATATGAGATGACTCCTGCAGTTCCGGTGATGAATTAAGCAACAATGAATTTTGCAATAATGTTATTCATCATTGGATTTCTAAATATTGTACCCTTTGCTGTGTCATATGTACCAAAATAGACACCTCTATATACTATAATTCCCAAAACTGAAACTCCAAAACCTCTATACAATCCGATGAAACCATCAGACTTGTAAACTTTGCTCAAGCAATCTGACAATCCAGTGAATTGTCTTTCAGACTTTTTACCAATGTCTGCAGCCAATCTTGTTCTTGCAAAATCGAGTGGATAAACAACCATCAAGGAAGTAGCACCAGCTGCACCACCTGAAGCCATATTTCCTAAGAAAAAGAGGAATTTCTCTTTCTTTGGGTCTTAATGATTAAAATAATAATTACCAAATGGACAAAGGAGCTTTTTGTATGCATCTTTGAAAGCAAAGTTCAATGCTTATGTTGGGAAATATCTGATGACATTGGCCAAATTACCTCTCCATAAGGCAGATAAGCCCTTTGATCATTCAATGTTATAAAATACCTCTTCTTTTGGGACTCTGATGAAACAGTCTACAATACCATTGTACTTCTTGGCACCACCTTCCTAAATTTTTTTATTAGCATCTTAGGTTTAGAGTAACAATTTGACTCTTTCAATTGGAGCAACAGCAGTCTTCGAAACAGCGGCTGACACACCACCAATCATGAAATCTCTTATGAAATCAGCCATTTATAAGATAAAAATAAATCTTTTTGAAATTTTGGAACAAATTTGTGCTTTTATATCACAAATAAATAAATATTATATACTATTCATTAATTTTCTTATTTTTATTACACTACTCTTAATATTGTTTCCTTAAAACCTTTTTTAAAAGCTATTTTCTTTTGTTCTCTCTTACATTCATACTTTTGAATTTAACAATAACATTTTTCTCTTCTCATTGTAAACCTTTCAACGTCTTAATTGAATTTAACCATTTTCATTCATTCATACCATTGAATTCTTATTTTCAACAATTAAGTTTGAAGTAATAAAAACAAGACAACAATTCAATTTATGTTCTTAATATAATGAGTTGTTTTCTCATAACTTCATTAAATTAACTGGTTATCTCGTTTAACATCAATATTTGATTTATTTTATTAATTTTGCATATTAACATGTCTCTTCTTAATAACCTCTTAAGATTGTCTAAACTATTGTTAATACTATTTTGATTTATTTATTTTATAGCATTTATTAATGCATTAACATTTAAACCATTCATAACACAATATTTTGATTTTAATTAAGCTAATTCTATGAGTTCTGATATTAAGGGTAATTTTCCTAAAATATTTTGGTTTTTATAATTAGATTATTGATATATAATTATGAAAAATTGATAAAAATAATATTCAAGCCAATAACTAACGTTAATGAATGCGAAAAACACAATTTCTAGAGTGTCTTACTTTTAATTTGATAATGAATAGATTAATAAAGGAATATTCATTTTATTAACACTTAAAAATATATAATAGATTATAACGAGTTATAAGAGATGAATCTTATATTAAGGTTAACACTCATATTAAAGTATCAAAAAAATATTGATGTTAAACGAGATAACCAGTTAATTTAATGAAGTTATGAGAAAACAACTCATTATATTAAGAACATAAATTGAATTGTTGTCTTGTTTTTATTACTTCAAACTTAATTGTTGAAAATAAGAATTCAATGGTATGAATGAATGAAAATGGTTAAATTCAATTAAGACGTTGAAAGGTTTACAATGAGAAGAGAAAAATGTTATTGTTAAATTCAAAAGTATGAATGTAAGAGAGAACAAAAGAAAATAGCTTTTAAAAAAGGTTTTAAGGAAACAATATTAAGAGTAGTGTAATAAAAATAAGAAAATTAATGAATAGTATATAATATTTATTTATTTGTGATATAAAAGCACAAANATTAAATGATATATGATTTTTGGATTTGTATATTGAACGTAAAATTAATGTATCATTCACCTCCTGAAGATTTAGATCCTGGAGCAATGAATTGTTAGATTTCATCATAAAGGACTAAAACGAGTGAAGCACCAATTCCTCTGAAGAAATTAGAAAGGGCTCCTTTGAAGAAGGCTTTTGTTCCTTCATTCTTAGCAATTTTGACTGCACAATCGAGTGTATTTTTATAAAGAACATCAGCTCTTCCTATTAAGAGATAATGATAAGAAAATACCTGATTACATCATCATTCTTCTTCTAATTGTATCTAAGGGATATGAGATGACTCCTGCAGTTCCGGTGATGAATTAAGCAACAATGAATTTTGCAATAATGTTATTCATCATTGGATTTCTAAATATTGTACCCTTTGCTGTGTCATATGTACCAAAATAGACACCTCTATATACTATAATTCCCAAAACTGAAACTCCAAAACCTCTATACAATCCGATGAAACCATCAGACTTGTAAACTTTGCTCAAGCAATCTGACAATCCAGTGAATTGTCTTTCAGACTTTTTACCAATGTCTGCAGCCAATCTTGTTCTTGCAAAATCGAGTGGATAAACAACCATCAAGGAAGTAGCACCAGCTGCACCACCTGAAGCCATATTTCCTAAGAAAAAGAGGAATTTCTCTTTCTTTGGGTCTTAATGATTAAAATAATAATTACCAAATGGACAAAGGAGCTTTTTGTATGCATCTTTGAAAGCAAAGTTCAATGCTTATGTTGGGAAATATCTGATGACATTGGCCAAATTACCTCTCCATAAGGCAGATAAGCCCTTTGATCATTCAATGTTATAAAATACCTCTTCTTTTGGGACTCTGATGAAACAGTCTACAATACCATTGTACTTCTTGGCACCACCTTCCTAAATTTTTTTATTAGCATCTTAGGTTTAGAGTAACAATTTGACTCTTTCAATTGGAGCAACAGCAGTCTTCGAAACAGCGGCTGACACACCACCAATCATGAAATCTCTTATGAAATCAGCCATTTATAAGATAAAAATAAATCTTTTTGAAATTTTGGAACAAATTTGTGCTTTTATATCACAAATAAATAAATATTATATACTATTCATTAATTTTCTTATTTTTATTACACTACTCTTAATATTGTTTCCTTAAAACCTTTTTTAAAAGCTATTTTCTTTTGTTCTCTCTTACATTCATACTTTTGAATTTAACAATAACATTTTTCTCTTCTCATTGTAAACCTTTCAACGTCTTAATTGAATTTAACCATTTTCATTCATTCATACCATTGAATTCTTATTTTCAACAATTAAGTTTGAAGTAATAAAAACAAGACAACAATTCAATTTATGTTCTTAATATAATGAGTTGTTTTCTCATAACTTCATTAAATTAACTGGTTATCTCGTTTAACATCAATATTTTTTTGATACTTTAATATGAGTGTTAACCTTAATATAAGATTCATCTCTTATAACTCGTTATAATCTATTATATATTTTTAAGTGTTAATAAAATGAATATTCCTTTATTAATCTATTCATTATCAAATTAAAAGTAAGACACTCTAGAAATTGTGTTTTTCGCATTCATTAACGTTAGTTATTGGCTTGAATATTATTTTTATCAATTTTTCATAATTATATATCAATAATCTAATTATAAAAACCAAAATATTTTAGGAAAATTACCCTTAATATCAGAACTCATAGAATTAGCTTAATTAAAATCAAAATATTGTGTTATGAATGGTTTAAATGTTAATGCATTAATAAATGCTATAAAATAAATAAATCAAAATAGTATTAACAATAGTTTAGACAATCTTAAGAGGTTATTAAGAAGAGACATGTTAATATGCAAAATTAATAAAATAAATCAAATATTGATGTTAAACGAGATAACCAGTTAATTTAATGAAGTTATGAGAAAACAACTCATTATATTAAGAACATAAATTGAATTGTTGTCTTGTTTTTATTACTTCAAACTTAATTGTTGAAAATAAGAATTCAATGGTATGAATGAATGAAAATGGTTAAATTCAATTAAGACGTTGAAAGGTTTACAATGAGAAGAGAAAAATGTTATTGTTAAATTCAAAAGTATGAATGTAAGAGAGAACAAAAGAAAATAGCTTTTAAAAAAGGTTTTAAGGAAACAATATTAAGAGTAGTGTAATAAAAATAAGAAAATTAATGAATAGTATATAATATTTATTTATTTGTGATATAAAAGCACAAATTTGTTCCAAAATTTCAAAAAGATTTATTTTTATCTTATAAATGGCTGATTTCATAAGAGATTTCATGATTGGTGGTGTGTCAGCCGCTGTTTCGAAGACTGCTGTTGCTCCAATTGAAAGAGTCAAATTGTTACTCTAAACCTAAGATGCTAATAAAAAAATTTAGGAAGGTGGTGCCAAGAAGTACAATGGTATTGTAGACTGTTTCATCAGAGTCCCAAAAGAAGAGGTATTTTATAACATTGAATGATCAAAGGGCTTATCTGCCTTATGGAGAGGTAATTTGGCCAATGTCATCAGATATTTCCCAACATAAGCATTGAACTTTGCTTTCAAAGATGCATACAAAAAGCTCCTTTGTCCATTTGGTAATTATTATTTTAATCATTAAGACCCAAAGAAAGAGAAATTCCTCTTTTTCTTAGGAAATATGGCTTCAGGTGGTGCAGCTGGTGCTACTTCCTTGATGGTTGTTTATCCACTCGATTTTGCAAGAACAAGATTGGCTGCAGACATTGGTAAAAAGTCTGAAAGACAATTCACTGGATTGTCAGATTGCTTGAGCAAAGTTTACAAGTCTGATGGTTTCATCGGATTGTATAGAGGTTTTGGAGTTTCAGTTTTGGGAATTATAGTATATAGAGGTGTCTATTTTGGTACATATGACACAGCAAAGGGTACAATATTTAGAAATCCAATGATGAATAACATTATTGCAAAATTCATTGTTGCTTAATTCATCACCGGAACTGCAGGAGTCATCTCATATCCCTTAGATACAATTAGAAGAAGAATGATGATGTAATCAGGTATTTTCTTATCATTATCTCTTAATAGGAAGAGCTGATGTTCTTTATAAAAATACACTCGATTGTGCAGTCAAAATTGCTAAGAATGAAGGAACAAAAGCCTTCTTCAAAGGAGCCCTTTCTAATTTCTTCAGAGGAATTGGTGCTTCACTCGTTTTAGTCCTTTATGATGAAATCTAACAATTCATTGCTCCAGGATCTAAATCTTCAGGAGGTGAATGATACATTAATTTTACGTTCAATATACAAATCCAAAAATCATATATCATTTTATATATCTATCATTTCCTTTTTTTGTGATAATTTTAGACTTAGCACTCAAAATAGATTCTGCATGAAAATAATAGTATATACAATATAATTATGTTAATATTCACTATTGATCCTCTAACATCTATAAATTTCTATAAAACAAAATATCTTGATATATTTGTAGGATTTTTTTTAGGTCAATTAGGAGAAATTTACAAAAAATTAAATATAATCTTTTTTAATATTACTACAAAATTAGCAAAACTTCAGATTTTGCAGAATTATCCAAATGATGATATAACTATGAAAAGATAAAGAAAGTCATAAACATCAACTAATTGTATCAATTCTAATTAAAACCATTTTTAAATTAGTGTAAAAATAATAAAGTTAATTTTATTTTTAATGACAGATTTTTTATAAAACTTTCTCATAGGAGGGGTTTCAGCTGCATGTTCAAAAACGGCCTTTGCACCATTTGAGAGAGTTAAGCTACTACTTTAAACCTAAGATGCCATTTAAAAGGTGTAAAATGGATAAACAAAGAGATATAATGGAATCCTCGATTGTTTCTCACGAATATCTAAAGAAGAGGTTATTTAAATGATAAACTACTCAGGGACTATCTGCGTTTTGGAGAGGAAACTTCGCAAACATCATTAGATTTTTCCCTGCTCAAGCTTTAAGCTTTGCTCTAAAGGATACATACAAATATATGTTTAACCAATACGGTTTATAAAATATAATATCTTTAAGATCAAAAGAAATAACCAATTCGATTTTTTATTAGTAACATCGCTGCAGGAAGCGCAGCTGGCGCCACTTCTTTGCTATTAGTCTATCCTTTAGATTTTGCAAGAACAAGATTGGCAGTAGATATTGGTAAGTAAGCTGACAGGTAATTCACTGGTTTAACGGATTGTTTGACTAAGATTTATAGGTTGGATGGTTTTATCGGATTGTATAGAGGTTTCGGAGTTACAGTTTTTGGTGTGATGGTATACAGAGCAATATATTTTGGAGCTTATGACACAGCCCTAAAGATGTTTAATCACTAAAATCATATATTTTATCTATTTCTTTTAGCTTAATTTGTAGCATGCACTGCTAGTATCTTATCGTATCCCTTGGATACAATAAGAAGAAGGATGATGATGCAATCAGGTAAATCTTTAATAATTATCAATTAATAGGAAGAGTTGATGTTCTTTATGGAAATAGTTTTGATTGTTGTTTTAAAATTATTAAAAATGAAGGAATGAGAGGATTTTTTAAAGGATTTCTTTTAGAGTTCTCTTCTAAGTTAGGATTCTCATTAATGCTAGCATTTTATTCTAGTATATAATCGCATACTAACTTGAATTGAATTGAATCGAAAATTAATATGAATAGATAAATACATTATTATTGCATATATTTTATTTCATTATTTTAAAAAATATTATATTGATATTTAGAACACAATATTTATTTAAATTCTCTGCTTCTCTTCTGAAAAGACTCCAAATGGAGTTATTATAAGTCAGGATGATTTTGAGTCCAAGAAAAATCGATTGTTTACTTTCAGAGAGATAATTAAAGAAGGTTTAAAGGAGTTAAAAGTGAAGATTTATTTAAATGAATAAATAAATAAATATATTATGAATTAAGATATTTAGACATAAGACCAATTGATAGAGTACTTAACTTCGATTGATTAGTAACATTTAATCACCTATATTCATAATTATACTCAATAATAGATTACAGAATTCATTGACCAAATAAATCAACTCAATAGGAATTATCCAGGAGGAATCAAAGAGTATGCAAATAGAGCAAGAAAAGTATGAATTGATATATATATTTAGTTATTGCTTGATGCTTCTGAAGATGTCAATCCATTTGCTGAATATACTGCTCATGTACCATAAGGACAGAATGTAGATATTTATTCTGAAGAATATTGCCGATTGGAATAATTGGGAGTGGAAGAAATTAAGGATACATGTTTTGTATTAGTGGCTGGTGGTTTAGGTGAGAGATTGGGTTATGATGGAATTAAAGTAGCTTTGCCAATAGAATTAGTTACTAATACAACTTACTTAGAATATTATTGTTAATTTATACTGAATTTATAAAAAAAACATGGGAACAAATTATTACCCTTTGCAATAATGACATCAGATGATACTCACAAATTAACTTTGTAGTTATTGGAAAATAACTTATATTTCGGATTATAAAAGGAATAAGTCACTCTCATAAAATAAGAAAAAGTGCCAGCCATGTTGGATAACCTTGCTCATTTCGCTCAAGTTCCAGGAAAATTATTAATAGATACAAAGCCACATGGTCATGGTGATATTCATACATTGTTATATATGTCTGGTTTGGCCTAAAAGTGGAAAAATGAGGGAAGAAAGTGGTTATTTATTTTTTAAGATACAAACGCATAAGCCTTTAGAGCATTACCAGTAGTTTTAGGAGTAAGTAAGGAAAATAAGTTTGAATTGAATTCTGTTGTTGTAAGTCGCAAACCTGGAGAAGCGGTTGGAGCTATTTGTTATTTGGTTGATAAAAATAATAAAGGATTAACATTAAATGTAGAATATAATCAATTAGACCCATTGGTCAAAGCTTAAGGTGGTGAACCTGTAGATGAACAGGGGTTTTCGAAATACCCTGGAAATATTAATTGTTTATTATTCTCTTTGATTGAGTATGAAACAGTATTATAAGAAACTAAAGGATTGATTGCTGAATTCATCAATCCTAAATATGCAGATGCTACAAAAACTAAGTTTAAGTCGTCATCCAGATTAGAATGCATGATGTAAGACTATCCTAAACTTTTGGGACCTGAAAATAAAGTAGGATTTACAGCTTTGAATAGAAGATTTTGTTTCTCAGCTTGTAAAAATGATCTTGCAACAGCTTAGGCTAAATAGAAATCTAATTTGCCCTTGGAGTGTGCAGGTTCATCAGAAAATGATTTCTATTGGCTCAATGCAGAATTGTTAAGAATGGCTGGTGTTTAAATTCCTGATTCTGTTTCAGATGAACTTAATTACAACGGATTAGAATTTAAATTCGGACCTAAAATTGTATTACACCCATCATTTGGTGTCACTCTTTCTGAGATTAAATCTAGAATCAAAGGAAGTAAGATATTGCACTTATCTTTTTAGAAGTTTAGATTTCATCAAATTCAACTGTCATCCTTGGTGGATAAGCGGAATTAAATTCTGTGAATATTGATGGTTATGCTTAATTATTTGGAAATGGTAATAAGTATGGTTTTAAGTTTAGGTTAATTTAATGTGGACATTAAAGGTGCTGATGGACCAAAATTAGTAGCATTAGAATAATAAGATGGTGTTCCTGGGTATATAAAGATTCGGGGTTATAGATTACAAAAATGAGATATTATTAATATCGAAAATTACAATTTATTAATTATACATATGATATAGATATATTCATCATATTAATTAATTAGGTATGTTTGAATATGCCATGATATTTTCATTGTTACAATCAACAAATTAACTCTATAAAACTAAAAACATTAAATACATTTGAGAAATTGAAGTTAGGTAATTCAGGCATAAAATTTGGTTTAATTTAAGGTTTTAATGATTATTGAACTCTTTTAATGTTGTAGAGAGATTATTTACGTCCTTTATTGAACCCAAATGATTTATATTCTTCATAAATTTTTATAAGCAATTACTCAACTAATTGACAGGCCTACTTGATTTATAATTAATTTACTTTTAAAAATAGATGATTATGTTTAGATGAAACACATAAATGCAAAGGTTCTTGGGATTCTCTTTTTTCAGGACCTTCTTTATACCCAGAGCCTCTTCCTCTGAGTCTGAGTTTAACAAGGTCTTATTCTTTAGTATCACAATCTATTAAGCATTAATCTATGATTTTCTTCATGTTGCATCCTTTAGCCCCTTAACATGTTGGATTATAAAAATACCTATGATTTTGCGAGCTACTTAGAAGTCTTTATCATTATCAATTTAGACATCATATCGACAAGTGAATTTTTATTAATTGGAGTCTTGTATTTCCATAATTTCCAATAGATCTTGTTAGGTTGTAAATTCAATTTTGATAGTAACATCCAATTCTTTAATTTAATGTTTGTTTAATAGTTTATAAACAATGAACGCATCAAAAAGTGTATTGAATTTAATTATGATAGCTCCATTTAATTTAGTATATACTTATTTGACTTCTCCAAAATTTTCACAAACCTTAATTTTGAATATAAAAATTTCGTTACTAATTTAATATCTTCTTAATCCAACTCAATTTCATAATTGTCTTCGCTTGCTAATTCAACAGTTAAATATTGATGGGGATATTATTTATTCTAATTTAGGATGATATAAATTACTTTCTGTTTCAGCATAGAATTAATTCTCTATTTAACTTTTTGATCATGTATAATGAGATTTATTTATTCGCGATTCGTAGGAGAGGTGTTTACTAAATTATCATCACTCTATTCTAACTAAAAAGTTATTATGGAATCATACAAGGAAATTAGTCATCTCCTCTATTTGCTTAGAGATCTCTTAGAAACTCATTAATAAATTCGGTTAAAATAATATATTTTGTATTATTCATATCATCTCCTCACTTTTTAATTGCTTTAAAAATGGAATCTTAGTATATTTGGGAACAGAAAGACGTTTACATATTCTCTATTGATAAGAATGTGATGGAGTCTGTACACCAGAACGAGGTCTATAATTTCAAACCATCACTACCTTGCTCTTTCAGGTGTTCTTAATCCCTATTTAAATGAAACTAGCCAATGTCTGTCTCCACATGTATTCATCAAACCACCATGATTGTCTCTATTCACATTTATTTCAATACAATTTACAAAACATATTTGTCTCTCCCACTTCCATCGCTAACATAATGTAAAGTCTTATTGCTTGATTGAGGTCTAAAAGCTGGGCCATTGCGTTTAGGCTAGAAACTCCCTATAGGTGGTTAATGGCATTTCTATGCATGCATAGTCAATCCTCCGTTATCAAATTGTATGTAAGTATCACGCCCTAAAGTTATTTAATTATTGATCATCTCTACCTGTTCCATCTGAGTAATAATAATTAGCTCTTCCATATTAAGCTTCTGTTTTTATGTTATTTGCTTTCATCCTTTATTATAATATATATATATACTTAAATCAAAAATTATTATTTTCTGATTCAAAAGAACTTACTAGATATATTTCCTTTTCAGATAATTTTCATAATCTAAGTTTCGGAATCTTATAATTCAATTTGATTGCTCTTTAAAATTGAGGAAGCTTAATTCCTACTTTATGCTATTCGGTTTCTTGAAGTATGAAGTTCGTGTTTGGAATGATATCAGAGAATAAATAATTCTAGATAGATGGCCTCTACTGAGGATTATTGCAGATGACTAATACTATTAAGAATCTAATTCATCGCAATTTATAGATATGAGAAACACAGTTAATTTTAAAGATGTATCTACTTATTTTTGGGAACTCTCAATTTAGTGCAAATATTATTGGGATCTCTTCTTTTTGAAATAGAATCAATTTGAATAATCCTAAATTCACTAATATGAAGTAATAGAGGACTGATATCTTCTAAGAAATTAATTCTAAATTTCATATACATTAATATGTTATTATTTAGCGTGAAAAAATTTGTGATAGATTAAACTAATTATTGATAAAGAAAGTTCATTATTAATTTCTATTAACTCAAAATTCCGATTAATAAAGGTTTATTTTTCAGGTTTTGAAGTCTGATGTCGATGATTATTTCAATTTCTATTAAAAAGTTACTCAATGTCAACTCAGATCCATTGTAATTTTTTGAATTCATAGTGTTGTCAATCATTGAAATAAAGGACAATGAGGAGAGAATTTCAAGTAAGAAATGATATTATATTAAAGAAAAGAAGTTGAGATAGAATCTCCATGGTAACAATTAAAAATTTTAAAAATCATTCATGATGAGTTGATGAAATTGATCCCTTGTAGTAATGCTTAAATATTACAACACCTAAATAACTCACTTTCACACATTATCAACACACTCTTATCCAAACTAAAACAATCCTTTATTATCCTTGATTTATTGCCTATTACAAAGATGATCACTTTATTGTTATTCAATTGATGAAATGATAACAATTAAAATTCTGTGTATATTCATTTGAAGAAGATTCATACTATTAAATTTTATTTAGTTAAATTGTAAAATTTTAATTAAGTTTATCAAAGGGAAAATAGAAATATTAAACTATAAATATATATTTTATTAGCAAGACCATAATGGTTTTGTAGAGCTAAATAAATATATCTATTAGCAAGATAATTTATAATTATCATTTTGAAGTATTCGAAAGAAATTATATGTAAATATTTTAATAGAATTTGAAATTTTCTAAAGCAATTTTTGATGATGATCCTGTGATTAATAATAATAATAATAACAAATGGATTTAGAATCATTCACCCCTTAATATTCACCTGTCGTTTACCCTGTTGAAAATGATGAACAATCATTTGAGGCTTCACAATATTTTATTCAAAATAGCATTCATGAATAAAACAGTTTAGGAGCAACTTAAGCTAAAACTTAGTCGATGGTTTATCAATCAAAAGATCTGAAATATAAAAATTTTCCAAAACTAATTGGTAATAATTTTTTGAAATGGGTAAGAAAGTAAGTTGATGAGAAAAAAATGGGATAAATTCCTAAAGGAATTGAGGATTTAATTAAATCAAGGCAGAAATGCCGCCAACCAAATTTTACGATTAAAGATCTCTAAAAATTATGCCATGATTAAGATTCTTAAAAGATTTTTCAAGAGTTCATGTAATATTAATTGTTTTTGGATTTATTCCACAGCAATAAAATCGCAGATCCCGTCTCTTATATCCCAGGGATTAGTAACTATTATTAAGCAGCGGAAGAGCCTGATAAGATGAAGAGTAATTATTTAACCAGAAATTAATTTACATAAGCTTCCAAATAAAACTGAATTATATATTAACATATTTAAATTACAAGAAATCTATATTATTTAATTATAAATAATTCATGGAGATCATTTAATATTAATAATAAAATTGATTAATTATGTTTTGATTCTCTATTTTAATTAATTTATTTTTATGAAACCAGCAACATATTTAAAAAAAGTTGGGCCTTATAGTTTGATAAGAGAGATTGGTTAGGGTATTATTTGGTGAGGAGTAGGTTCATTTGCAAGAGTGTTTAGAGGAAAATTGGATGGACGGCAAGAAGATGTGGCAATCAAAATGATTTCAAAGCAGAATGTTAGAAATGAGAGTATGTCGATGATTGAAAAGGAGATTGAGATTTTAAGACAATTGGATCACCCCAATATAATCAAATTGATAGATTTTAAAAGAACCCAGAATCATTACTATCTGGTATTTGAATATTGTGAGAATGGAGACTTGGATGCATATATTAGGTAATTGATTGATTGGATAGGACTAGAAAGTATTCTCCTAATGGAAAATTACCAGAGGAAGAAGTTAGGAGAATAGTTTAGCAATTAGCATAAGCATTGTAATAAATGTACAAATTAAGGATTGTACATAGAGATTTAAAATTAGCAAATATATTAGTATCTAAGAATTTCTAAGTATTGAAAAGAATTACGTTTAGATTAAATTAGCTGATTTCGGATTTGCCAAATATATGGAAGAAGATCAATATTTAACATCTTATTGTGGAACTCCATTAACCATGGCTCCAGAAATATTATAAAGAAAGCAATATAATGAAAAGTGTGATGTGTGGTCAGTAGGTGTGATCATATATTAAATGATATATGGTAGATCTCCATTTGTACCACCGAAGGGAGGTAATATAAACGATTTAATTGCAATTATCAATAAAGGAGATTTACAATTTCCTGAGATTTCTACAATATCACTTAAATTGAAGGAACTATTAATTTAAATGCTGCAATAGGATTTCAAAAAAAGAATAAGTTTTAGAGATTTTTTTGAACATAGTTGGTTGCAGGGAGAAGTCAAAGCTGACTACATTTAGAGTATTAAACAAGATTTGCAAGAGAACCCATCTGAAATTATGCCTATAATTCATCACAAAGCAACTGAGGATATTTAAGAGGAAGAGATATTCAATAATGAAAGAGATGATAGTACAAATGAAGTGCTGAAAGATCAATAGTTAAAATACATAGGATATCAATTAAATAAATAGGCGGTTGGATATTTAGATTTGATGTTTGAGGAGATTTACAAAGTCAAATAATTATGTGAAAAAATTTAAAATGCCAAAATTTCATTTTAATTTCTTAAAAATCGATTAATCAGTTTATCTTTAGCTATTAGAATATATGAAGCCTTTTTATTGAAATAAGTAAATGAGTTTATGAAAGAATAAATTGTTGTGTTACACACACCTTCAAGCAACAGTTCTTTGATTAGTCTTTAAATGAAAAGACCATTTTAGACCCATTAAATTATGATGCAAAAAGAAATTATTGAGTTGAAGAATTACTTTAAAGAAAATCAAATGATTATAAATTAATTTGAGTAATGTGGATATTGTATTGCAGATAATATTTTCGATGAAATCTTGGAATTATTAATGAATCTCATTGAACATTAATAACAAATTGATTAAAATATATTTACACAATTACTGTAATTGTTGTACTCATTCATTTAATCTCCACCTCAATTGTTGTAAGTTGAATTGTACATGAAATTGTAAACAGGAAATGACATGAATTATTATTGGCATTTGTTTAAACTTGTTAGAGTGAATTAGAAATGTATTGCAGATTCAATTGAGAATCAAATTGTGTGTGAGAATTATGAGTTTGACAAAAAATTACAGTTTGAATGGAAATTAGTGAAAGATGATAGTGAAGAAACCCAAGTGTCTTTCACTAAAGAAGAAATTGATAAATTATAAGACTTACTAAAAGAAGAATATACCAAAAGGGATATACGTTAATAAATATAATGATAATTAAAATTAAATGGAGTACTTAACTAATGAAAAACTCCTTAAATAATAACAATCAGCTCTATTTTCCATCAGCAATTCTCGTTCTAATAGTGTTTCGCGATTTCCTATTCCTAGTCAGAGAGCCGCTCCTGATCCAGTTCAACCGCTAAGATCTGCAGATTTGTTTAATAAATTAGAAGACATATTGAAATAGAAGTAGCTTAGTACTACAACAAGAAAGAGACAGAAGCAAATATCATGTATTTTGAATTCATAAGCTTGTCATGAGGATAAAAAATAACAAAACATAGAGGCGAGTTATTATAAATCACCTATTAGATTACTTGATGTACCTGTAAATGGCTTCATTGATGTAATATGTTTATAGTTATTATGATCTATAGAATAATATTGAAGTCAGAAACAGGAGAGAAACTATACTTATTGGATCACCTCCCTTTAACTAATAAAATTAAAGCAGCAAAAAGAGAAATACTATTTAAAATCAATTTCAAGAAAATTTAAATTAAAAAAAAAAAGAGAGCCTTAAAAGGTTTGAAGTTGAGTTTAACAATATGCAAGAAAAAATTAGAGGAAGAAACAATGTATATAATCCATTTCTCCTATTAGTCTGTCTTATATGAGGAATAAGATATAATAAAAAGAAATTAAATGAAAGAAAAAAAAGTAGATTTGAACATCAGTACTTCTAAGGAAAACAATACGACATTAAATAAGTTGAATCATCAATTACAAATACAAAATAATCATCTATAAGAATAGTTAATTTTTGAATAAAATTAAAATACTAAATTAAATATGCTCATTAATAACTTAAATGATCAAATCGCAGGATTACATAAGTAATGTATTCTCTATTTCATAGACAAATGACTCAATAACAATAATAGAATAATGAAGATTGCATCATCAAAGATAATTTTATTAAATAATTTCATTCAAAAATTGAATAGTTAGAAAATGAAATTAAATAAAAAGATCAACTGATTAATAATTTACAGTAACAAATATCTGAATTCAATAATGTGTATAAAGAAATGCAAGAATTAGAGAATCTATGTTCTTCAATGTCATTTTTAGGTAAATTGTGTATTGGACATAATCATTTGATTCAAGAAATCAAAGATTTATTGTAAGTGTAGTAGAACATCATTGAAAAAGTAACCAATAACAAAGATTTTCCAATCGATTAATTAATTATCTAAAAGAGATAGAAAAAACATAATCCGCAGAGTTAAGTTGATTATTAATAATTATGTCAAGAGACCACGAGTATCTTGGAGAATATCATTAAATAAATCAAAAGTTCTATTGAATAATTAACAGAAAGATTCATTCATGACTTACTTATTTGACTAATTAAATAATTATATTTGCTTAGTATTTATATAATTTAAAAAAATGAATGTAGTCTCATATCAATATAAAACCATCATTGAGGATTTATTGCATGTAATATCCCAATAACACAACCCGTTCTTGGATATTAAAATCAAGAAAATTAAGGAAAGGCTTCAATATGTAGAATTATAACAAAGACAAAATAGATTAACTGATTTGCAATAAAAACAAATGATTCGATTACAATCAATCCCTCTAAAACCTAAATTGATCTAAAATTTAAAAAACAGAGCTCAATCAACAGCCTATCATCAGAGATTTGTATAATTGCATACTTGATTATTAAAATTATGTAATAAATATATAACCCAGATGAAAGGATAAATATTGAATTATTTTTGGCTGCTAGAGAGCTTCCCAATCTTGAATTCTTATCCAAGAGTGACCCCTATTTAGAATTGTATTATTCCCTCTAAGGAGAGCCAGAGATTTGTTTAGGCAAAACTGAAACAGCTGAATGCAACTTAGATCCCAATTGGGAAAAATCATTTACTATTGAATACTATCCAGATTTAATTCAAATACTAAGATTCTAGATTTTTGATTAAAATAGAATGGGAAGAGAATTCATGGGGGAAGCATAAATAACAATCAAAGACATATTGCAATCTAAAAATTCATTAATATCAATCCCAATAAAAAGATTCGATAAAAGTGCTGGATAATTATTATGCAAGGCAGTATAAATGAAATAATCAAATCATTTTGTATAATGGCAATTTTCAGGTTCAAACATTAAAAATATGGATGGTATCTTTGGCAAGTCCGATCCATTTCTTAAATTTTATTTGCATTCCGATAATGTTTGGTGTTAAATCTATTAAACTGAATACATAAAAGATGATCTAAATCCAACATGGAAAGAATTTGAGATTTCCTTATAAAGGTTATGTCTGAATGATGAATACAAGAAGTTTAAAATAGAATGTTTGGATAGACACGAAAAGGGAAAAAATAATCAATTAATTGGCTCATTTGAAACATCGATTGATGAGATATTCAATCAAAATAAGGAAGAGTTTTCACTTGTCTAACCTAAGGGAGGTTAAGTAGGAACTATAAGGATAAAGAATAAAAAAAGAATATACAGAGCCAACTTTGATGACTATATTAAACAAGGCACCACATTTAACCTCATTATTGGCATTGACTATTCTACTCACAATGGTGTTCCATCATTTCCAGATTCCTTGCATTCTTACATAGATTAAAATAATAAATATGGAAAAGTGATAAGTGATTTAGCTCAAGTCTTAGAAAAATACAATCAAAAAAAGCTATTTGCAATATATGGAATTGGTGCAGAACCTCATTTAACTAATTATACATTAAATACATATTAAACTTTATTCCCATTGACAGGTGATTTCTAAAAACCTTAAGTTGAAGGATATCAAGAAGTTGCTAATTTATATAAAAATACATTGAAACAGATAGTGGTAAAAGGAGATTTTCAGATTGAAGACTACATTAAATATATACAAACTATTGCTGAAAATAATGCAGGTAAGTTAATATACACAATTTGTGTGATAATAGGTTAAGGGAAGATTACAGATGCTTAAGTTTTCTAAGATTTGTTAATAAAGGGTAATTGTATTATTAAATAAAGGATGTAAATTGCCTTATTCATTGATTTTTGTAGGAATGGGAAAGAATGATTTTTCAGAAGTGAAAAATATTATTGATAAAATGAACAATCAATAACCACCAATCAGAAATAATTTCACATTCTATGAATACAAAGAATAAACAATTTAAATGTTATCCAAACATTTAATGATCGATATACCATAACATTTGGTTAGTTATAAATAATGATCAATATTATTTTTATTATAAAATGGGCAATTGTGAATCGGATTAACAGAGTCAATTCTAATAACCTGTGCAAGTTGATCTAGGTTCAAGTCATAATAAAAGGATCTTTGACCACAAAGCTCAGGAATAAGAGGAATTTAATAGTGTCAAAGTTCCAGAACCAATAGATGTTAATCATGAAATTGAAGATGTAATTTATAAATCAAAAATTTAGGAATTACAAAATTTAGATCCATAACCAGCCATCATTAATCTACCTCCATTTAATTTTGGAGAGAAAAAACACCTAAATGCAGAAAGCAGACCAGCTTATAGATTAGTTGATGGATCCACTTATGTAGGAGAATGGGTTGGAGATTAAATGACAGGTAACGGTGTTTTAGAAGGAAGAAATGGGAAATATGAAGGTCAATTTGAGAATGGTAGGAAACAAGGAAGAGGGCGATTCACTTTTCCTAATGGAGAAGTTTATGAAGGAGATTGGAAGGATGATTAAGAAGATGGCATAGGAACATATTATTATTCCTAAGGAACAGTTTATCATGGATAGTGGGTTTAAAATTAAAAACATGGATAAGGAAGAGAAAACTTTCCCAATGGATCCAATTTTCAAGGAACTTTTGAAAATGGAATTAAGACTGGACATGGAGTATTTTTATGGAAAGATGGAACTAAATATGAAGGCAGATTTATAGATAATAAAATATGTGGATAAGGTTAAATGGAATACCCAAATAAAAGAGTTTACGTAGGAGAGTTCTTGAATGGTAAAATGCATGGAAAAGGAAAATTTAGCGTATATATTGATGATTTATCAAATAAAGTGGCCTGATGGTAGAATTTATGATGGGGAGTATTAATATGACAAAAAACATGGTTATGGAATCCTAACTGGATAGAATTACAGATATGAGGGTGAATGGAAGGAAGGCAAAATGGAAGGATAAGGAACTTTGTCTAAAGATGGAGAAATTAAAGTAGGCTATTGGCATAACAATAAATTTGTTGGTGAAAACAATTATTGATCGAAATTTTTAGTATTTTAAGAATATAAAATTAACGATTGTTATTAATATATTCAGTATTACAATCTAGTATTCTTATATTTAGATTACAAATTATAATAAATAAAAAATTGTTAAAATGCATACTCAATTTCGAAATTAATTAAGATTCTTGGATAAATGTGAAGCATAAATAAATAAATTATTATTTAATTTTAGTTTGATAGCCTGCAAATTTAACTTATATTTATACATCATTAGATAAAGAAAAATTAAGTTTAACTAAAAATAATTTTTAATAAAATATAAACTATGGCAAGTCGATTCTTCACTTAAGGAGATTATGCTTCAAACTTGAAGTTAAATCTTATACTTTTAGTTATAATCAGTTCATCAATAGATATTGCAAATTCACTTGAGTATTAATCAGGGACTCTTACTTAAATTCTTTATCCATCCACTCCTCTCCATATATTAGCAGATACACATACGGAGAACTCTCAAGTATCTTTAACTTAGCCATTGACTGGTTTTGTAAATGAACCTTAAATCATCTACTCAGTGTATAGAATGAACTTTGAAAATGCAGTATCTGGAGGATACACTTTCTCAATTACATCACAATCAACATCATGTATTTATATTATTCTAGTTTTAGCATTTACAATAACAGTAGTTGCTCCTACAGTTTAAAAAATTTACAATGTTTGGATTAAATGGTTGGCTTTTGTGGATAGAAATAAATAGGTAATAAGCGAGGAGATTGTAACGCCCTAAAACTCAGAAACATTCACAGAAACACATTTCAATAAGAACTTTATAATTGCTGTTCCAATCATAAATTATTTGACTTACACTAGTTCTTTTACTTTCAAATTTGATGTAATAATGAATTACTATGTAGATGCCTCAAGTTGATACAACATATGTGTAGATTGTGTTTACTAGCACTGGAGTATCTCAAATAGGATTTCAATTATTAGTGGCCATAAAAAGTCCAGTTTACTTATTTGGAGAACAATAATGGGCTCCAGCCTCTAGCACTTTAAATTTGAGTCCATTTGAAATTAATGGTGTGTAGATACCTCCTTTGTAATAATCTGATAATATTAATTTTCCAATATTTTTGGGACTTACTTCTGACTTAACAGATCAAGTTAATATAGAAGAGATTAGTTCATCAATCAACCCTTAGTTGTCTTTTGAGATTGGATCTTGTAAATTATTATACTAATTATAGCCACAACATGTTCTGTAACTAGTGGATGGTTTAATTATATGATTATATCTCCCTAATTTTAAATCCCTCCACTTATTTTACAAACTTTCTCTTAATAAGAGTATTATGTCAGCAGTGGTACCTAATAAATCAGTGTAGAACTGCCACTATATAAAACTACCTATACAAGTACGACTGGTTGGATAGAAATGGATAACTCGTTTCTTGGAATGCAATTGGTGATCACAACAGAATGTCAATTCAAATATAAACATGATTATTGGTTCCTTGGTTCAGTTGATGATAATCAAAGATATATACAAGACTACTTTTATTGTTCTGATGGGTTCAATAGGATGAAATATATTATTAATTTCACTGATGGGGACAGACTTGAATATAAAACAATCAAATTTGTATTCACACCCACTAGTGTTGAAATGTACTAACAACTCGATAATGTGAATTTTGATGAGGAATACAGAAACCTAAAAATAGTGATTAGTCAAGTTAGATGATTATTAATTTTATTTTATAATCTTGATAATAGTTTATTGATAATAATTAAACAATATATATTTTCTATAAAACTTCATTCAAATTCACAACAGCTCGAAAAGAATTTCTTCAACATCCTCTATCCAAATGGAATGAAACTTAAAACGTACCTAAATATTAATTCTCATTAATTACCAAACATATGCACAAAATTAAATTAATGTCATAAGCAGGGTTAGAAATGTTAAATCAGTTGCAAATGCTAGTACAAGGGTTACAATCAATGTTGAAAAGAATATTATTGTAGAAATTAATCTGCTTTTATCTGCCATCCTCTTGCATTAATCTTTTGGTCCAGACAAAAACAAAGTGCTATGCTATTCAAAATGCTATAGGTACCTCAATATTGCCACTAAATTTCCTATTGAAAATATGATTGCAAATTCTTTGCCATTCCCTTGGAAAAATGAAATGAATGCACAAAATTCTAAGAACCAACCTAATTTTGATAATTCTATAATATTACCTATTCCACTACAAATCAAAAATCCCCACAATCTTTATTGATATGATAGTTTTGGACAGACAGCATCTAAAGGATCATCCTTTTTATCCGAAAAAAAATTATAATCTCCTTTCATTTTATATTTACTTTCAAATAAATATCTTTTTTATTATTTATTTTTTTATTTAATAATGTCAAGAAGAGGTCAATAACCACCACCCTAACAACAATAAGCCCCACCACAAAAAAATTAAGCTGGCAAATTCAACCCAGCCGAATTTGTTAAGCCTGGATTGACCGAAGAAGAAGTCTTAGAAATAAAAGAAGCATTCGACTTATTTGATACAGATGGGTATAATATCCTACTTATTTATTAGTACTCAATCCATTGATCCAAAGGAATTGAAAGCTGCAATGACCTCATTAGGATTTGAAGCCAAAAACTAAACAATTTATCAAATGATTAGTGATTTGGATACTGATGGAAGTGGACAAATTGATTTTGCTGAGTTTTTGAAATTGATGACAGCTAGAATCAGTGAGAGAGATTCCAAAGCTGACATTTAAGTACATAAATATCACTCAATTCATTCTAGAAAGTCTTCAACCTTTTCGATTCAGAAAGAGCTGGAGTTATCACTTTGAAGGATCTCAGAAAAGTAGCTAAAGAATTAGGAGAAACCATGGATGATTCTGAATTGTAAGAGATGATTGATAGAGCTGATTCTGATGGAGATGCTTAAGTGACCTTTGAGGATTTCTACAATATTATGACCAAAAAGACATTTGCATGATTGAAATCATTAATAATAAATAAAAATAAGCAAAATTCTTCTCCAAATATCTCAATCTCATTTTCTTTTACATTCTTTTCTACTGAAAATTATGATTTATTAAGATATTAGTAATTATTCAATTTTTACTTATTATTTATTAATAAACTTTTAAAACGAAGCTCAGATCTATTGTTTATATTTTGGATATTTGATATAATGGTTGATTCAAAAATGGATAGTCCAAGAATATTGAGAGTCAAAATTGTTAGAATATTTCAGTGAACAATATTTTGAAAAGTAATTATTATTAAGTATATGAAAACTAATTACAAATAAATAATATATTTATTGCTAAATTATTTTCATCAACTTCTACTATTCCAAGTAATTAGGGATTATTGTTAATATTACAATATAATTTACATTATTGTAACTCATTATTCGTATTTGTAATGTCTTCTCTCTGATAATGTATTCTTAGATAGAGATAAAATATATTATTTCTGATAAATAATACTTTGATATCAAAATTTTTCATGTATTCCAGATCTTTTGTGATAACACTATTTCAGACTCTAATGTTTATTCACAATTATTTCACTTTGATTTGATATCTTTATAAACTTGATTGTTAAAAATGAGTATTTATTATAAATATTATAATGGCATTTGTATTTTAAGCTGAAAGAACAGATATACTATAGTAGAGTGGTGTTTCACAAGACGTATGATGAAATTGAAAAGCTGTAGATTGGACCTGGTAGCTATATAACACATGAATATTATAAGGTAAAATAAGGAAATGCTCCTTTTGATTCATCTGTTAGTAGGAGTGAAAGAAATAAGAATGAAAATATTCCTGGGCCTGGTAGCTACTATTAAGATAATGAATATGATAAGTATTAATGTATCCTATCAAGTATCACATATGGAAGATAGCATTCACCTAAACAAATGAAGTTATCTGATAAATAATAGCAATCGTTTATATTTGCATCATCATCAAAGCGTTTTGAGGCACCAAAAGTATTTATGACACCAGGGTAATTAATATAATAGATGATTTAGACCTGGAGCATATGAAACAGATGTAGTTATAAATAAACCAATTCAGTAATAGTTTACATCTTAAAATTATATGGAAATTTTGAGAAGTTTGAATAAATATTAATCAATCCCTTCAATTCCAACTGATAATTAGGTTTACGGTTACACAGAGAAAGGAGGTATTTTTGGTTATTAACAGAATAGTACATGATTTGGAATCTAATTAAAATCCTGATGATACTTACTCAGGAATTAAGTAAGATACTGTTGGACCTGGAAAGTATGAAATAAAAGATACATTTGAATAAAATAGAAATAAAGGTCCTTGTTGGCATAAATCAAAAATACCGCGATTTGATCCTTCAATCTCAAAAGATATGAATTAGAAAGTGGGTCCTGGCAGTTATAATTACAGCAACTCAATCACTCCAATATACAAATTAAGTCCATCTGGGAATTTTAAATCTAAATCCAGTCGAACTTTTGATAATACAAAAGGTGAAAAGTAAAAATAGTTTATGAAAATCTATTTCGATAAATAAAAAGAGAAACTAATGAGAAATCCTGGATACTCTGACTTAGAAGATGAAGAATTCGAATTATCTGATGTGAATAATAATTAAATATATTTTAGATTACTACTCCTGGTCCTGGTCATTACTTTGGAAACACTTCTACACAATCTGTATCATCCAAACACTCTTAATAATCCATCAAATTAGGATACAATTGTTTTGGATCTAGATCTAAAAGATTTTAAGAATAAAAAGTTCAATATCAGATAGGACCAGGAGAGTATTAATTAGATACAGAAACAGTAAAATATAACATCGTTTAACCTCCATTTTATTCATCAAATACACGATTTGAAGAGAAATTCTTGGGTCAATTGCCAGGCCCATAAACGTATGATCCAAAAATAACTGTATGCATTTATTACTAATTTCTCTTAGTTAGCAGATAAATTAATGAAGAAATTAGAACGAACTCCAATAGGGAATTTTGGAATAAATGAATCAAGATACAAGGAAGAATATCATCAAGTGCCAGGACCAGGAACTTATGAAATAAATAATAAAGTATAAAAAGGGATCAATTCAATTTTTAAATCAAAAACTGACAGGAATAATTCTCTTAAATAGAAAACTGACAATTTTCCAGCTCCAGGAACTTATAATGTTTAAATTAATACAATATAGCATGAGATCAAAAAAAACCATGAAGAAAATCAAGAAATCAAACAATAGAAACAAGCATTTGGTTCATCTATGCCCAGATTTATCAGTAGGAAAAATATACAAGAAAGAGTGCAATAAGAGTTTGAAGAAGAAGAAGAAGAAGAAGAGGAAATATAAAAATTACATAATTCATCTGGGTTATTTAAAAAAAGTAAGAATGTCTAAGCCTCTTTCAATGTTAGGGTAAGAATACTTTATAAGTTTAGGAAAATAGATTTCAAACTAAAAAGAAAGATACATATAAATTAGGTCCTGGAGAATACTATAGTCCAAATAGTAGTAAGTGGGAGAAAACAAGTTTTAATATATTATTTTAAAAAATATGAATTGTATGATAATTATAATTTTGTGTTTGAATATATATATACAAATTGAATTCATTTTGGATCATAATTTTTTGAAGAATTTAAAGTCAGATTTGGTGTGTTAATGTAATCTTATAGAAGATTTCACAGAATCAGTAATTTTAAATTATTTAGATATTGAAATACTGGTTTTGCATTTATTTGAATGTTAACTAAAATTAGTATTGCAATCACATACCTATTTGTATTGAATATCTGAACTTATAGAGGAGATAATAATTTAGATAAGGCATTTTCTTTGACTGTTCTTTATGTAAACGAGCCTATTTGTTTTGGTAGTTACTTTATATTTATTCTGGGAGAAGATTGAATTTAAAAGGGTTATTGATATAAGGATTATTGTTTAGTTGATTTATTTGAACTTATTGTTTACTAAGTAATTTAGGTAGACTATTAATTAATCATCTTTCTTGACAAGACCTATTTGATTGTTTTCTGGGATAATCCAATAGGCAATTTGAGAGATACTGAGTTAGGCGTTTATATAATGTGCATCTGTTTTTTTTATTTCTTTTCACTAAGATATTTAAGGAACTTATCTAATTAATCTTAATCTCGATTGGAGGGCATTAATTAGAGATCTCCCACATTTAATTTAATGGAATTGAGTTTAGTTTGTATTTTATCAATTGTTCTTGATACTTCAGTAATATCATTCAAGACATTACTGTATTGTCTCCCAGACTTTTATGTAGTTGTATCATCTGGTTCTTCTCCAACAATTTTCTTTTTAGGTTGATTTGGATTTGATTTGTTATCTTTTTCAATCATTCTCTTAATTCTAAAATACTCGATCCTCCTTTTCTTATCATGATAACTACAATAATTAAGCTCTTATGTTTACCTACTCATTATGTCAGCCAACTTATGAAGGAAGCATCTTGGGATCTCATTATGGTACTTATAATATTCAGTTAATAATGTGAGCTTTGTAGCTATTTCATCTAAAATAATGCAAAAATAAATACGAATATTGTATGTTCTTCTTAAATATTCGCTTTCTTCATTGAAATTAGTTTCATAATGAAAATTGATCACATGTGCTAATCTGGCATTTTCAATGTATTCGTTTAAAGACTTTGTATAATAGTAAGTATCCTATTGAGAATATTTGTAAGCCAAACTTTGTTGAAGGTCTATCTTGGATAAGAAATTATTGCTCATTTATATATTTAATACAAAATATAAAATTAAAAAGGTATTTCAGCATTATTATTGATTATCCTAATTGCCAGTAAATTCAATTCAATTATTGTTTCATCAATATTAACTATTCATCTTGATTTAATTGTATATTAAATTAGACAATTACAAATTAAAGAAATGAGCCATAAATTATAGAAATCTATCTTAGATTTAGACACTAATACAAAGTCAATTTTGAATTATCTGGCATCTTTATTACTTTATGAATTTTTATTGTGGCAACCTCCCCTTTCTTATTATGATTTTAATTCTTAATTAACATACAATGAATTTTCAATAAAAGATTGTTCTTTTTTAGATCCTTAGAATATTGGAGGTGTTGAAAATGGTTTCTGTTCTAATTTAATATCTTTTTAATTATTTGCCTAAAAACAATCTTATTCTGAATTATTCTGGTGTCTTTATATCTAATACATTTGAAATTCCCAACTGGAATAGATTGAGACAAAAAGTGCAACTTGGCTAAATAAATACCAGCATTTTTAGATATTTTGACATTATCAAACTACTTATAATATATATCTGCTTAAGTCTTCTATATAAATTTCAAATAAATATTGTTTAGATTCTGAATATATTTGCTACTCGAAGTGTCTTAATTATTTGATCTTATAAATTTTTAGATTTTTTAAGTGTAAGTTTCATCAAAGATGAAATTATGGTATTTATCTAAGTTGAAATATTACCCCATAGGTTAAAACTTATTGAAGAATTGAAAATCCTTTTATGGTCCTTTAAATGTCATGGTAAAAAATAATAATTTATAAATACTCCAAATTATACTCGATGATACACTGCTAAATTATGCTGCATGGCTCTCTGGAGGTTAAAATCAAAGCTTGGAATCTAAACTAATAATGAAGATACCAAAAATAACAAAGGGTTTGGTTGATAAGATAAAGGATAATATGTTTTAATTAAATAAAGTATTGAGAAAAAAATACCAATTCTCTAAAGAAAGATTGTAATAATTAAATGCAGAACAATTAAATTCAACTTTACATTAAATAATTCAAGATGATGAAAATAAAAAAGAAATATTCAATGAATTAGAAAAATCTTCATCAACACAGATTGAATAAATTAATATCAAATCGATGAATTGAGAAAAAGGAAAAAAATGTAGGATATTCGGGAAAATTAAAAAACATCAAAAAATAAATTTCAAAATTTGTTATAGAACCAATAAGATTTGAATACAGAATATAAGAAGCAACAAGTTATATCGATATGAATTGAAATTTGATTAGTGGTCAATATTTATAAATCAATCAAAAAATTACACTCTCCTATAATATGAATGTGTTTTAGCTTTAAACAAAATGAGATTAAGATTTAATTTAATATTCAAATTAACCTTCTAACAGATTTTTCAATTCAATTATCTCAATTAGGAATTGATCTGAAAAATAATAATAAAATTGGATAAATAATAAAAGTATAATAAAATTGAATTATTTCATTTGATTAGTTCTTCAACTTTTGCACACTAATTTCATTTATATAAAAGGAATTATTAAAGTATTTATTGAAAACAAAAGTGTTTACTGATAAAACGTAAATAGTTTTCATTTCTTTTGTAAAATTTTAGACATGATCAATTTAAAAATACTCTTGATATTAGTTTAAAATAATTAATTGTATAAAAAGATTTACTCAAAATTATGTATTTTTCTTATTCTCTACTTAGAATAATCCTTATTTATAAAGATTTAAAATAATTACAGTAATTTTCTATTAGTAAAACATCTTTGAATTGAATGTTAGCAATATGACTTGTTTATTAGTTGGTGAAAGATTAGCACCTGAACCTTGGATATCAATTTCAGTTTAATGAAACTAATAAATTTGATTGGATAAATATTTAGTTTGCATTAGAAATTCATGAAAACAATTAAATGCTTAAGTAAACTAATATATTTTTTTAATCTATTTAAGGAATTGGTGGTGATTTCTAGTAAGAAATAATAGAGTTTTCAAAATATTTCTTATCTTGCAATATTCTCAATGAAAGATTAGAGTTAAATTCTGATTTAGGTCTATTCATCTCTTTGAAATTGATTCCAATTGATCATAGTGTTCTTAATACCTTTTATTGATTATAAATTTAATTAATGGGTAAACATAAACATCGATCTTCTTCTAGTTCAAGTAGTAATCGAAAAAAACATAAGAAAAAGCATCATCATCAAAAGAAAGAAGTGAAATAAGAACATGTCAAGAAAGAAGAACAGCCATAACCAAATTAACCAGAAATAATAAAAGAAAAACCTTGTTTTGAGGCATCTGGGATATTAGCATAATATGCAGAAAATGCTTTAGGGAATGGCAAGGTGTTAAAGTTTACAATACCATTTGATGCTAAAATTCCAACAGCAAATTGGCAGATATTTCCCTTTAAAGGAACACAATCATATCGTATATTTTAGTATTATTTATAAAAGCTTCTATCTCTTTAAAAGGAAAGTCAGTATTTCTGATTGGAAAGGATAAAGAAATAGTTGATATCTTAGTTGAAAACCTATCAGTTTCAAAATAGCATTGTGTTATATAATTTAGAGAAATCAAGAAGGTAAATGGTTAAGGAGAAGTGTTATCTTATATCAAGCCATATGCAATGGATTTGGAGAGCACTAATGGGACCTATCTAAATGAGTAGTAATTGGAGCCTGCAAGATATTATGAATTATTAGAAGAGGATGTACTCAGATTTGGGAAAAGCGACAGGGAATATGTCCTTATAAAATCATGATGTTTATTATTATCAACTTATTCAAAATACACTATCCCATTCAGCATCCTTTGCACTTGCTAGGACTTTCTTCTACCCTTAGGTATCCTTCTATATTTAATCAAAAACAGAGATAGCTCGTTGTTATGCACTCTGAATCTAAGCGGGTGTCATAACCTTGTCTTTTCCTGGTAACAATGGTGCCTTCAAGCTCTTATTCAATAGTTTCTCCTAGAATAGAAATGAATATTATGAATACCCAATCATAATCCTTAAACCAAACATGAGATTTAAGAGTAGAGTATGATCCTCCGAGTCTGACTTCTGGGATCTTGTTCATTAATTGTTCTATAAATGGTTTTGCAGATTTGTCAGACATAAAATGGGGATAACTGATTGGTTTCTTTATGATTTCTTTATAAATTTCAAATGGATCCTCAGCTTCTTCTCCAAATGGTAATCCACCACAAATAAATTCATATACACACACTCCTACACTCCATAAATCAGCAAAGTAACCATAACCTTTTCCTGAAATTACTTCTGGGGCCATGTAGTGTGGAGTACCAATAATCGTAAATGTCTTAGTAGATTCTACAATAATATCTAAATATACATTAATTTTTAAAAGACTTAGCTGTTCCCATATCGATTAGTTTAAGATATCCTTTATCATCAACCATAAGATTTTCTGGTTTAATATCTCTATACACTATGCTATGTTAAGTATGGAGATATTCCATTTGTAATATCATTTAAGAAGCATAGAATTGAGCATCGAATTTGCTTAATAATCCTAGGGTAATTGAATATTTTACCAATAACTCTGATGGCATCAAATAATTCCATTCCTGCTATGTATTCCGTCAAAAAGTAAATGTTTTCATTATCTTTATAGGATCTGTAGAATTTAAGAATGAATGGATTATCCATCAATTCTAAAACAGCCTTTTCTTATTGGATATGTTTTTATATTCCGAATTACTGGACATGTGCTCTTGTAACATATTTGAGAGCAAATAAGGTTTCTAATTCTTTAAATTTACATAAATAGACAGATCCAAATTATCCTGAGCCAAGTTTATTGAGATAGACCAAATTTTTGAATGGTTGACTCTTAATTTATTCTTCATGAGCATTCGATTTTTCTTATTGCTATGCCTTTCCTTATTGTATTTTTTCAACACTTCCTGATTGCTTTCTAAATGCTTCATAATCAATTATTGCTACATGTCCTTCTGCTTCAATAGAAATAGTCTTTAAATGAGTAGTGCCTGACAATTTATCTTATAATGAATCTTCAAAGAGAATCGATCCCTTAACAAATTTAACTTTATTTTCATCAACAGCATCACTATCTAAGAGTATGACTAATTGACCAACTTTGTCTCCTTTCTAAATAATTTTGGAATTGGCAGTAAACTTTCTTATTTACACACCTTCGAGTAATTTATCTTAATAAGTATGGGGAGTTTTGCTAAACAACTTGGATGAATTGAGAGCCCATTTACAAATGTTTTTATAAATGATAGTTTGAACCTAGTCTCCCAAGATCTATTAAATCATATCTTTTCCTAAAGCCAACACTTTAGTATCCTTTTAGACTGCTTTGATAGTCATCATTCTCACTTGATGCTCCTACTTAAGAGCAGACTCACCAAATGAATCACTAGGATTGAGCACTGAGATTTGTTATCCATCCTTATTGAATACTCCACATTGTCCCTCCACTATGATATAAAAAGAGCTAGCTTAATCTCCTTCATTGACAATAATTTCACCAGCATTAAATTTTTAAGATATCAGGACTCCAGCTACTGCATCTTTCTACTCTCTTGTTAATTAATCTAAAAGTAGAATGATTATTATTACTAAAGAATTTAACACTTTCCAGGTATTTACGATTCTTCTCTTACTCGCTTCTCATAATGGTTTCAACACTTTTTCTAAAGGTATGCCTGTCGATTCCCCATAGGTAACACTCTTCAACTGCCATACAAGTCGCAGATCTTGGTGCATTGTACAATAATGCTAATTCACCAAAGCCTTGTCCTGGTGTTATTTCTTTTCGCGGTACATTATCCACTATAACATTAATCTTTCCTTTTTCCAAAATGAAAAACGAGCTTGCTCCGTCTCCCTGACGAATGATTGTTTAGCCAACTGATAATTTACAATAAAACATGCTATGAGCTAATTGAGTCCTTTGGTTAGCATATTAACATTTACAATTATGTTTCAGTCATTGAGCTAAATACAAAATGACCTTAAAAGCATTTTATGATAAATTTGATATCATCTAATGCTTGATTCTTTTGTTCAGGATGGAATGTTTCAAAGATTTGGGTCAAACCACTCTCCTGAGTTGGCTTAATTGCAATATTACGTTTCGACACTCTTCTAATTAGTTGGGCTTGAGGTGGGGCTATTTGTTATTGAACATTCTTATCAATTCCGAATTCTTGGACTGAGGACTTCTAATTCCAGTGGTTTTGATCCATAATAATTATAATTATTACAAAAATATCTATTTTTCATTTAGGATATTGATTTTTATATTTAATTGGCTTAAATACTAGAAATCATAACAATTTCAAATGCAGCAATTTACGTCATTATTTATTATATGAAATCTCTAATTGTGCTATCTTTGTTGATATACTTAATAGCAACCCAAGAGAACTGCAGATTTGCATTCGAATACACTCAAAAGGAATTGCAATCAGATCCCAAGAAAGTCCAAGAGTTTCTGTCCAAAGTTATGAAATGGGAATCGAACTTCGCTAAGGATTTAGGAATCGACAAGAAATCTGGTCTAACTTTAGATGGGCAATAATTGGATGTGAACACTGGAATGCCCAATGGTAAACCACATCAATTCACTGCCTCATCAAAGGAGTCAATCCATTTGGCTCTGATTGGATTAGCTCTAGCTAATAATGAATATGCCAAATAGATCTACTCCGAAGAAGAAGCCTTGGACCTACTGAACAGAAAGATCAATACATACGAATAGTTCGACAAGGATTACCCAGGTTATGGAGGATTCTTGCCATGGGTGGCAGTGAATGATGGAGTGGTCACTCCAACTTGGGATTGGACTGATGGAGTACCTTCATTGGATAATGGACAATTGTTTTGGGCTGCTTATGCAGTTGTGTCTGTGTTGGAAACATGGTATTCAGATCAAGACGAGTTGATTGGAAGATATACTAGATTCTATCAGAAGATGGCTAACAATTCCATAACAGTATTCTACGAAGGTAATGGGATGATAAGAGCAGTAACTAGAATCTAAGACATCAAAGCCAGTGTAGAAAAAAATTAATACTCAAACAGATAATCAGACTGTACCAACTTCAAAAGTCCTTGTTATTTGGATGATCCATATGAAGGAGAATTATTCGCATGGATGATGTACTTTTATGCCCCTTGGAAAGATCAAACAGAAAGAGAGAAGATTTGGGTGGCAAAGAAATCCAAATTACAAGTAGTCGATTATAAGGTTGCTGGATTGAATAAGTACATCTCAGTTCAAAGAGGATGGTGGTTTTCAGCACATGAACAATGGAAATATCTCTTCATGCCTTACACTCACGATTAAATCTAGTTAAACTTATTGATTAACGGTGAGAAAGTACGTACTTGGGATGCCAGAAACAATGGCAAGCCTGGAATGTTCGCTTCGATTACCAGTAACATCACAAGGAATGAAGATCAAGTAGATTATTATAGTGCATGTGGCATTGAAGAAGTCTCCTATATCCCTGTGACATACAGACATTTAGTAACTCCATATTCAACTATGACCATGTTTTTGGCAAATCAAGAAGTAGCAGTCTCTTGGTATCACAACATGATATCAGGACCTGCTGGACAGAATGCCTTTGGAAGCACTGAAGGAGTTGTTGTCGATGGCACTTCAGTTGCTCCTTTTGTCACTTGGGACAGTAAGATGACTACAGTATTGGGTATGGCTGGTGGAATATTTGATTATACAGCTAAGAAATTGAATGCAGAAGGAAATTATAATCTGTTCTTGAAAGTGTTGAATAGAGAATGGCAACAATATTTTTCTAATCTTAAAGGGGCAGATGTTCCTTTTGCATATCCCAATGCCACATTCCCATAGATCAAGAAAGATTTCACAACCTGTGCAAGAAAAACAGATGTTGTTGAACAATGAATACGTTTATATATGTTGTATAAATAGATTCATTTCTTATATTATTAAAATGGGTTGACAAAATCTGGAACTACAGAGTTAATCTTATTGCTTGAACGAATAAATGTGGTTTTCCTTTTTAATTTCAAGGTCTCCTTTAGATTTTTCAAAGTATTCTCCACTTTACCAGTTTTTTTCATTGGAGTGATAGATTTCAATTTAGCATTCCTTCTCAATCTCAAGAAGTTTTGAATGTACAAAAAGGGATACAACATGAACTTACGCATTCTCTAGAGGATTCTAGTCTGCCATTCAAAAATGTCTTATTTTACATACACTATGACATCTTCAGCATTTTGTTTATTATAATATTATTCGAAGGATGCCTTGGTCTCAAAGTCATCAAATCTCTACTGATTAAATGACCAATAGTTTGATTCCAACTATAATAATGCTTTTTTGCTGATAGTATCATTCTCGTTCAACTCCAAATTCCGTTGTAATTGATGATATAGATTTGTGATGTTGTCTAACATATTATCATTGAAATCCTGTATTGCCTCGGCTATCTCCTCTCTCTTTTTTTTAAAATCAATAGAAGTATTCATCTCATTGTCTTCACTAGAATTATTCTAAATTCCACTGTCGAATTCCTTGATCTCGTCTACCAATGGTATAGGTCTATCCTTGCGATTTCTGGGACTCTTGCTCATTCCAAAAGCACCTGCTAAAATCGATTGTTTTCTATTCTATAGAGCATGATTGAGATTCTATCTTAATTCATTCACATTATTTTGCTAATCGGTTTTCATTTAATGTTGCTATTCATTCTTATTTGTTTAAATCTATTGCGTTGTGTTATTATTCTAATCACTAATTAATCTATTCACTCGAGAAGATCTAATATGTTATGCTTAAAATATGGGAGCAGTTTGAGGTAGTTTAAATGCTGGAGAACCTGCATCATCATCAAGTGATGAGTTGGAATCTGATCCGCATTCAAAATTCAATAAAATCTTGGTTTGATTCATTATGGTTTACTGATTTTCATTCTAAAAAACTAAAGCATATTATTGAGCCAAATCCTTCATCAATCTTGTGTGCCATTATTATATCTCCTTATTCTATTTCCTTGCATATTAAGAGGAATTCTGAAAATTAGACATGCAATGTCTTTTTATTACAGCTTCTCTATTTGGAACATATTAAACTTAAGGACAAGTATTGAGAGAATGCTTAAAACTTAAACATGCTGGACAAAATACACCATTTTCCAAAGCAGGTGGATGGTAACTCAAAGTAATGGTTTCTTTCAATTAACAGAACTTTTGAAAATCCTCAGGATAATCTTTCAATGTTTCCATGAAATCAGATTTGGACAATATCAATAAACTAACATATCCTATGGCTTTGAAGTGATCGACTTGAGGATTATTAGTAATGAAATCATTAACGCAAAAGAATTATCCTTAATTAATCACAGCATTCATCTTTGATCTTTATTTTCTCTCAGGATGCTAATACACTATAAAACCTTGTTCAACAAAACATAAATGTTACTCATTTGAGAAATCAGTTGAGAAGGTATTCTAAGGAGGTACTATCTTTCTCTTAATAGACTTGAATAGAGCATTACGTAACTCTTCACTGAAGTATTTCTACAAGAATTCTGACTTTTAAATGAAGACTTTGTGTGCCTGCTTGTCCAATTCCTCTTTCAATTCATCGGATAACTACTCTAATAGTGTCTGTTCCATCTCTAGATCCACTTCATCATCTTCCTTCCATCTGAATGTCAAGTACTCCTTCACTCTAAAATTAGACAATAATAAAGTACTAGTGTTGTAAACTGTATGGAATCTTCCTTTAATTCATGTACTTGTTGATTACTCTCATTCTCCTATTCCTTTCCACTTGGTTCTAGGTGATATCATCGATGATGCTGCCAATGAAGTTCACACTATAAGATACCCATAAACCTATTCACATAAGCTGAATATTCATACATGCCCCCAACACAAAAACCATCGTCACTATTTTCTCAATAGCATTTTTAGGCACCATGTCACCATATCCTATAGTTAACATTGTGACCACTGCGAAGTACAGTGCCTGTAAGTATTGCTCTTCCCAACTCTTATCTTCTATGTCATTAAACCGGATCCAGGAGTCCTCTACTCGAATGCTACTGAAATAGAACCAGATGCAACTAAATAAGTGCAGGATATAGAGCAATGTCAAAATGAATTTCAATAACCCAAACACTCCTCTTTAGGGTCTTGTCAAATAGGATATCTAATCGCTCTTTGCAAAGGTCTCATACACATATTTGTGTTAGCCTAAGATGACCAGTAAGAATAAGTTGGCACTGGTGTTCATGTCAGGGATAATCATGAAGATTATCAAAATCAAAGATGTTGAGAAATCTGTGAGAAATTCCTTTTTCAATTGATGGACTACCAAATCCCATTTATCCTTTATGGCATATCCATTCTTATAAGTCAAGGTGTTAATTCGAATCAAGAAGTCCAGTTGCAATATAAAGAGAATTACATATGTAATATATATGAGATTATTGAAAAGGATTTCGGGTTTAAATGCTATTTCCAAAGGTACCAGAATTAAAAGCAAAATTCTAAATATGGAAGTGAAGAAATCCCAATACATTTTGAATAAGGACTCTGGTTATATGATGGGGATTTTAGTGATGATTGCATTGAGACAATTAAAAAGCGGTTTTCGAAGTTTCTTCAAATCCTCCTTCACCTATTCCAAAGTTGTTGTATCCTTGATATCAGTTTCTTTTTTCAATAAGGTCTACATCTTCTTGATGTTGAAGCCAGCTGACTTCATTCGTTTTGAATGCATGAACAGGGTTTGTCTATTATAGTGATATGAATTTACGAATCAGATGCTTTGTCTCCTATCAAATTGAAATGAGTATCGTTTAGACTACCCAATTACTTTCGACTTTAAGACAATTTCTCGACAAACCTTCCAATATAAAACAAGGACATAAAACTAGATTCTGCATTTGTCTAACTTCTCCTTCTTTCAACCTCCCTTCTATGAAAAACTGGCTCCTTTGGAGTCTAGATGTTTGAAGCTAGAATGTTCTCGTCATTATTTGAATCTGGCGATTTTGGACTATGCAAATATTTTGCTTCTAGACTTTTTGCACTTAATGTTCTGCTGGCTATCTGAGGCAACACTAACGAGAATTCCTTCTTAGTCTCTCGCAAACACTAACCCAAGTATTGTTACTCAAAATCCTCATTCTAAACCGCCCTCAATTCCACATCCTACTCGAAATCAAAACCACTTTAGAGATTTAACATTTAATTAATAAATCAAATACTTTAACTTGAGATCCTATTGTATTTTTAAAAACTAAAGGCCATTTCCAGAAGATTAAATTTATACTAAAACAAAAAGAGAAGAAATAATTTACATTCGATTATGATCAGTGCAATAAAGAAACTGATATTGAGGAGTCTTATCCATCAAGAATTTAATTATATCATAATCCCTTATGCATTTGCATCCACTTATAGTTCAAGTTGCTCAGGAAGAACAAAAATATTGTTAGAAAAAAGAGCAAAATTCGATAATTATAGGAAGTGAATCTAAACATTATAAAATGCTTGAATCAGTTTAAATAAAGAAGTGCTAATTGAATATTTAACTTAATAATTGACTATATTAGAATCGTTTTTAAGGGGATTTAGTTCTAGTTCCAAAGAAATAATCTATGCAAAATTTCAATTATGGATATTTTAATTAAAATAACGGGAAAATAGAACTAGATCTCTCTTTGACTTCTAGCTGAATAATATGATTATTAAATATTCATTTAGGCTTATCTTTAGTATCAGGAGACAATTTTGTCGAACAAACTTACCTCAATGAATTGAAATTTCAATTCTAGAATAATAAATCAATCCTCTTAATTATTTTATTATTCAATAGCCATCATATCTCTTTTGTAGTAGAAATTCAAAGTGAGATCATTTCTAAATCTTCAATATACTAATATATTTCTTTGGAACACTTTGATATATATTTTGTTCCCTAATGATATGGAGTGAAACTATAATCCAACGTAATTTAAGATGAATCTTAGGAGTCTAAATTAAAGGTGGAAATAAATTGGTACTTAGGAAGGTATAAATAATTTCAAAGTCATAAACAAAGAATGCAAAGTACATTACAGATAGGATGAAGTCATACTCATTTTGAATTAGGCAGACAAGAAGAAATAATAATAATAAAATAAGTTTGATAATTATATGTTATATTATAAACCTAAACACTTAAAATCGGTTGTTCCTTCAATTTTTACAACTGAACCTCCAAGTGCAGCCGATTCTATAATTTTAGATTCTCGTATATTAAGCGAGGAAAAGCTCAATCTGAATAGCAAGTTTGCTTTGCTTGATCAATTCAGTCATCGAGCCTTTGATATCAAAGAATATAATTTGACTTAAAGAGAATTGCCAAGCATAAAGAAACATGTAATATCGAATAATAAATTGGATGTTTGGGGTGAAACAACCTTGACCCTCTATAGAAATCAATTCCTTTACACATCCTTAGATATCCATGAAAAATATTCACCAGTGATCTTATTCATCTACGTAAAAAAAGGGGATCCCAATACAAAAATGCGATTATTTTGTTCTGTTAGATTTTAATAACCCAATCGTTTCAATGCAGAAATCGAAACTTATGGTCGAGTGCTTAAATATCACTCTAGAGAAGGCACAACTTTTTATGACCCTACTCTATATGTTGCAATCTTAGCACAAAATGATGTGGTTATTACTATCAAAAACGAATTTGCGAAACCTCCTATACCTAGAAAAATCCTGTAATTTAAAAAAAAGGATGAACAAACTTAGGAATTTGAAGAATTAGCTGATTTAATCATTCGAAAACGAAAGTTAAAATAGAAATCTTTAAATTTCATCAATTTTAATAGATCGTTGCTTCGAAAGCAAAGGATTGAATCTCCGTGCAACACTGAACGATTAAAAGAGATAAAATACAAATAGACATCCATATTAAAAGAATAAAACCTAAAACATATTGCGTAGATTGCTTTACATGATGTTGCAAAAGAAATCAAGCATAAATAGATGAACATCCAACTCAAGTAATCTGCTTAACTTATAAATATAGATAGATGCATAAAGAATGGGTCTGTAAGAAATGGATTTAAATTGTCATTCTAATCGATTACATAGCACCGTCTATAAGTAATTATATTAAAGTACAAAAACGCATATCTGAGAAAAACATGAGGAAATAAATATTGACAATGCAATTCATCCACAAAATTAAACATAACATTTTACAACAAGGACCAAAGATAAAACCAAGAACCTTGTTGCTCTGTAAAATGAGCATGTAGATTTGTATCCACAGTCAACAGGACAAGGTGAAATAGAAGAGTCACCATATTATCATCGAAATTCTGAGACAAAACATCCGAAGCTATTATAAAGTCACAAAGGGCTTACACACTGTTAATCTAAGTAAGTGATCATTTGGATTTAGTTAAAAAATGCATCAACATGCTTGTTAGACACAAGAATAAAAGGTTGGAATTCATGGCTTCGATGAAGATTGCCATATCCCATCAATGCAAACAGATCTATGGGGACATCTTGAAGATGAAGTAGCAATCAATATCGCAACTGCCTCTTTAGCAATAGTAGCAGCAGGAAAAGAATAAGAACAAGAGGGATCCCCTTCATTACTTAATTCATGATTAGTATAGAATTTATTATTATCATTTTAATAGATAATTTATAATGTTTATATATAAGAAATTATTTACTAATGTGTTACAGAAATGGAATTAGGACTTTGATGCTTTTCGAACAGTCTATCATGACAGTAAGAAAAAAGGATTGGCCTTGTTGTTGAGACCATTGCCCTTAGAAATACCAAAGGAAGAGATTATTAATAACTATATTGTGGAGGAATTGGACCGCAGAGGATTGATAAATTATTAATATTATCCGTTAAATTAATGAATTCTCCAAGAGCAGAAACTCTGGATTTAGAATTAAATGACACTATCAACAAGATCTATAATGGTTGTTAGAAGATCAATGATAAACATCTCAGAATAAGGATATTGCAATGGTTAGATAAAGTGAGAACTCCAACACACAATTTTATTTGGAAATAGAATTCTTTATTATATGCTCGTGTTCTATTGGAGATGACTCTTGAAAAATAATTAGACAAACCCTTTAGAGGAGTACCTCCAGACGGGCCATTGCCGAGATTGGACAAATTTGATGTCGTAATTGATTTGTAATTTAATAGTAAGCCTCAACAAGTTTGGCAGAAACTCAAACAAGTTCAGTAGGCCCAATCTCCCAGGAAACCTTTAGGGATGATTTTGAATAGAAATCTGACTCCAAAATTGAAGACTGAGCCTGGGTCTTACAAATGCAACAAATTCCATAATAGTCAGAAATCCCAGAAGTGGGATCAAATCAAAGAGACTCTAGAAGGGGCTAATAAAAATATGCAAGAATTTAAACAATTTTTAGAAAATTTATAAACTTAATAACTATCTCTTTGAATTATTAATGTTATTTATTATTATATAAATCCTATTGACTTAAGCATAAGAAAACTAAACTAACTATCTTTACCTTTTCAATCAATCTGCACTCGAAATTCAAGTCACTCTATACTCACACATAAATCAACCCTTTATTTTGGCATCTTCCAATAAAAAATTTGAAAACATATTTTATGTAGAAGGATAGGATAAAATACAATCTCTGAATTATGATCATGAGTCATTCATCACAAACAACGATATTCATGTAATATTTACTGAACCTGCTGTTGATTTGTACATTTATGCTGGTTACTTAAATTAATCGTATAATCAATACTCTAATTTCTCTATCCTAATCAATAATCAATCTGGAGAATGTCCTTCCTTCTGTATTCAAAAAGGTAATTCCTGTAATTCAATTAACAAAGAGTGTTTATGCAAATCCGGCTACTTCGGACGGTTTTGCTAACTCTAGAGGAAAATCGGAGTTTTATAAATCCAATATGACATCATCATCAAACCACTTTAATGGGTCTACATTGGTTTTGAAACCAAGCAATTGAATTCCAATGATACTTTAAAGTTGAGGATTCGTGATCAGTCATCTGAAATGCTCATGGGATTGGGAATGTAAGGAATAGAAAATCACGAAGTTCCCAACATCCATTATGACGCATACATAATACCAAAGAAAATACAACAGTAAATCTACCAATTAAAGGGCGATTTAATCTATTATCAATCAATGTGTATGAATTGCACATTTTTGAATATCGGATTTTACAATTAGCATTCCTTTCCAATACTTTTCTATTTTGAACTCTTTGAGAAGGAACAATTAAAAGAGAACGACCCCTACCATTTGCAAACTATCTTGCAATCCATCTTCCTTACTTGTTTCATATTGATCACTTACTTGATATTTAGAAAAATAAGACAGAAACAACAAAGAGAGTAGATCAGATTGGTCTAACGAGAAGCGAGAGGAAATAGAAGGAGAAGAAGAATATAACAACAATAGAACGATGAGATTTAAAAAGGGTTTAATTTAGACTTCATCTAAACATATTTCCCTCAATTCTATTACTTAGACCTGGTGGATAAGTACCCTTAATTAAGTGAATTTGTCGAATGTGTGGTTTGTTTGGAATCAATGGCTCCTCCTCAATAAGGTAAATTGACAGAAAGAGATCACATAGATCATTGTTCATTGACTCCCTGTTATCATCTATTTCATTAGCATTGTCTCTTCAAATGGTTACAAACTCAAAAATGTTGTCCCCTATGTCGTAAGGAATTCATTGAACAGGAGATTAAAAATAAACCTTGGATTAGCTTTAACAACGATATTAGTTTAAGGGAAAGTAGTAGAGCGAATCCTTTTGTTTAGAGGATGAAGACTAGAAGTGAGAACACTTAGCAATCTGATATTCCTTTGATGGTGGACACTGAGAATGTGGAAACCCAACCTAATAAAGATATTGTTGTAAATATTGCTTAAAAGAGTGCAAGAGATTTGATTATAAGATGAATTTATATTATAATTTTTAACAACTTTTTCAAAGTAAATGCCTCCATTTACTCCAGATGCGCGTAATTTAGGTGGTAGGAACTTAATATCTTAACAAATTTGGAATCATTTACAACAACTGAAGGAAATATCTTAACAAATACCTCAACTTCTGATTTCGCCACGCAAAGTTCCCAATTCACCCAAACAAAGTATCGAACCTTTAAATTGCAAGAGAATGAATCGAAAACAAGACTATCTACTCTGTCCAACTTACTTGTTTAGACGGAAAACGGTTTCTGAAAGTTTCACATCATTGAGTCCCAAACACATTCAAGATGAAACACAATTACTATTCTAAGAACCCTTGTTGAGAAGACAGAAGAATTTGAAATCGCCTCAAAAGATCTTTCCCTTCAGCACCATTCAATTGGGAGCATTGTACAGAGTCAAAGCTAACGAAATCAAGATCAATAAAAATCAGGATCTGATGTAAGATTGTCTATAATAAAAGATAATGGAATGAAGTGGAGCAGGATGTGAGGGATTTGAATAACAACTTCGATGAATTGCTGATCCAGATCCAATAGATCGTTATGGATTTTGGGATATTTAGTGCATAGGATTATCAGATTCTGATCTAGATGATCTTGCGTCTCAAACCTCAAATCCCCAAAATGGACTTACTCAATATATTTAATGAATTGATTATTAAGCAATAATTATAACTGTCTTGATCATTAATTAATGGGAACATGTTAATAATGCAAATCGTATGTTGAAATCAGCAATCTCACCATCATTGACTAACTTAGCAATGATTTCATAGTTGTGTAAGACGATTATTAGCATCCTTTGTATGGCAAAGTCAACATACTAGAGTACAAAGAACCCAAACAATTTGATTTTAAATTAGTACATAAACTTATTACATTTGTAGAGAGAGAAGACTTTCAACAAGCATTACAATATTATGAAGCCAAATTTTATGGGTTCAATCATCCCAACCTCCTCATCATACATGGTATCTCATCTTCATCTTACACTAGCAATGCAAAATCGACAAATAGATCAATTCTTTAACACCCAATACAAATTGTCACTCTTTCTAGATTACTATGAAACCACTCTCGCCTAAGAATTACTCTTCAGAAAGAAAATATATTTTGAAGAAAGAGAAATACTATTCTTTCTGGATTCCTTAATCGGTAGTTAAGCCTTCCTCCAATCTAAAGGTCATGCCTTGTCCTCCTTAAAATTTGATAAGATCTATCTCACCAATCTCCTTAATGGAGCCATCGCTTTGAAAGTCCAAAGTCCCCTATTTGACCCCAAAGATTAGGAAATGGAATTCAATGCTTTATTTGATAAAATAATAAAGGGTGAGTAAGTCAAATTGCAGGATTACCCATACCTCAGTCCAGAACAATGGCAAATGATTCACAATAAAAAGTTGGAATCTTACGATCTCTTTAAATCCAATGTATTTGTACTTGGTCTAGTAAAAATATATATGCATATTCGTTTAGATGACATTAGAATTATGTTCTGTTCGTCAGAGTATCACCTTATATAAAGACTACATGATTGATCAGACCCTTTTAAATGATCAAATCAATAAAGTTAAAGAGAGATATGGAGAAGTATTACCCTTGCTTTTAGAAGCTATGTTGTATTACGATCCTAAAGTGAGATGCGATTTCTTATAGTTGGATGATCTATTGAATTTACAACAATTATTAAATGGTAAAAGACTGTCTCAAATTTGGACTACCGAAGATTTCTAGTATAGTTTCATTGAGAAAAAGGTACTCAGTACGATATACTATTTATAGGTTCATTTCACTACAAAGCAGCACTCGCTTATTCATCCAGAAGTCTAATCCTAATTATCTAATTAATCATTATTGCAAAAAGGATCACATTTATCACTCAAATAAGTCTTATCAAAAAATTCCAAAGAGTCCAAAGCATCAAGTGTATATATATTAATTCATAATTCAAGTCATTTATTTAAAAGAGAGAATCATATTCACCTTAAACACAAAAAAAGAATTTGTTTAAAAAATTCGAAACAGAACAAGCTTCAAAAGGAGGCAGCAAGAAACTCATTACTTAAGATGGATTTGGAGTGGAATCATTAGCTAATGGCCTAACATATGAAGGTATATTTTAGGGGGGTAAAAAGTAAGGGCTAGGTAAGTTGATTAATGATGACAACGAGATTATTTATGAGGGATACTTCTTTGAAAACCAGTAAATTTTATATAAAATATCAGATAAGATATCATCGTACAGGAGTACTCAAAAATTAAAATCCGTAACCACTAACTGCACCATTCAATTATAAAGATTTTAATAAGTTAGGAAATATGTGGGTCAAATATGATGGAGATTTCAAAGAAGGTAGACAGGATGGATATGGTTAATTGACCTTGTCTAATGCTGAAATCTATACTGGACTCTTTAAAAATGGAGAAGTAAATGGAACTGGAGTGTTCTTAACTTTGGATGGCAAATAAATCAAAGGCAAATGGGTGAATAATATCTTTCAAGAAGTATGAGTATAAACATTATATATATATCTATTGATCACAGCTAAATTTTAAATCGAAATCATATAATCATTTTAATGAAATCATACCCCAAAATTCACTATTGGCACTATGCCATATAAATTACTCCTCAACTTTATGACAGGATTTCTCAACTAATAATGTCCCATCAATGTCTCCACCTATTGTTGCCAATCCTAATAAATTAATAGCTTAATTAGCAATTAAAGATGATCCTATCATAATACCAACCCATTTCTTCAACATTAATTCCTCTGCTTTAACGAAATTCGCCACTGCACCTCGATATCCAGAAGATTTTTCTAACTTTACATTTACACCTGTCACAACCTTCTAAAGTTCCACCACATCCTATTATGTCTTAATAGATTCATCAGCATAAATTTCTATTTTCTACTCCAAGTACTTTTCCTTTACTATGTACCAAGGCTCTTTCTCGAAAATCAATGGGAAAGGTTGCTCAATCATATATAAATAAGGTTTAATCTAAATCAGTTCTGTGTTCAATAGATCTAAAAACTTGAGAGCTGTCTCTGGCTACCAACTGCTGTTGCAATCAATTGACAACAATCCTTAGAAATTATGATTACCTTTTATTACTTTATTGTATACTCCTATCAACACCTTTCTAATGTATTCAAGATCTCCACCAACCTTAATTTTTATATTTGGTGTATATGGAAGACCAACATCCAACTATGAAATCACTTCATCTATATTATCCAATAAAGAAATCGTGTAAAAATTTCGTTTATTTGGCACTTTTAGTTTTTCATAATTTTCTTTGGATATCAATTGAGATATTTATTTGTTGGTCTTCTTACAATACCAATCAATTAAGGCACATTCAAATAAGGATTTTGATGCTAAATGTATGGGATCGTTAGGAATTTAATCAAGTATTGATAACTGTGAGTTCAGAAATTCTTTTGCTTCTCCATCTTCCATATTGAAGTAGGGACTTTATTTGAATTATTCAAATCCATCATACTTTTCCAAAGGTTTGATTGATTAAAACAGTTTGAAGAACACCTCAATGTCATCATAATCAGTAAAATAGCAATTTTATTTTTTTGGAGGCAATCCAGCCTCTGCAATTCCAGTTGTTCCTAAATGAGTTACTTCCAAGTAAGCATTAGTTCTTTAGGTTGTTACACTGTGATTCGTGCCAAAAGGATTGACTAGATTTAGAATAAAAGGTTATAATTTATACATATTATTATTATTAATAAATAATACTATATATATCTAAATTTATGAGTTTCTATACTTACTATCATAGTTCATTTTTGAGTGTTATGGATCTTTTTTTCTCATCTTAAAGTATTAACTTTAATTTACAGAATAATGTAAGTGTAAATTTAGAGTGAAGTTTGCATAATATATAATTAGTATTAATAGGATCTGCTACAATATTTTCTTAATTGCTAATACAATATCTGGATTGAGTATTGAGTATTGAGGATTTCATGATTTCATTTTTTACTGCTTTAGTTTTGATAACAATTACTTCGCGATTTAATTATTATTTACAAGTTTCCTTATTCATTTGGAAGTATCTATTTAAATAGTAATCAGTTTAAATTTAAGTTGTACCAATTTTCTTTTAGTTGTTTGAATTTATGATATTCAATGTCATACTGTTTCTTAAAATTGGGCTTTACAATAGTTGCTTAATCATTGATTTATCCAATACCTCCAATTTTAATTTACAGTAGATAGGACTTGAATTTGCAATATACTTTTTAATAAAATTAATGATAGATTAAATTTGTTATGATATATTAAAATTACCTAAGATGAGCTACTGCATATATCTTTCAACTAATAGTTTAGATAAATTCAAATATTATAGGTTTGATTCTTGTTTTATTACTTTCTACTGGGATGAATACTATTTATGTACTTTTCAATTAAATACAGATTTACACAAAAAGATTGATATAATAAAATGATAAATGGAATATAGCAGACAGTTAATTAATACTTTTATTTATGTTATAAATTGCTTTTTCATCATTTTAATTTATTTGCTCTTAAATTATTTGATTACTTGACTTTTTGATTAACTGCAAAAAAACTTGTCTCCTATTAATCTAAATTTGAATCTAAAACGATTATTTAATACTCATACCTCCTGCTCTCTTTAATTATTATTTATTTGATTTATAATTTGAGAATAATTCTTGGATTTCTTATTCAACTTCTTGCTTTTTAGATACTCTTTCAACCTTGGCTACTGGTTCTTCTGAGACAGATGATTCTAGTGACACTTCTGAGCCGGATGCATGAGATAACATACTAGATATAATATCATTTTTATTTTGAGTCCAATCCAAGTAGATTCTTTCAAATTCATAAGGAGATAAATTGTCTGATTTCTAGTTGTCCTATGAGAATCTGCCTTTTTTGATTTACAAATCATTCTTAATCTTCTCCATAACTTCCTATTTTCTTAAGCTCAATTCTTTTTCATGATCACTAACTGCTTAATTAACAGGCTTATCCAAATAGTATCTTTCACCATCATTAATGTTATTGTTTGAGACAGCTTAAGTCTTTTAATTTTTCAATAGTTCTTCAATTTTCTATTGGAATTCCTTATCCTTATTTCTTTCATCAGTGGCTGCATCCACATCTTATTCGACAACTTCAATTCTCTTTTTAACAATAACATCATCACTGTTATGAATCTATCTAAGTTCTTCAACATTTTTTTTGATATCCTGATAAATTTATTATTCTTATTCTCTAGTTTCGACTCTCTTATTAGTAGATGCTTCTAATTCGTGAACTAATTCATTTACAATCTAATCAAACTATTCATCATGACTCATCTATTGTTTCTCCTTTTATTTCTTATTGATAATCTATTGATGTAATTATTCTTCAAATTTAATTTATTTTTCATTTTATTCAATCTTTAAGGATTTATCCTACTTCTAATTTTATTTCTTTTATTCCTTGCTCACCTTAATAGAATTGTGCTTCTCTTTCTTTTCAGGTTTATTCTAAGTAACCTCTTCCTTATTTTCAACTGTGTGTTCGTCTTTATCATTTTCAATGCAATCCTATAAGTCCTCAAGATTTTCAATAACTTCTGCTTCTGATTAAGCAGCTAAGTTGTCATCGGATTCAGCTTCAGGAATTTAAGATTCATTATAGAAAACTTCAATGTTGTCTTCCTGAACTGTTCCTTCTCCATTTATGTCTTCATTTGTAATAATATTGTCAGCTTCAACCTTCTCCTTTACTGAAATCTCCTTTTTCACCAATTATTTCTTCTTGATTTCTACTTCAGGTAAATCCTCAAATTGAGGTTCCTCAGTTGCAGTGGCATTTTCTAATGTAATTTCATTGTCTTGTTCATCAACTTATTATTGGATTTCTTATTGAACTTATTATTCTTGTTATTGGGTAGATTGAATTTCAGTTTCTGACTTAGTAGCATTTTCTTATTAAGGTTCAATTTAAGGTTATGTATCATTAGAAATGGATTAATTATTTTATTACTCATTTACTTTAGTATCTTATTATTATTCAACTACTTTAGTATCTTATTATTATTCATTTACTTAATTATCTTATTATTATTCAACGACTTAATTTTCTTATTATTATTCTGATACTTTATTATCTAATGATTCAACTACTTTACTAACTTTTGATTCAATTACTTTATTAGTGTCTACTACTTAACTCTCTTATTAAACAACTTAAGTCTCTTATTAATCTACTACAGAAGTTTCTACTACTTAATTCTCAATTTAATCAACTACCTCCTTTTAAGCTTCAGTCTCTTATTAATTTTACTTATCAGCTTAGGTTTCTTGATTAACTTCAACATTTTAAGGGACTTGCTCTTATTTTTATTCTGTAATTGTCTCTTACTTTTAAGGAGCATCTTCAAATTGGATATCATAGTCTTTGTTGATATCTGATTCTTGATCATAATTAGATTATTAATCACCAGTATCAACGATGACTCCATCACTCACAACAGCTTCATCGTTTGATTAGACCTGACTTTCAAATATTTCTTCATTATCTAAATCTAAATCTTCTTATTGAATTTCATCTTATTAGTTTTAGGACTATTCTACTACATCTTATGATTATTCTTATTCATTTTGGTTGTCAATCTAATAATAATCTTCACTATAATTGTCATAATTCTCATCATTATCCTTATTTTGATCATATTATATTGTTTATTATTAAACTTCATCAATTTATTAATCCTCACTATTTTATTCAACTTAATTGCTTTCTTAAATCTGAGTGTTTTCTTCTACTTAATTGCTTTATTAAATATCATCACTTTATTCACTATCGTCATTCATTTAAACTACTTACTCCTAAACAACAGGTTCAGTTTTTGAAGTAGTTTAATCTTAGATAATTTGATCTAATTCATTGTCTAAGTCATCCAAATAGTAGTCGTCATTTGAAGCAACATTAGTAGTGATAGAATCATTATTAGTATCAATAGTTAAATAGTATTGATCTTCCTTAGCAATCTTAGTCTCTTGTGTGTCAATAGCTTAAGTCTCTTATAATGCAGGTTACTCCAAAGAAGGTTGTTATTGACTAAGATTATCTAATTCTTTTGCTAATTCATCCAATTATGATTAGAATTAATCAAAAGTAGTTCCATCATTACTTAAACTTTTATTTAATATAACATCAGTTTCCAATTAGTCATAATCTAAAGAATAGTCATCCTAAACTATGTTATTCTTTGTGATTTAATTAGCATTGATTTCTACTTAATCTGAAATCAAGGATTAAACATCAACATCAGCTTCTCCCAAATTCTAATCTCCAATTATTTCAATTTCTTTTTCTGTCACATCCTTGATTGCATCAGTGATGATTTCAGATTACTTATAACTATCAGTGTCTTCAACAATAATTGGAATTAAATCGGAACTATCATCGGAAAAGATGCTCAGGTCAACTTTCTCAACTTCAGCTTCAACTTTTACGACTTCTCCAATTAACTATTATTCTGGATTAGTTGTCTCCTATACTGCTATTTCAGCATCTGCATCAAAGTATGAAGTATCTTTAATAACAATTACGTCATCTGGATCCAAATTTGAGACATTCAAACTATATAATTTATTTGAAGGAGGCTAATCAGCTTGCTTCATATCATTTATAACTTCCTTCATTTTCTTAGTTAATTGATTCTTCTTTATTTTAAAATCTGGTGCTTCAGATTACTTTTATTATTTTTCAGTTTTCTAATTTTTCTCTTCCTTTGCAGATTATTATTTTTATTATTTTATTTTAGTTTAATCCTCTGTTTTAACTTCAGTTTTAACTTCTGTGTTAACCTCTGTTGTAACTTCAGTTTTAACTTCTGTTTTCTCCTCTGGCTAAACCTTAGTTTTAACTTCTGCATTCTCTTAAGCATCTGAATTTGCTTAAACTTCGCTATGACTCTCTTGAGCATGTACAGTGTCTAATTCTTCACCATCACATTATGTATTTTCTTCAATAGATTAACCCTACTAATCATTATTAGTAACTTCAGTCTTCTCACTTGTATTTTTTTATTATTATTATTATTATTATTACTATGTTTCTTGGTTATTCTAAGACTCTGAATCAGCTGGAGTGGCATCTTCTTCTCCTTAGTCTTAAGTTTTTGAATCAGATTCAGTAGGTTCAACCTTTACTTCTTCGTCTGTTTTCACTACAATTTCTGAATCGTCAACCTTGTGATTATCAGTTTATTAATTGATCTCTTCACTTTTTACAATTGGTTAAGCCTCTATTTTGATATCTTGAATCACCACCTCATTTTATGAATTATCATTATTTTACACCTGAGTTTCTTCTTTACTGTTTTCAACAGATATTTTATTAATATTTTTATCATTCAATGAATTTAATTCTTATTATTCTTAAGAGGCAATTTCAACAGATTCTTTTTATTCTACATTCTCTTTTTATTATTCAGATTATGTTTCATTATTTTCAGTAGAAATAGACTATTCAATAGATTCTGCTTAAGCATCGTTTTAAGTTTAACTTGAGATGTCAGAATCTTTCTACTCTACATTTTGTTGTACCTTGTCCTCATCAGATGAAAGATTAGCTTCAGCCTATTATGTTGCATCTGTATTCTAAGTTTTGATTTAATCTTCAACAACTTCTTAATTGCTTGATTAAATTTCAGTATTATCTTGAGCCTATACTTTTGTTTCACTATTTACAATTAAATTATTTTAGACTTATTGTTGTTCATTCTCTTTATTAGTACTTGTGAGTTATTCACTTTATACACCTTATTATTATTATTATTATTCACTTTAAGCAACATTTTATTCTTCCTATTTGTTTATTTTACTTACAGAAACCGAAAACTTTTTTTATGAATTCTCATTTTCTAAGTCAGTTTAATTGGAATTATCTTTTGCTTGAGCATCACTATTTGAATTGGTGACAATCTCATTGGCGGATTGCTCAACTGATACGTTGTCTTTTTTCTGAACTTTAATTGATATTTTCTTTTATTAGCTTTCTGATTCCTTATTTTCTTAATTAGATTAGACTTAAGTAGTTTATGTTTTTTCATTTGAAACTTCTGCTTTCATGAGGGGTTGTTATTCAATTTCTAATGATTTTTGTTACCAAATTTCAATGGATTAATCCTTTAATTCGTTCACTTCAACAGACCTACCTGTTTCAAGAAAACTTCTAAGCTGAATAGAATGCATTTATACATAGCAACATCTTTCATTACTTTATTTTCTCGTAATTCATCCTATCTATATGCATTATCAAGTTCTCCACTCGATTCTTTTGAGTAAATTTAATTTGGTAATATAACTTTCACATTGATGGTTCCATGAATTTCTGTTGATTTCACTAACACCAATGTCAGCAGCAATATTCTAACAAATTTTAACATATTAAAAATAATAATAATAAAAACGGATATATAACACTACAACATCTATTCTTTAATACTCTATTTTCTACAGTATGCAAACAAGTATCTATACTGATTTCAATCGAATTTGAAACAATCCTTAATACTTCATACCAATAGATACCTATAAAAACTCTTTTTTAAAAAGTCAATACATTTATTATTTCCAACTTAAAATAATATAATCAAACACAATCATAAAACAATGTTAATAATACACATTTTTTGATAAAGATTTCCTCAAGAATAAGATTATTTTACCTTTTCTTTCTTGCTATTTTTTTAAGAATAAATAGATTTTATATTACTTATTGAATTGCATTCAAAATCTTCATACTTCCATTCAGTTAATGTAATTGAAGATTAATTAATAATACAATCAATCAATAATCTTGTATATTTTGTTGACTGATTTCTTTTCAGTATTTTATTCGTTATCTTCATCCAATAAATCAGAATCTTAGTCAATTTATTTCATTAAAATTACTTTTACTTTTAAATAAAGTAACTTAAAAATATAACAGTTCATCGGATATCTTCCTCAATTCAAATGAATGATTCTTTATCTATTACTTTTCATTTTTGACCTTAATTAATCAATAGTTTTATTAAAACGTCGAAACTTCTTTATAATATTGATACTAGAAAATTTAATTTTTGGTGATATGTAAATTATATGTCTTCCATTTAATAATTATGATTCTATTAAAGACATAAACTCTCATTATGAGATTTAAATAATTGAATTTTAGAAAGTCAAAAATATATAAACTGCATGAAATTGAATATAGAAATTGAATTTTTTTCAATATTACACACATGCTCTCCCCTTTGTTATTTTTGATAGAGGATTTAGAAAATGATAGATGCAATCCAATCTTAATAAATAACCTGTTTAAATTATTAAAAAAGCAAAGAATGAGATTTTATACAATTTCATAAAATAGGGTTGTGTAAAAGATAAATTTGATACATATTCACCATAATTTAATTATGTTGTTAAAAATTCAATTTAGTAAAAGATTTCTTTTTGATTAACGATTGATAAAATCAGATGAGATTTATAATTATTATTTGTAAATTTAATGATTCTGGGGACAGAAGTAAACGAATTTGTTTCAAATCGACAATAATCCAAAATTCATTATCTTTCTGAAGAGAATAAATCTTTATAGGAATACATCCAAGACCTTGAGAATGCCTTAAAATTAAATAAATAAGCCATGTCCCTCACTTTAGAAGGTTTGAATAAAAGACCATAGGTATGAAAGATTGACTATATAGTTGATATCAGATAATAGCACAATGTCAACTGGTTATAATTACTAGAATTCTCAGTTGGAGGGAGTAATCAAATTGCTCAATGAGGAAAATTAAAAACTAATTAATGGATTGTCTAATTAATAAAGAATCACTCAATAATTATAAACTAAATTACTGTTACAAGAATAGATATCTGAGGAATAATAGAATTATTATAAGGATTTGATAGGAGATTTGGAATACAAATTAATAGAATTGAAGAGAAACATTCACGATAAAGAGTATGCGATCCAAGAGTTGGAAAGAATGAAACCCATTCAAGAGCGAGAAGGTCAATTCGTCAAAATAATTGAGGTGGTCACTCCATCAGAATAGAACCTAAAACTGCATGAGGAATTAGAAAATGTGAGAAATTTGTTGAACAAAATCACCTAGGAAGCATAAGCTATTAGTGAAACCAATAATGCCTTAAGAGAAGTGAATTATGTAAAAAATATTATTATAATAAAGAATCTAAAAAGAGAAATATTCAAAATGAGAATTGTCTTGAGAAGCTAAATTAATTTTTAGAGTATGAAAGGTAAAATTTGTTTAATTTTATAATCAGATTTCGTCTATAATGAATATATAGATAAAACCGATGACAATCTTCAAATCAATAGAGAAGTTCAAAATCAAAGAGGCAAGTTGGAACAATTGCATTAAGAATTGTATGGAACTTCAAGTTTGGGATATGGTTTCTCTCCAGAACCCTAACAACTCAAATACCTTAGCAAGAATGAACGTATGATTTACCAGGAGAAATTGCATAAGATGGAAATGATGGTCAAAGGATTTAAGGAACTATTCGAAAAAGAGAAGAATGCTAATTTACATGTTAGAAAGTTATACAATGAACTATTGACGAAATATGAATATATATTAGACACTAATGAGTTGATAATCAAATCTAACAATTTGAAAGATGAAAGAAATGAAAAGCAGCAAATCGAATTACAATTCTATAAAAAACAAAGCTAGAGTCTGATGGAATAACTAAGAAATAGAAAAGCTTTCAATTCTATTCCTTTAAATCAAGAATAAGATATCGCAGTAGGAGTATTTAGTCCAAGATATCAACAGAAATAATTCAATAATCAATCTCAATCATCCTTTTCAAAAGTGCAATAGACTGGCCCAGACGATTTAGAAATTAAGAACTCAGCTAGATAGTTGAATTCAAATAACTTCAACAAAGTTATCAAACCTCAATAAATTAATTCAGTGTAGAGTACTTGTGCAAAAAAGTAGATTCAACAACTAGATATTTAAGATGATAGTTCATCACTTGAATAGGAAAGATACATCTGTCAAACTGCTAGAGGAGAGAATCCAAAAATTAGTAAATTGACCTAACAACAATAATAGGGACAAATTTATTAGTATTATGATATGACTAAATAAGAGTGCATTGAATTCTTGATGTCATTGTTTAATGATTATTTTAAAAAATTTGACGTAAACTATTTCATTATTTTCTCTTAGTTGAGTAATATCAAGAAGTAATAACTCATGAAACAGATGCAAAATAGTGGATTTGATAAAAAATCCATTAAGAGATCATATAGCAATCCCTTTTTGTATTTTTCAAATGTCAAAGCAATCACTTTCAATCAACCACCCAAACAGTCTGTTATTGCTCTTGTATTCAATTGATCTATCGTAGGCAAAAAATGAAATCTAATAACTATTGGCTGAATTATAAAGCAAAAAGTAGAAGCAAGTGTAGAATCAAGGCGATGGTGTCTTTAGTGTGGATGTATCTAAAATAGACTTAAAACAAAATAAAAGATAAATGTTTGATAATGATTTAAGCTTTATATCTAATATAGATGACTAAGATTGATTAATGATTATAATTACATTTTTAATTAATTAAGTGATGTCTAAATAAGGTGTTAAATCAACTTCATCCACTTATGCTTATTCGGTTTAGTGAAGTATCGCTAAGCCATTATCATTTCAGCATGAAGGTAGACTCAGAAATCTTGCAGGTGCAAATTGAAATCACTTCCGATTCTCTCATCATAGAAGCCCTAGAAACAGCCTTTGATTATTTTGTTCAAATTTATTATGATTAAGATATTAATGAAAAATTAGACAATTATGAAGTGTATTCTGCTGATCCAGAGGGAAATCCAATATAAACTAATTTTAAAACAGACTAACTTCTTAAAGAAATTGATTGTTAAAATTTTGCATTAGTTCTTAAAAAATAAGGGGCATAATTATCTATATTAAAATAACCACTTTATAAAGAAGTCGAATTACTGATAAACTTGAAATTCCGAAATTTAGATACAATATTACAATTATTATATGATTACTATAACATAAAACAAGAAAACTATTAAACCCTAATTCCTATCTAAAACACTTATTAAAACAGACTCACAAAAACTTTGATGAAATATAAATAAATTATCTCATTATTAACCACATAATTAGATGAGATATTATTCTACTTATTATTTTGAAATTCAAACTTAGTTTTCATTTGATCTATCTTTAAATTCTTTGAACTTTTTGAAATATTCCTAATTAGAATTGATCTTTAAGTGATTTCTTTAAATATCCTAAAAATAACAAATGGATTTTGAATCAAATAATTTATTTCCAAAATTAATTACTTTTAATGTTTTTCTAAATTATAAACAATTAATATTAATATGTTTTAAGATAGTAAAGTGCATGGGCCTTCATTGGAATTACAAAACTTGGGACCACTACATAAATCTATAAGCAAAATAACAGACCCTGATATGCAAAGTTTTGAGTGTTAGAAAAATACTTACATCATTTCTCCAAGAGCATAACGATTTGACAAACTGGGAAATTTGATTCACAAAAATTAGAAAAAAAAATACCAGATAACATTTAGAGATGAAGTAACAGCCAAGACTAAATTGTATGATATTATTCTGGTGGACAATTGGAAAAAATACAACATTATAGATGAAGAAAAGGAGAAAGTAGGTTGTTGTAGATCCAGTAGTTGTTAGCTATTTTGATATCACTCTATATTACAATCTCTATAAATAATAAATAATTCATTTTACTCTTTGCTTTCTACCTTCCTATTCAACACTTTTGATGTTCAGTATAGATGGACAATCTCTACTCTCCTTTATGATAAAGTCCCTTCACCAAATCAAAAATAAGGAATAGTTTAAAATACCTAGAATTCTTCTATTTTTAAAATTATTGAATTCTTGTCATCTCTATTATGTCAACTACCTCAAATAAAGTCTCGTTGTTTTTAAAATTTTTTGATACACTTTAGACCTTCCAAAATTTCAGGAAAATTTTAATTTACTAACGATGAATTAATCACGTATCTTATTATATTTATCAGAAGGGGATTGAATAGTGAACAGTCAAGAGATCAATTAGAATAGGTAAATTTACTAAATTATTCGTTTATATATAATAATCACAATCAATAGAAGTACTATGATCCTATGGTTTTAATAGTTAAGGTGAAACTGGTCTCAAACGAAGGAATTATTTTTAATATGCAAGATAAATTCCATAAATTTATGGATGCTCATAAAATTTGTTATCATTAATATTTGTATATTATTATGCTAATATTAAGCTAAAAAAAAGGAATTATACTGCTCTATTATTAATAATGGTAACCTAATTGTTCAAAATTATTTTACTGAATTTAAGAAATTTAGCAGTTGCAATTTGCTTTATTAATTATTTTTATTGATAATGTAATTCAATTTGAATATTCATAGGTCTTTATTATTACATCATTCTTTTTGCTTTGAAAAATATTATCTTTCCCAAAAATTTGATAATTATCAGATTTTAAATTATGATTAAAAGATTGTAAGCTGGATAAACTAGTAGATATAAGTTAATTAGCTACAAAAGTGAGGAGATTATTAAAGATATTGAAATTCTTTGAAGTTTTAAAAAATCTGTATTATAAATAAAGTTTATAAAACCCATTCATTAATATTTAAATTTATATTAGAATTATGGAGCCTGATATTGACAAAGTAATTAGATATATTAATTTATTATAAATCATATAATTATAATAAATAAATGTCAGATTCTGAGTACTATTAGAAATTTGGAATTAACTAGTCTATTTTCAACAGTGAGCCAATAAAATAGCTTACACCAATATTAAAAATCTCTCGTTCTGCTTCAGATGATACTATGGTTCGTAAAGATAGTTATGGGAATGTAATTATGCGTGGAAATAAGTAGCATAAAATATAGTTTAGGGAATAAAATGAAATATATTTAGGTATTTAAAATTAAGTTATAGATTAGTTGAAAATTGGAAATAATACAATACGGACATGACCAATCATGAATCTCCTTGTGTCTGTCAAATAATATGACTTTTAAGTATTTCATTTTTTTCAAGCTTATGGATATTTTTATTCTGTTCATTTGTTAGAATCCCTACTTTTTAATCAAATTTCAAACTAACAAATTTAGATCAAATTAATCATATAATCTGTTTTCTAAAAGAATTGAATTGTGTGTTTCTTATTGCTGTAGTATTTATTCGAAGAATGTTATTATAAATTAGAATTATTTGAATTCAATATTATATATATTAAATCAAATTTGAGAAGATGTCTCAGTAAAGAAGACCAAGTAGTTAACAGAAAATGTAATAGAATATTGTAAAAAGTTATAAAATGTTAGACCTAATCAATAAACAATTTGAAGACTCAACTATAGTAATAGAAATAACACAGATGGTCGGAACAAAAAATGAATAAAGAACTTTTCGATTTTTTATCCTAAATCAATTTGCAGCAATATTACGCAAAAATTGCATAGCACTGTGACGGGAGTTTAGAGTAACTGATTGATATGAAGTATGTTAATGGTTATAATAATCAGATCAACGAAAGATATAAAGGATTTACCATTTGGATATCAGATTAAATTATAGGTATAAAGACTTGATTAAAATTGAGAAAGCGATTGAGAAGATGTCTAAAGAAACAGGAAATAAAATACCCAAAATAGAATAGAAATTGCAAAATGATCAAAAGGAATGTTGTTGGATTTGCTTTTAATTGATATTTGAAAGCTTAGATTGCTATGGAAAGAAAATGTGTTCTGATAAATGCAAACAAGTGTATTTGAAAGAGATTTAAGTAAACAAGTCTTAACTAACTTAAGATAAATTGTAAGAGATGTGGAAAAGTGAAAACCAAATATGATGCAATTAATTCATATGGAGAATGGTATTGTTAATAGGAATGTGTTTATACTGAAGAGGAATTAATGTTTTTGTTAATGAAATCAAGTTAACTGAAGAAATGATTAGTATATAATTAATTATTATAATTTTTGATGTGGAAGATAAAATATTCAAAATTCAAGCCTAAATTTCATATTGATTAAGGAGAAAAGGAAGATCTTAAATAATAAAATTTAGGAATCTGAAGAACCACTATAATAGAAGTAGGATATTAAAATTAAGAGCTATGTTAATTAGGGCAAGTATGAGGAGGAATTAAAAATTGATAACAAATATAAAGGAGAGTAAGCTACAATAACAAAATGATAAGAAATTTATAAATAGGTTGTAAACAATCAGAAGTATGTAGGCTAATGGTTGAAAAATATGAAAAAGTAATATACCATACAAAATAAACAATCTATATTAAAAATTGTATAATAGCAAAAGTTATTACATGTCGTAGGATTAAACTAAGACTAAGGAACCTGATGGTATTCTGATGGATCTAAGTATTGAAAAGATAAACAAATTGAATAAGGGGAAATATGAGGAGAATTTATATCATATAATTTAAATGTTATTAAAATGAAATTTGCTTAGAATGCATTATAAAATAACTTATATTATTAATGAAAATTTTAATAGTTAATGGGTATGGAAAATGTATTAAGGGGTTCAGGAGCTCAGAACATTATAAGCAAATAATAAAAGAAGTATAGCAATCAACTAATTAAACTTTAGGTATTGACAGGCAAAAAAGAAATGATCGACACAGAATTAGAATTCTTCTTTGCTGATCGTGATTCAATTGATGACTTTCTTTATGAAATTGACAGTTCTTTTGTGAGAGTTGAATGTGGTAAAATGTTTGATTCGATTGACTTAATCTTCTTTGAAGGAGATGCAAATCTTAGACCATGGTCACCTAATGCTTATAAGTACTTGATTTTATTAAGGATGTGCATGAGAAGTAATAAGATTCTATTTGCATCTTCATTTGCCATGCAAGGCTTAGTGTTTTTGATTGCATCCAATGTCGAATGTGTACAAACTTACCCTACTTTAGTAATTCTCAGTCATCAATGGACTCAATGGTGGATAATTGGGAGATCTCTCTAAAATCAAGAAATCTCTTACTGAAATCAGAATGAATGATTTCTTTCTTGATAATGTAACTGGTGATTTATACAGTTTTAATTATGATACAGGAGAATGGGTCAGTAAGGGAAATGCTGGGTTGCATAGTAGAAGAGCTGCTGAAGAATTTAAAACTATTGGCAAGTATATTGTTAAGGCACCACAATACAAGGTATCAAGGATGAAAGAAATCGATTAACCTTACATTTCCAAAGAAAATGAGATCGTTTGTTCATTAAGAAAGAATTCCATGCATAATTATCTATTCAATGGCTTGCCTTTTGAATTTGTGGTTCCATTTAAGAATTCGTGGGACGTTCATCCATTTAATTTTGTCAATCCAAAGAAGACATTTCAAACAATGGCTGATTGTGAAAAAGGTTCTTTATCATTTTTATTACTAGGACCCCTTGTAGTTTAAGTTACAGATAATATTGTAGCCACTCAATTCTCTATTCGTTCTAAATATAAGGAAACAGTTCAAATTATGCGTAATTTTATGGGATATTAATTAAGTATTCTAATAGTTTATTTAGCAAAACTATGTTCTGGTAGAGCATAAACAATCCCCATTGAAATTGCTTCAATTAAGTAGAACGACAACGCAATGGATATTTATTTGGAGCATTTAGGTCGTAGCAAATATCATAACTAAAAAACAATTAAATTTAATGTTATTACAGAGTTTCATCATGCAGGATTTGCAGCTAAGAAATCTAATCAATTAGATGTTGTTGTAAATAATGCCATTGGAAAAAGAAAATTTAAATAGACAATTCAAAAGTTAAATGCTAAAGACTTGGATAGATTGCTCGATTAAGTATAAATCCAAATTATTTTGTTTTAGAATTCTTCCCTTCCAAATCAACCTTTTTAAAATGATTAAGACCGCTAACCAAGTATCTATAGTTCATAACCATAACATAATGTTGAGGATTAACCTCAGGTATTCAATAAGACAGGGGCAGAAATTATTTAATTTCTACATCCATCTATTGATAAATCTCTGTTTCATGAATCAAAACCTCTTTGGGTTCCTGGCTATTTGTCTCAAAGTCGATTATAAAAGAGCTAATTGAAATAAAAGTAGAATACCATAAGTGAAGAGGGTTAATCAACTCCTTTTTTGACAGAACAAAAGCAGATTACTACTCCTAGGTTGCCTAGAACAACTTCATAGCCTCACTTTAGAGTAATTTAAAAAGATAAATGGATAACAAATAAGAATTTTAAAGTTTGACTATATATGTCTATATATTATAAAATCAATCTGTATATTTAATACTCAATTTTTCATATGTATTTTGGTATTTGGAGTAATTCCTGGATATCTAATATTTTGAATATCTATTCATTAGATCTAGATCAGAAAGATGCAATATTTGAAATAGGAATGAATTGTTTACAATAATCTCACCAACTTTTTCAAAAATTTCAATGATATTTTAAATAACATGAAAGATTTTACTTAAATTTCTTATTCGGAAAAAGATATATATTCTATGTATCTTTTGGTTAGTTTATGAGAAGATGTATAATATATGAGAAATCATAAGTTATTCATTTTATATTATGACATTATACCCTTAAATTTCATTATAAGGGATTACAATGAATGAACAACTTATAATAAATGAGTTTACTGCATTTATTTACATTTCTTAGTAGAATTCCTTAAACATTTTTATCAAACATTAATGCATCCTTAGTATTAAATCCTGAAATTTGATTATATAAGCAAATTTTAGATACTTGTGTTGCATTTTACTTATTATTCCAATTATAATAGGAATGTATTTGGTTTACCTTTCATAATTCATGAGATAATTGTATAACAAATATGGACTAAAGTGTGAATATCAAATCACAATATTGAGAAACTTAACCAGATAATCTAAATATATCATAGTCTAGATAAAATTAAGAGTTTCATGTATATATTTTTGAATTAATCAAAAATTCTGTAAATTTAAATTTAAATTCTAAGAGTGCTAAACATTATGCTTAATAAGTTAAATCTCTAAAACATTGAATGAATTCTAAATGAAATGAGTATGGTCTTATTAATAACTATCTTAAGTTAATAAAATTAAATAATAATTGCTATTGAGATAAAATTAATCTAAATTTCAATTGGCTTTCAATTTATCGACATTAATTATTTTATAACAAATATCATATAATCTTGGCCTAAATTCACATCAACATAAATTGCAAATATTTTGTCTATTCTAAGATGATTATTATCAAAGTTAATACTGACAATCAGTTTATTATTAGTAATCTTATTCACTAAGAAAGATTATTAATATATTGTATTTTCACAATTTTAGTTACTTTAACATTTATTAATGATTAATTATTATATAACTAATACGATATTAAGAGTAGATGAGGAAAGGGAAAAAAACAGAGGAGCATTTTGATATTGCCATCCATTATAAAAAGTAGTAAGAATACTTGAGATACAGTCTCTAAGAGAACATAGATAATTAAGGTATTTTGAAAAGTAAAGAAGGACTCCAGAAGTAGTCATTCAGGGAACAAGAGTAAGAAAACATAGAGATAACGCCTAAAAAGTAAATGAGACCTCTAAGTGCGTATACATCGCTGAGTCAGGGATTTTCATCACGACAGAGGCCAATAACAGCACCCGGATTGAATTTGCAAGTAAAACATATGATGAAGATTAATGAGAATGAAGAGATGGTATCAGCACCATATCATTCAGAAACAAAGTATTGGAGGAATACAAAGAAATTTGATAAAAGTAACTTATTTTTTATATGTTATTAATTAGCAAACTAAAATGTGATTCGTAACCATTCAGCTTTAAAGAAGGTTTCTTTGGGATGTGAGAGTGAATTTTACAATATTGAGGAGGAGGAAACAAGAAATCAAAATATGATCGAGAAGCAGATCATTAAGAATAGACTATTCTCTCCGATGTAGAGTTATGAAAAACATTAAATAAACGATAGAGACATTTAATATTTAACGGAGGGGTTTTATCAGCATGTAGCGTTAATTAAAGGGACTCAACCTTAGAAGACATTCAAGCATTCCAATTTGCAAATATGCGATAATCTTGTTGACATAATGAGATTGATAAATGGGCAAACCTACTCCAAAAGTCCTGTGGTCGTTAAGACGAAACCTAAAGGATTGAGACCTCAGAGTGCAGTCAGCAAATAAGTGGGTGTGAGTTAACGCTATAGACCTGTAAGTGGAAAGATGCAATCGATTGCAATCAGAGGATTCTAATTGTGATATAAATATATATAATTTAATTTCTCAAAATATCCATTTATTATTATTTAATCAATATCCAAAACAATGAGTGATATTATCAGAAGTTCTTAGTACAGAGCAATACAGGTAATGTCTTATTTCTATTGAATTAGAATGTTACAACTAATCAGCAAGCCAGTAATCCAGTCCTCCAGGGACAAGTAGTAAAACAAGTAATCTTGGAAACACGCAAAGATGAATAGACTGAATAATACGAATTGAGAATTGAAAAACTCACTCAAGAGGTCGAGTAGTGGAAAAGACAATGCTTTTTAAGTGAGTAGTAACTTAATAAATTTACAACTCAATTATAAGAAGTAATTTATACCATTAACCAATTTAATAGATGGCTAGTCTTGAGGCTAGATTGGCTGCTTTGTAATAGGAATATAAGAGTGTGGAAATCAAATATCGAGAAAAGTGTAATGAATTCGAGAAATTGAGGATTGAGTATAGTAAACTTGATTCAGCCCTTATCTCTTATTCATTAACCCACATTGAAACCAAAAAGTTCGAGGAGGCTATACAGAGTAAATAGAATATCATAGCTGACTTGCAAAAACAACTCTAAGATGCCAATGCGAGATTATTACAAATCCCTAAATTGGAAGATTTGTTGAGAAACGAACATCGCAAAAACGAATAACTAGTTTAAGAGATTGATTAATGGAAATAGAAGTACTCGGCTATCCAATAGGACAAAGATAATTATATTAAATAATTAAAATACGAAAGTGAAGATATTAATTAGAAAAACAAAGAATTCTTAGAAGCTGAAATTCAGAAAGGGAATAATGATCTCTTGAACAAAGTTAAATTACTTTAAGCTCAAATCGAACAACTTAAGACAGAGGCCAAAGAATTCTAAAATCTCTTGTAATTGGAGTAATCTGAAAACAACAAGTTAAAATCTGAGGTGGATTTATTAAATGCTCGTATTGTGGAACAAAATGAACAATTAGATATCGAGATTGGATTGGTTAAGGAGAGAGATTTCAAATTGAATGATGCTGAAGCCAAAATCAAATAATTAGAAGATGATTTGTTGGAAATCAGAAGATTGGATCAAATTATTCAAGATTTGGAAACTAAAAATCAGAATCTAGTTAACGAGATAGACACATTGCGTAATGAGGCCAATTAATACAAATTGGTCATTTAATAATTGGAACATGATCTTGGTAAGTTAATGGAATTGGAAAATAAGGTGGCTATGTTATCTTCTGAAATTGAAAGATTGAAATAGATGATTGCTTCAAAGAATGAATAAATAGATAGATTGAAACAATAAATTGATCAGTTAAATAAAGCAATAGATGACTATAAGACTATTGAAGCAGAGAAGTAAGTGCTTGAAAATAAATGTGCTATGTTGGCAACAGAAATTGAGAGGAAGAAGTTTTAGATTGAATAGAGAGATGCTAAAATTAATGAATTAAATAAACAAATCAATGAGCAATAATAATTCATTGATGAATTGAAGGAAAGACCTGATCTCTCTATACCTTTGGCGGAGGCTGAGAATTTGATTAAGTTATGGCAAGAGAAATATTAAAATTTAGAGTAAATTCAAAACAAATACACAATCATAGAATAAGAAAACTACCAATTGAAGAATTAATTGCAAGCCTTGTTGTAAGAATTAGATCAACTCAAAAAAGATTTAGAATAGAGATCAAATCAATTGAATGAAGCCGAATCAACCATTCATTTAATGGAATAAGATCTTAACAAGCTCAGTTCCCTCCAAGAACAGATTAAGGCTTGGGAATCTAAATATCAATTACAAACAGAGTAGTTTACTACAATAAGAGAGCAATTGATTCAAAGTTAGGAAACCATAAAGAAAAGCGATAGGGATGACATTTTAAATGAGTTAAGAGAGTTACAGGGAAGATACCAATCTTTGGAAACATAGAATTAAGATTTAATTGATTAGTTGGAATAATTGAGATAGTTGTATATTAAGTGTCAAGCAGAATTAGAGGAGGCTATCAAATTAGAATCAAAGGTTTATGATTTAGAAAATAAGGTGGCCATGCTCTCAAGTGAAGTAGAAAGATTGAAATACAGAACCAATTAAAAGGATGAGGAATTAAAGAAATTGCAAGCATAAACAAAGGATTTTGATAGTTTGAAGAATGACTTCTAGTAGTAGAGTGGAGATTTGTAGAATACATCATAATCATTGGAGGAAGTGACTTAGCAATTGGAATAATAATTGGATAAGTTTAAATTACAAACAAAAGAATTGAATGAGGCTTAATAAATGAGAGATCAATTGGAAAATAAGATTGCTATGTTGTCTACTGAAATTGAAAGATATAAATACAAGTTAAATAGCAAATAGAATGAGACTGATGAATTAAAGAAGTAAATCCTAGATCTACAATAATAAATCAGTCATCTAAGTTAAGTGGAGAATGATAATATCAAATTAAATTAAGAATGTGAAAAATTAGATCAAAAATATAATGATTAAGTTGAAGTGTTACAGCAAACCAAAAATGAGAGAAACGAATTACAATAAATTAAAAGTCAATTAGAGTAAGAATTGCAATTATTGTAATCAGAGTTGCAAACCTCTTAGCAAAATTAAGAAATCAAAAATAAATAGATAAAACAATTAGAGAATGTGATTCAAGAGAAGGAACAAAATATTTCATAGCTTAAGAATTAAGAGTAAAAGATGTTTGAATATGAGACTAAATTAGCATTTTTAAGTCAAGAGATTGAAAGATAAACCAATCAATATAAGGTGAAATTGGGTGAATTAGCAGAGTTGTAATCTTAATTGATTAATATTAATGAATTATAAATAGTCATCTAGACCCTTGAAAATGAAAAAGTAAAACTATCAGGAATTATTTAACAAAAGGAACATGAAACTCAATCATGGAAGAATAAGGTAGATGAATAATAAAAGGCAATGGAGAAATTTGAAGAGATGAAGGTAATTTTATAGGTCTAATTTATTAGTATCAAATGGAGAATAAAATTGCTATGTTATCAAGTGAAGTTGAGAGATTGAATTACAAATATAAGGTATTATTGGATGATAAGTCCAAATGGAATAAGAGAATGAAGTTGCTTTTTGATGAGTTAACAAAAGTTAGTATGTAGAATGAGATTTCATCGAATGTAAAGAGATTGATTTTAACATTTTTAGGAAGCATTTAATTGGAAACATAAAATATTGGAGTTGGCTGAATTGCAATCTAAATTGACATAACAAGATGGTTCTATTTAACAATGTCTGTAGGAGACTGAACACATGAGATAGCAATTACAAGAATAAGATTTCTTGGATGCTAGACAAAAAATAAGATCATTATGAAATATTACATAATAAAATTTATTATTCATTATTGCTATTGTTTTTATTATTGTTTCAATTGCTATTTTTTTTATTAATTTATTTTAGTTATTTGTTCTCTTTTTTCAATCTCCAACTGAACATTGATTATTGGTTCTGAGTTTTTTTGTCTCATGATATTCACCTCATTCAAAATCAGGGCCTTCAAATCTTTTAATTAGATAGTGCTATCATTTTCAAATTAGCAATCTAAATTGCCTTCAAATGATGGTTCATCATCAGGGTCTCTAATTGGTTCTAAGTAAGGATGATTAAGAGCCTAGGAGTTATTTGTAATAATGATGTACTTCAGCACTTGTAATTCTCTTTTTAGGATTAATTTCAAGCAATTTGTCTAATAAATCGATGGCTTAAGGATTAGAATATTTGATAACAGAGCCAATAGATGCTTTTTGTTTGGTTTATAGGCTACTAACATACTTTTTGGCATTTGCATTAGTAATGAAGCCCAAATCTTCCTCACCTGGTTTTCCCAAAGTATCAAAGATCAATTTAATCATTTGAATATAATTTGTTCCCTTAAATAAAATTTATCTGGTGATTAATTCAGCAAAGGTACAACCCAACGACCACATATCAATTGCAGTTGAATATTCATGTGATGACAACATAACTTCAGGAGCTCTGTAGTATCCTAGATTAATATTTGAAATATCGATACTTGTAACAACGTATTCTGTAAGCATATTCTGACAGCGATTGTCTTCGGCTTCCAATTCCTCGATTTGTCTGGCCAATCCAAAGTCACAAAAACAGATTTCGCAATTCTCAGTTGCCAATATATTACTTGGCTTGATGTCTCGATGAACAATGTTGGCTGAATGCAAATATTTTAATGCTTTTATTAATTGATACCTATGTTATCAATAGGAAATTACATGATGTATTGGAAGTGCTGATCAGTCAGATTCTAGCCGCTCTTTATTATTTTATATAAATCCACTTCCATGTAATTGGTAACCAAATATATTTCCCCAAAATCCAATTCTTTATTTGAGTCATCATAAATGAGATGTTCCAAGCGAAGAATGTTCTCGTGCTTCATTGTTCGCAATATTCTAATTTCTCTCAAGACTCTTTTAGCATCTATTTCATCTCTCACCAGGTGGAGCTTCTTAATAGCCACTTTCTAGTAATCAGGGTCTGTCTATTTCTTATCAATAGCCAATGCAACATGTCCATATGCACCAGCCCCTAGTAATTTTTTAACATCATATCTAGGCCCTACATTAAATTGAATCCCAGAAACGATTTGATTCATAAGTATATAATTAATAAATCAATTTACTTGTTTTCTATTTGGTTTTAATATTCCTAACTTTTAAATTGTTCTATTTTCGATCTCTCTCCATTCCAATCCCCTTCATATCGATTTCCCTCCCATCTGGTTACCATGCTTTAATAAATTCAATAATCCCATGATTCATTTCATTTTGCATCAAAAGATCTGGCACTTAATAAATAAAAAAAGTTATCTAATATAAATTAAATTCATTCATTTTTAGATTTTTCTTAGTAGAGTAGCATCTGCAGTAGTTTATACGGAACTTGATGATTTGACATATATATTACTTGCATTCCTTTGTGGTCTCATTTTGAAGACAAGATCTTCGATTTTCTTTTTGTATAACAAACGATCCTCATTATTCAATAGATTGCTCATAGATGCACTCTTCACTGACCTAGTCTATCCCTTCATGACATTGTAGTGTGTATCATTGACATTCGACAAAATTGGATTAAATTGCTTTGGTTAAAGAGTTCTCCCCAATTTTATTGGACTGCCTTCCTCCCCTGGAGTTTGATAGAGAGTTGATCTAAGAGATATTCGCTAGGGATATAATTAAAATTTCTATTATCTAATAGGAGTTTTTATAATGATTGGAGATGCTTGCTATTTAACTTATTATTCAACTTTGTGTTAGACTTCTACAACACTTTTTTTTGTTGGAGAATTAGGTTTGTTACTCTCATCCAATTTTGGCATTGAGCTGGTTCTGAATCTCATTCTTGTTTTTGGCGATTCTTGAGCCACAACAACAGCAGGCTTCTCTAATTATTAAGATCCTTGCCGTTTCAAATTCAGAGGAGGATTTTATATCAAATGTTCCAAGTAGTGTTCTTCACTTACTTCCCATCCTTGATCCATTATCTGAGTGTTATTATCAAATGTTTATAATATTACAATATTGGTAATTACAAAACAAATTTATTGTATTGTTATATTGATTAAATATACTTATTTGTCCATCTGCTTATATTTCCATTTTTACATTTGAAAAAATCAACATTATTAGTAATAATAACATTTTAATTGGAAGATANGATGTTCCAAGCGAAGAATGTTCTCGTGCTTCATTGTTCGCAATATTCTAATTTCTCTCAAGACTCTTTTAGCATCTATTTCATCTCTCACCAGGTGGAGCTTCTTAATAGCCACTTTCTAGTAATCAGGGTCTGTCTATTTCTTATCAATAGCCAATGCAACATGTCCATATGCACCAGCCCCTAGTAATTTTTTAACATCATATCTAGGCCCTACATTAAATTGAATCCCAGAAACGATTTGATTCATAAGTATATAATTAATAAATCAATTTACTTGTTTTCTATTTGGTTTTAATATTCCTAACTTTTAAATTGTTCTATTTTCGATCTCTCTCCATTCCAATCCCCTTCATATCGATTTCCCTCCCATCTGGTTACCATGCTTTAATAAATTCAATAATCCCATGATTCATTTCATTTTGCATCAAAAGATCTGGCACTTAATAAATAAAAAAAGTTATCTAATATAAATTAAATTCATTCATTTTTAGATTTTTCTTAGTAGAGTAGCATCTGCAGTAGTTTATACGGAACTTGATGATTTGACATATATATTACTTGCATTCCTTTGTGGTCTCATTTTGAAGACAAGATCTTCGATTTTCTTTTTGTATAACAAACGATCCTCATTATTCAATAGATTGCTCATAGATGCACTCTTCACTGACCTAGTCTATCCCTTCATGACATTGTAGTGTGTATCATTGACATTCGACAAAATTGGATTAAATTGCTTTGGTTAAAGAGTTCTCCCCAATTTTATTGGACTGCCTTCCTCCCCTGGAGTTTGATAGAGAGTTGATCTAAGAGATATTCGCTAGGGATATAATTAAAATTTCTATTATCTAATAGGAGTTTTTATAATGATTGGAGATGCTTGCTATTTAACTTATTATTCAACTTTGTGTTAGACTTCTACAACACTTTTTTTTGTTGGAGAATTAGGTTTGTTACTCTCATCCAATTTTGGCATTGAGCTGGTTCTGAATCTCATTCTTGTTTTTGGCGATTCTTGAGCCACAACAACAGCAGGCTTCTCTAATTATTAAGATCCTTGCCGTTTCAAATTCAGAGGAGGATTTTATATCAAATGTTCCAAGTAGTGTTCTTCACTTACTTCCCATCCTTGATCCATTATCTGAGTGTTATTATCAAATGTTTATAATATTACAATATTGGTAATTACAAAACAAATTTATTGTATTGTTATATTGATTAAATATACTTATTTGTCCATCTGCTTATATTTCCATTTTTACATTTGAAAAAATCAACATTATTAGTAATAATAACATTTTAATTGGAAGATATTCTCCATTATTTTTATTAAAAAAACAAAGAATAGTGGAGAATATCTTCCAATTATTGAAAAAGACTTCTAATCTGATAACTCAAATTTATAAATATATATATTTTCAATCTATCACAATTTTCTTGTATTCAGGCTTTTAATTCGGTATTCAGTTTTGATTCGTTGCTAACTTCGAATAAATGGATTTTAGGGTTGTTAACTTTTATTTTCTTTTGAGTTTTTTGTTGGCATGATAAGTTGCTTGTGTTTCCTGTGGTTGGTTCTAACTCTGAAATAATCCCAAAATCTCATGTAATTCAAATCATCATTGATATTGTATTGTTAAGTGTAATCGTTCAGATTCTCGAGAGGCAGGATCTTTTTATATTTCAAATAATGTAATTTCAACTTATTGATTAATTTCTATGTTTCCAATGCTAACTATTACTCGGAGATCTACTCCTTCTTGTTTGGATAAGTCTCAAATCTGATCTTGTATAGCATCTACAACTCATCAGTTGGTGATAAATATGAGAAATCTCCTAAATGAACTCCCTTCAATAATATTTCATCATCGTTCCAAATGTTATGTTCTGATGCATCTGAACTTGTGTCTGAAGATGAACTACTATCGTATTTTATCTAAGCGATAGGCTTTTGAAATCTCGACTTCCGTGAAGCAATTTTTGAAGTCTGTGGTATTTTCAAGGCATCCGGAGTATTGGGTTCACTCACTTCTTTCAAAGGTTAAAGAGGCTGTTAAATAAATGTTGGTTATTTGAATTTAATATCTGATTTTGTTGAAGTGCTATCAGAATCAATAGAAGAAGTCGAATGTTTGCGACTATTTGATGTCCTAATAATTACAGTCCTATGTAGGTTTTTTATCATATTATTTTAAAATGTAATATTATAAAGTTAAATTTATTGGGGATTCCAGTTTTGTTCATAAAGAATAAGCCCAATGATGTTTAAATTTTATGTAATTATAGATGAATATGTCATATTCCTCCTGAATTTAACTTGTTTCTAATCACAGTGCTAAATTCAGCAGAATTCACGAACTCCTTGGCATTTCTAGTGGTCTGAAGTTGAATTTGATATTGAGCCTTCAGTTCATTATATATTTGGATTTCCTAGGCTTAAGCATCCTTATCCTATTCTAAATATAATTGGTTTATCATTCTTACATAAAGAATCCTTGTAATTTTGTAAGTCCAATTCATTTTATGCCAAAGCTTCCTGAGTTGACTTCAATTTATCTAGATGCTAATATTGCACTCTTACTTTGATATGCTGCCAACACATAAGTAGCTTCTAATACAGAACGTTTGAATTCCTAGTATTCAGTATTCAAAGTTTTCTATCTTGCTTCCCAAGTCTCTTAGATTTACTGCTCATCGGTGTTTTCCTACGGTTTATCCCATGATTTATACTTAGTTAAGACTAGAAACCAACTGATTTCTGGTGTCTTATAACAAGTCTCTAATCTTCTGAGCCTGTCCTTGATCTGAAAAATTCTATGTCAATTACAGCAAGGCTTCAACAAGAGGGTGTATTGTGCTGGTCTTTTGAATCTTGCTGTTGACTCTCTTGACTGCCTAATGGATGGTGGCTTTCTCTGAGAAGGCAACGTTGCCATTGATTAAGGAGTTGATCAATTGCAAGGCTTCGTCAACTGCACTGATTGCTCCTTGATGTTCACTCACTAAAAAGGGTTGTGAGTTATTTAATACCTCTATCCAAATAGGCCTGATGTTGGTTTTATCTAGCAAGTGTTTCTCTAGATAAAGCATCTCGGTTGTCATTCATGAAACCATTCAATCTCTCAATCTTTGCATTAGTTTAATCAATGCTTGGTAAGAGGATGGCATCGATAAAGTCCTTTTCATTGAAAATATTGATTTCTGTTTAACCAATATTGATGTCGAGGTTCTCTTGGGTCACTTGATGTTAATTAGTAGATCTAGTGAAATCATCTTCCAACTGTTGTAGTTCAGCAGTCAATTCATTTTCGAGGTCACCAATTGCAGTAACCAAGTCATCTAAATTTTATTACTCACACATTCATACCAAGAGGTCCTCTCATTTCGGCATGTGTTTGGGCCATTTCTAATATAAATTTCCCCAAATTGCTTTGCGATAACTCATCCATTTTTTCTGTGCTTAATTGCACCATACTTGGATCAATTGAATAGACTATCGATAAAGACAAAATCAAAGCCAATAGTTTTTGCATAGGCTATTTAATATAATAATGTAATCCGTTTTAATATTTGTCTATAAAATATTTATATTATTTTCACACATAATACTTATTTAACCAATTCTGACACCAACCCATAAACAAAATACATTTACTTGAAATGTATTGATTAATTAACCTTATCCAAATATTTAAATAATCTATATAATCTAATAATCAGATGATCTAATAAATCCTTAATTAGAAAGATATTAAAATTAATATGTATTACTAATATTCATAATAAATCAGATATCTTAAATTAAATTGAATTAATAGATCAGTAATGTAGAATATAATTTCAATATCTCGATAACTATTGTCTAAATTTCGATTTTCAATGACTGTCAAAAGATGAGTTGCATGCCTTGAAGTCTTTTTAGGTTTCTTCACTTTCATTAAAACTGTATCCAAATTGTATTATGGAAAGTAATTCAAAGTATTTTTACATTTATCTAACTCAAAATCTATTCTTAATCGAGGATTATAAGTCATATCGTCTAATTTTATATTATATTCTTAAATTACAGGTATTGAGATTTATCTTAATTCCGAATGTGATTTTTTTTATGAAGATTAGAGAAGTTATGGTAATTTTTAATCAAGATTTTAAAAAGTGGAAGAATTTCCTTTTCTTATTATATTTGCAAGACCATTAAGATGCACTTCCTAACTGGGTTATATCAATTATTATGGCTAGATCTAGCCTGTAAAGGAGCTCGAAGATGACGAATTTTGTTAGGAAGATTAACCTTGATTAGATAAATCTTAGGACAATAATGACACACTGCTCCCACGTAAGGTTTGAATCTATTATAATTAGGCCAGAGTTCTTCTGTTGGCTCTCATACTTAAAAATTTGGAAGCCCATTCACTAGCTTCCCCATGATCCGAATAATCAGATGACATTTATATCAACTAAATTTTCTAATCAATTGTAGAGCATTTCGGTAAGTTCTTAAGACCTGCTTAATTCTCCTCATTTTCTGATTCGTATTTAATAGATTTTAGAGTATTACTTTTCTCACTTAACAACGTTTCAATCACATGATCATACTATCTAATATAACCTAAGGAGTTCAGATACTAATCAGTTAAGTCTTCCAGACATATAATATTATTATCCACTATTTATTAAATAGCTGCTTATTGTATGAGTTATAGGTTGAATCTTATCTTTTCGGTGATAACTCTATTGAATTTGCTTCTTTTATTACTCTCATTAATCATGAACTGTTTTCTCAGCTTTCCAAGATTTGCAATATAGAATACGAAGGGACATTTCTTAAACTAGTGAGTCCATCGACATATATAACAAACCTCTCCATAGTTTTGTTTCTCCTCATAAAATTGCATCTCATCCTTCAACATTTAATAATTCTATTCCTCTATTGAATCTTCTTTTGTGATATTCAAAAAGTCTTCGTATTCAATATAAACTATCTGACAAAACTTAGTTGTTCTTATAGAATAATCGTATTGAGTTTACATGATAAATTCTTTTTCTCCAATAAATTTTCCAGCGTCTATGACTGCTAATTTAGTTTCTCTTTTAGCTTAATCACAAATCAAGTTTATTTATCCCTTCTATATAAAATACAGTTTATTAGCCAATTCATTCTGAGTCTCAACAATCTCTTCAGGAGCAAATCTCTTCTCTCTCACAAAAGAACACAACTTTTGCACACTCTTCTCAGATAATGTTTTCTTAATAAGTCTTGAACTCATTAAGATATTTTTATATAGATCAATCGCAACTTATTCCTTTAATCTTTTATTTAAAGTTTTCATCATATTCTCTCCGAACTCATTGTTCTCATCTTGCATTTTCAAGTAATGTTCAAAATACTTTCTTACCTACAAAATCAATTACTTACTTAATTATCTCTTTTTTACATAATTATTTAATTACATCATTTTTTACTTATAAATATACTCTTTTTCTGTTAACTGTCTCAAAATATTACCAATGCTAGATATTGTGTATCCAAATAATCCACAAATGACCATAGCCATCAGTATTACAAATGTCCTCTCAAGATCAGTCTATGGAACTATATCTCCATATCCAACGGTTAGCGTTGTAATTGTACTAAAGTATAGTGAATGAATGTATCTTGATTCCCATGAGGCATCAATAATGCCCTTTGAATCCAGCCATGAATATTTCCCTGCATCTAATTGTATCTATCCTATAAAATTCCATAAACAAGCACAACAATGAGACACAAACAATAATAAAAATACTGATTTAAATAATTCCATCACTGTTTACATTGTAATCGAAGGGTTTATTGCTTCCTCTAGTTAATCTATCAAGTTCTTTACTTTTGCCATCCTCAACATTAAAATATACTCTGTGTATGGAATATTAAAGAATGATAAAATGAATGGGATTACAAACAATAAGTCCCACCAAAACTTCGATCTTGCATAATTCCTAAAAATATCCTTATGGCTTTTATGAATCTATCCTTTACTGTAATAAGCAGTGAAAAAATTTATGATTATATCTACTATAAATGTCCAGGAAGGCAAGGATTCAAAAAACAATTATTACATCGTTTTATCGTTATTAAAACCAAATCCTAATTTCATGGGGATGTAAAAAATACTCAGGATAATTTAGATTAATAGAAATATATCCCACATCACCTTAAAATTTGAATCAGGATCTATTATGGGAAGATGATTCACACTTCCTTTCAAACCATAAATTAGAGTTGAAATTTTATTCAGATTTTTTTGCAATAAAACATCAGAATCACTTGCAGAATCTGAAATCAACATCAGAATGTCGGCATTTAAAGATTTAAATTTTACTTAGGTGGAATGGTTTTTCATTTATTTCACAAATTTAGTCAAGAAAAATATTATACTGAGTCCAGAAAGTCCCCACTTCTTATTACTTTTCTTAATCAATTAATCTTGGTTACTCTCTTAATCAAGAGGAATCTTGGTTTCCCTTTTAATATTAGCCATCTCAAAGACACTTTAATCTAATTTTTAATCGGAACTAATATTAGGTTCAAAGGAAGCCTCATCACTATTGTCTTCACAATATGGCATTGAAAAATCAGATCGAATATTGGCAGATTGTTTGATTGCAGGGCTAAATAAAAACTCAGATTTGATACATAAATTAGGATCTATTAGAATAAGAATTCATCATGTCCAACATCCTATATGACAAGATATTAAAATATTTATATCCAAATAATAATTACATTTATCAAGCTGAATTAAGCCTATTCAATTATGGTATTATGATTTTTCATTCATCACATAAATAAATTTAAGTTAAACGCATTCCCAAAGATTAAGTGTCCAGTTTATAACGTATTATTTTTACTCAAACTAAATTATCAACTTTGTTAAAAACAACTCACTAAGGTATATTAATAATAATTATAATTCTTCCAAATTGTATTTTAATTATAAATTGGTTTTAGTATAATTTCAAAATCTTTAAATTTTGTATATTAGTCAATTTTATTCCTTTCATTATTTTTTAGTATCTTTTTTTAAACTATTATGCTATTTAATTTTCAAATTTTAACATAAAGTGTTTTACTTCAGATTCCTTTATAATTTTGTAAATTTAGATAATTTAATTATAATAAAGTAATTGTGGAACTGATAGATTTTCGTACAAATTAAAATTCAAGAATTCAATTCGAATTTAGAATTGATTTCATCTAACACAACTCAAGAATAAACATTTTTTCAAGTAATATCCTTTAGTTTTTCAGAAATAGAAAAGAATAACTGAATTTTAAGATTTTTTACATAATTTTCTTTGTATCAATCATGCTAGGTTCAGATATGCAATGAAAAGATAATTATTGGCATTTGGCATTTGGAATAAGGAATGATAAATAATTTCTTCACCAATATTTTTATATCTTTTATTATCTAATTCTTTATTTTATTAATAAAACATTAAAGAATTTAAATAATATTAAGTTGTATCACCTTTCGATATCTATATTAATGAAAGATTTACTATTCAAAAGCTAATAATCATATTTCTCTTGTGTAAATTTAGAATGGCTTAGTGAAACAAGAATATAAGATTAGAATAAAATACCTAATTTAAATGGAACTTCTTTTTTGGGTTCAGAATAATTAGTGATAAAACATAATTCTAGATTTAATTATATTTAAAATATAAAAAACACAGAAATATAAAAATTGAACTTGAAACAAAGAAGAAGATTAAACTGAATTTAGTGAAATTTTTGATGAAATTAAAAGTAGATAAATATATTTTAGGGAGATTTCTGAATTAGACAATAAATTTAAGAATAATACTATATTCCAGAATTATTGCAGCAATTACATTAATTATGCTTACGAATTTATATAAATTAATATTTTTAATAATAAATAATTTTTAATTATGATGAACTCAACAATATTAAGTTAATATGATCATTCTATGATTATAGATATTGGAGCTGATCTGATATGGGGTATTAAATTATATTAAATGATAATTTGATTATTTTATTGCTGATGCAATTAATGATTACATTTTATTGGAGCTGTCTGATATTATATTAAATAATCAAACCCATATTTTAATACAATACTATTATAGTAAATTATATAAGATTAAATGACTTCCTCATTATAATGAAGAATTTATCATAGTTAAACTAATATAGGATATAAATATAATGATGAAACGATGACGAGTATGAAGGAATTGATAGACATCCATCTATTGTTCCTGCATCAGTGATTATTTGAGGCATTTGTCTGAACAATATGAAAAGTATAAATTAATGAAGATATTTATGCCGCCCCAGTCTTAACGACTCTGATGATACGGCTCAAGACAGATTTATTATTATAGTTATATTAAAGTGATGTAAAAATATTTGCTACTCTTGAGATAGCATGATGAGACAACCACCAAGATCTCTGATTCACAATAATATTATATATATATATATAGTGATGATTTTGTAGTCCATGATTTAATCATGATTTCAATCTTTCGCTCCTATCTGATATACATAAATTACGATTATATATATATAATGATGACATTTAAGTACTAGAGTCTATGACTTCAATATGAACTACAACCCTTGGCTGTCTGAAATAAAATAGCTTTATATATATATAAATGATGATAACTGACACCTCTTGATTGAGCCTATTGGCATTGATCGGAATTCACTGTCTGAACTCTTTTTGCGACAGTCTTTCAAATTTAAATTGGCAGACAAGTATGAGAACTAATGAAGGAGATAATATTAATAATGTTGATTGATTCAAAAAAGTAGATAAATAAGATAGTTGCTATATTATATGTTTGAGAGATCTGATATATAATATTAATTTTTACAAATCTTCTGTTTAGCAACAAGCATAAATCTATAGGGTCATGAACCAAGGTGTAATTTAGATTTCCGTTAATATAAAAAGCAAAGCTGAATCAAAAACGACATAGATGAATTAAAATAATTTGATTAAAGTATTGAATCAAAATGAAGACATTTGATCAAACAGGTAAGAGTAATGATGTTCAGAATGTGGAACAGCAAGTTTTCGCTGATTCCTCTGTTAACTAATTATATCTTTTCCAATTTTCAACAACATGAATATCTGCAATTGCCTTTCCTTTTTGACACTCATCTCTAAAAACCACTCTATGTACTTTCGTTTTCTTCAATATCGGAATATAAAATTTGTCTAATCTAATTTATACTTTATTTGCTGCAGTTGGTTCTGTATTGTAAGTATCATCTGGATTATTTAGTTTAGATTACATTAAAAAATAAAATAAAATATGTATATTATAAACAATGTGCAAGAATAAATAATCAATTATTATAAGAATTGCCGCAACATAGTTACCTAGAAACACTCCTTGAAAAAGTTGTGTATGAAAGCAAAGGAGGATTTCACTTAAATTGCAAAGCAAATAATCTTAACAATGCTAATATCACAAATTTAAATAGAAACCAATCAAAGTTGTCCCATTTGTTTGAATGAAGACCTCGTTTTCAAAGGAGTCTAATCCGAATAATGCAAACATTCTTTTTGCATTGGTTGCATCAATGGCTATTGGAAACATAATCAAAAAAAATAGTTAAAATGTCCATGTTGCAGAGCCAAAATTAGCACTTTTGCGAAATCAAAAAAATTATAAGAAGAATACTAGTAAGAATGCAATTCATTCATATTGTTTTACAGAGTTCGATGCACAGTCTTAAAATATAATATTATTTATGTAAACTTTATTAAACATATCTTAGCCATTTCAAATAATAGCAAACATATTCAAACATCTAGGTCAATTATATCATCTATTCAAAATTTTAGTTAAATTATCCCTCTAATTGTAACTTGTTTTGTGTTTTATACTGTGTATTTATGTGCTCTCACCAATTGACTTATTTCCAGAAGCCATATTTGGAGTTTTAGGATTGGTAGATGATCTCTTGTGCGTAATATTTATCGTTTGGATACTAATTACTCAAATTATCATTAGAATTTTTTTTTGATTCAAATAAATATTATAAATTTTATTATAGATATGAGAATTATATCAAATTATTATATTCTAATAACAATTATTTAGTGATCCCTCATCTTTCATTCTCATACAATATTCTTAATGTGAGATTTACTGCTTTGATGATTAGAAGACGAATGTCTAATTGATTTGATTTGTTCAGAATTAAAAATCTAATAATGAAAGTAAAATTACAAAAATTGTATTCTTAAAATAAAGACAACATTTATTATTTAGGGAACCAAAATAATTTGAAAATTTTAGGAAATTATATATATAAATATTTAAGTATAATAACTCATAAATTTCATTTATGGAAGTCAAAATGATCAAATGTGGAATAAATTATGTATTTAAATAACTGCTATTTAAGAATGATTGGTTAAAGGATCGTTTTAAATTATTCTTGTTAACTTGTGCACATAATATCTTATCATTAATGTCATGTATCTTTAGAGTCCTTAAATTAATTCAAAATATTTACAAGTGATTTTTAATATTTATAGTTAATTTTTACTGTTAATTAATTATGAATTATCTTAACATTATTGAGCAATCACAAATCGAAAAATTAAAGGCTCAACTGGAGAAAAAGGAATGTAATTTATATGCATTTATAAATAGAAACTATATCGACTTTGTAAACTATAATTGAATCTCAAAAAGAACAAATTAATTAGTATCAACATGAGAAATAATAATTAGTTAAAAACATTCAATTACAAGTTCAATAAAAGTTTTAGGATGACCTAAATTTTGAGAATATTATAAGAAAACTCAAATAGGATTTAGAATAGAAATCTATATAATTCGAATAAATGACTATGAGATTAAATTAAAATGATCCTGGATTTCTATTAATGAAATTGAAAAATGAAGCTGAAGAACCACATAGAATTGAAATTCTATAAAAAGAACAAATAATTGATGAATTAAAACGACAAATACTGTAATTGAAAAATCAATTGTAATTACAAGTAGAAAGAAACAATGCCATTCAAATTGCAAATCAAAATGAATTGGCATAGTTAAAAGAGAAGTATGAATCGAATCTAGGAGTTGATAAACTGTCATTAAGATAAGTTAAGGAACTTAATTAATTGAATGAAAGAGATCAATAATAAATATAAGAATTACTGAAAGACAAAGAATAATAGTAAAATCAAATAACACAAAAAGACAATATTATAAAAGAATTAAGATTTTAGAATGAATAGTTACATAAGAGTAAACAATAAATTATTGAAACCTTAACTCAAGAACTAGAAATAGAGAGAATCAACAGAAGAAAATTACAGTAAGAGAATGATGATCTAGAATCAGCCTTGAGTAATATTAGATTGACAATGAAGGTGAATTACTCAACAAATATTAAAAGTGATGGCACAACTATTAAAGATCAAGAATTTATTGATCTCTAAAATCGATTGAATGAGTACATCAGATTATTTGAAGATGAAAAAGATTAAAAGAAAAAATTATCTCAGAAATTAAATGATATAATAATTTAAACAAAATAAGAAAAGTAGGATAGTGATAAAATATACGAAAATAGAATTAAAGATCTTTAAGAATAGATTAAGGAAGAGAAGGGAATGAAATCTAAGTAATCTATGAAAATTAAGGATTTATATGCTGATATTGAAGAAATGAAACATGAACTAAATATTTTGAGAGACAATTAGGCAAGAATTGAAGAGAGAGCCAAAGAGGTTGAGGTTAGAGAGAGAAAGGTAATTGAAAGAGACATGAAGTTGAATGAGTTGTAAAGAGAATTTGATCTAAAGAAACCACCTGAAGAGTTAATGTATGACAATAAGAAAATCAAAACAAAATACAAGTAAGCCAAAAAGAAGTTGATTGAAGCAAATTAAAAAATAGTAGTTTTATTAACAAAGATCAAAGATTACGAGTAAAATAATGAAAATTCTACTACTAATAATAATAAGAATAATGTATTTGAGGGAAAGAGTACTTATAATAAGCACGGATATACAAATACTGATTAATAAAGAAAATAGATGGAAAGATAGGTTTTCAAGGATTAATCATACGAGGGATACTACGATTTACCTTAAGATGCAGATTATTTGGGCAACCCTTATCAAACTGAATTTTAAATGGATAGAATCTCTTAAAGATTAAGGGAAGATATTGTCAAGTAAAAGAATAGTTTAGAAACTCTTGAACATAAATATAATATATTAAAATGATATTAATTTGTATTCTATTACATTCTATGTCGGGTATTTTCAGAACCTTATAATATTATTATTTATAACATTTGTAAATTTGGACCTGTTTAAATAATATTAAAATTAATGGATTCTAAATAATCAAAAGCAATAGAGAAGATTGAAAAGGCTGGCTTCCTCGAGAAGCATAACCAACTAATTGCTTAAGGTTACACTAATCCCTGGTTCAATTATAAACTTTTAAAGGATTATGATGGAAATCTTGATTAGGTTAAAGTTGCCTACAATGAAAATAAAAAAAGAAAAGATGAACAAAATGGCAAAGCTCTCAAGATTTTGGAAACTATGGGGTGGTTAAATAAACATTAAGAACTTGTTCAAAAAGGATTTATTCAAGTCAAAAAAAATTTAAAAGCATTACTTGCAACTGAAGGAGATTTACCTAAGAGCATTGAAAAATTAAGTATCAAGAAGACCTTTTAAACTGATTAACCAATAGATCAAATTATAGAGTAACATGGTTTCAAAGTTTAATATGATAAATTAAAAGAAATGGGTTATGACAACTAAAAGAGAATTGTGAGATTGCTATTGAAATTCAATGGTAATTTGGAATCGATTGTTGATAAGCTATTGAATGAGAAAGGTTGTAAAAGCGAACATTGTAAGAATAAAGGAGAAAAATGTTAAAAAAACAAAACTTCTTAAGAATTTTAGGAATTTAAATAGAAAAAGTAAGAGTACAAGAAGAAGGTGGTTGAGTTAGAGTAAAGTGGAATTCCTCGTAATAGAGCAGTGAAACTTTTAGCTATTTGGAATGGGGATGCCGATGCTGTTTTAAAATGTGCCAAATAAGTTAAGCCTTAGGCTGAAACATAAACTTTGTAAGAACAATAAGTTCTTGCATAAGAATGAGTTTGAATAAACTCAAAACGTTAGGGAGGGAGGGTTGGATATATTATATATATATATAAACATATAAAATTATGCAAATATTAATATTTCCGAAAGCATTAAATAAAAAATGATATTAACTTATATCAAATTAGATACTCCATTAATGTCTTATTTCAATCTACTAATTCACTTTTATCAAATTTAATTTGAGTAGAAGAATTTGAATGGGTTTCAATTTTATGATATAACTAACTTTCATCTTGTTCTTTGGCTTTATTGTAATTGAGTTTCAATAGATCATTTATAATTTGTTATTATTTTTAATTTAATTAGGATATGAGTTACTTATGATGATTATTTAATGGCTATTTTTTTAACAAGCAATCATCTAATAAATATAGAATTTGTTTTGTTTCATTTTAGTTATCCATTTTATGTTGAAATTACAATAAAAATAAGTCTTCACTCTTTGAATAGGTCTACCTCTTGTCATTAAGTCTAATTCTATCCTCTTTACTTAAATATTCTTTCAAAATTGATGGTTTGGTATTCTTGATAATTTAATTAGTGAAATATTCATCATCTAAACCTTTTTGCTTGAATTCATTTAGATATAATGATCCAATCAAAGTAGCAATTTTTTCTAATTCAAAGTAATCTCTAAATTTTAAAACATGATCATAAATAAATATTAAACATTACACCTAAATTTAATAGAGATATTACATTGACAAAATTAAAGAAAGTATTTGACAACATCTTTTCAGCATGTCTCTCCAAATATTTCCTAAAATAAAGCAAATCTGTCGGCTCAATTAGATAATTTTTTTTTCCAATTTCTAATAGAAAATCTATCTCGTACTCCTTGATCTAATCGTTTTAATCTAAGAATCTTCCTAAAGAAATTTCTTCTCTGAAACAATTGATAAAATGAAACACTAGAGGAGAAGAATGAAAATACAATAGAAAATATGTCATTTAAACTAAATTCTAAGGATGAAAGCTATAGTCTTACTTGATTAATTTGGATATTCGGATTTTTAAAGAGCAAACATTACAATACTGATTATAGAAATATTGCTGACATATTATCCATTAAATCTTTAGTTAAGTAATAGTCGAATTCTTTCATAGAATAGTTATACTAATTGCGAATCTTCATTGATTAAATTCAAAGTTTACTTAGTTTAATATAACTTGAATGGACTTCAGTTCTTCAGCTGCTGACGCTGGCAAGTTATTTTTACTTTAGCCTAATATCGTGTAATATTCGTCAATGAGATCTTATTCTCGAACACTAAATACGTATTAGATCATACTTGTCGAGAGAGTATCTAAGCCATTGGTTAGTTATTAGTGAATTTTTATTAAAAGATAACTATTCCTTAGTTATAATATCTTGAATGGCGAGTTATTCCTCTTTACAAATAATACAACATCGATGTTAAGTTTTGAGATCATAGTCGACAATCTTAATTTTTTAATGAAAAATAATACAATAGCTTTAAATTTTCCGCAATCAAAACAAACTGCTCGTTTACATCTTTTACATTAATGTTATTATAATAATCTTAATTATGAGATGATGAATACAATGAGAAATTTCTTTGGCAAATTTCACATCTTTGTTGCTTTGGACGTGGTAAAGGTTTCTTTATTGTGGACATTTTACAAAGTTAATAAATTTATATGAATGTTTATATATTTACAAGAAACATAATTATAATGAATTTCATATTTGATTCAATATTCATAAAATTGAGGAATAGGATCCTAATCATAATAAGAATTCTTTCTACTTAAATTAGGTGATTCTGCTATAATAAAATTATCATCTAATTTATGGAAAGAAAATGGATCACTATATACAATAAGTTGATTATCCTATTTTTTTTCTTCATTTTCATATTTAAAATCCACTTTTTTAGTTATTGGATATTCTTCATCAAAACTAACTTCATCATCCTCATATTTAAATATATTTTTTTTCTCCTATTTCTAATTATTAGCAACTGCTTTCATTAAAATTTAAATGATTTGAGTTTTTGATAATTATTCTATTTATTGTTCGAAATTTTATTTTAGCATTTACTATGGTAGTTATTCAAATGCAGGTTTTTCATTTTCAAATATCTTTTGGTGTTAATATTCATTTTAAAACTCATCGTCATTTTCGCTTGTTTACTTAATCATCAAAAGGTTATTAGTGGAAATATTTTTATGCTTCCCATTTTATTTGTTCCCTTGCAATGATTGCAAAACCCACTTCATTATTTATTCCTCAGAATTTTCATTCTTATGCCTATTTATATGTATTATATACTTATTCTTCATTAGTTCTGTCCATAAATACTTATTTTCTTTCTAAATTTTCTCATTTTATTTTATTAGAATTTTCATTAGTTTTTCTAACTCACTCTATTTGTTCGACAACCTCGACATTTGCATTGATATCTTCGATATGTATAAAAATCTAATACATCTGGAATTTCCTAATTCCCATTTCTCACGATCTCAGTTTTTATGAGAGTCAACGAATTTTAATCTTTCTAATCATTTGTCTTGCGTTTAATTTAACTCAATAAGTTTCTACGTATATATAAAATCCATACTTCTTTCCTCTTTAGAATAACTTGTGTTTAAATTCATTTTCATTATTGTCATGTCGGGTTTTGTGAAAGTCATACATATTTAATTATCGAACGAACGATGCAAAGTTACTGTGCTTGAATGATTAAGGGAGAATGACATCCGAAAACTCATTTACTTTTTTAACTATAAATGCACTTCCTTCCTCATTCCAACTAATGACATCTTAATTGCTAGGATTCTAAGAATTGCCCATAATTTTTACATCTATAATCTCATAGGTTTTTAATAAAAATGCTGGTATTGAATCTGCATTGGCTTTTTAAGACCTTGATCTCTTTTTCTTAACTAATTATTATTACTCTAATAAATCAATTTACATAAACTTAATAATATAAATACGACTTTTAAATTATTCTTAATATATTAAATTCTATAACACATCAGAACTTACTAAATATGCTATTTTCTAAAAATTAATAATAAACTTAAATTTCAAAATTGTTATCCTTCCCAATTTCGTTCCTTAAATATTGGAATATTTAACTTCACACTTAAATCAGTTTTCATCTCTCTTTTAGCACAAAACCCTTATTTTTATTGAATTCTCATCTCTAATGGATTACTTGAACAAAACTGATTTGTTTTTATAATAATGTGTGTTTGCATTTATACTCTTAATTTAAGGTAATTAAGTATTAATATTTAATTATGATAAAGCAAACAAAAGATGGGGAACCAATTTTTATTCCACCTGCTAAAATCTTATAAGAATTAAAGTATTTGCATAAAGAATTGCCAGCATTCTGCTATTCTTGGGCCTGGGAGGCTAGATGTGTATGTGCTTTTGAAAAAGGAGAATTCATTGAAGCGATAAAAGAGTTGAAAGTAGCTTTTGTAATATAATAAAAAGTAAATTGGCTGCTAAAAACGATGCGAAGTATATGCTAAAAAGCCTATACTTATTGGGAAACGACTTTTTAATGTTAGATTAATTTCATATGGGGCATCATCTCCAAAAAAAATGTTCTTTGGTCCGAACCATTTAGCTCATGCATTTGATAAGCTGATGTTTGATTATGTATACATATTTTTGGAGACTCCTTAAAAAACAGCAAAAAAATTGCAATTACTAATATAAAAAGCTGAAAGCATACACAATAATAGGTATTTTTAATTTTAATGGAAGATAAATTGCTAGTTTTAAGGAAAGCTACAAAATACTACTGGGGAAGGAATATGAGGAATAGAACATGGAAGAAGAATAGATTGAGGATCAAGAGTGATAAATAATCATAATAATAAATAGTCTTGATATAAATTTAATTTTTTAAAACAAATTATATTAATGATGGAATATAATTAAAGCAATCATCATTATATAAATCATAGTCATTATCAATAAAATTTAGTATAATAAAAATATCTACCTAAATATGCCAATTAAATTAAAAATTCAAGGATAATCGGTGGAAGTTGATGAAAGGTTTGCTCAAGTCAGCAATTTTCTGAAGGAGGCTTGGTAACCAGGATCCAATGAAGTAGATTTATTTAAAAAATTCTTAGGAATTGCCATTGTTAGAATCTTAAGTCACTTTGGAGGCATTTAAGACTTTGGAAGAATATTATAAATTCAACAATTTTGAGCCAAGAGTGATAGATGCTATTAGTAATATTTCACAATATTAAATTAGCAAACGATCCAAACACCTGCTTCTTAAATGAACACGATAGAGAATTGATCATGAAAGTCAAAGTGTTTGAAGGAAATCAATTGAAAGAGTTGTTGGAAGCAGCCAAATATCTCCAGACATCTGCATTTAAGAGTAAAATAATTTAATATGATTAATAGAGTTATGCCTTGCAAGAATTGCTTTTGAATTCCACGTTGATAAATAAGAACCAAATAAATCATTTGGTGAATTGAAAAAGAAATTTAATTTGACCAATACAGCCCTTACTTTAGGAGATGTCGAAAGATTTAAGTCTGATTATCCAACAATCGTCAATAAATACAATTGATTTCATATTAAGGAACAATACATATCATATCATTTAAAAGTCGATTTGAAAATTAATGATGACCCAATAATGCTTTTTGGAGTGATTGGAGTTGTCTTAAGCTTTCTCTATTATTAATTTAATAATTAAGATACTTTTATTTATCTCAGTTTAATTAATGATTTAAAGTTTTGGATGATCACTTTTTTTTCAACTCCATGACCTCTTTCGCTCAATAAATTACAATACTTTTGTTATTCTGATGGAATTTTGGTTGTATTGGAAATACTATTTTTTGGATTTATTATTTTTTATCTTTCAGATTCTAAATAGTTTTCTTCATTAGCATCCTATTAAATCCTTCTTGAACTTCCTATAGTACTCGTAAAAGAGTTCCGCTTGGTTGTTTTAGTTTTAAAATTCACTTAAACTTATGCTCTAGATTCTGTGTCTGTTCTTAAGGATATTTTTTTTTAAGATAACTCAATACTCAGTTTGCTTTTGTAATTTTATTATAATAAAGGTGAGTCATTATAAGTAAATTTCGATCTTTTGGGTATTTAAGTTATTGAATGGACTAATTCTATCATTGTGTGAATTTAATTGGAGTAATAATCTGAAGCTTTCAAATATAGTTTGATAAAAGTAGATCCAGCTTATAAATATTAGTTCAAGGCGTCTTCATTTACATATAGTTTTAAAATAATGCTCTATGTAACAATATAGTGATACATTTTATATTTAATGATAGAGATCTGGTTAAGTCGAAGTTAATGGGTTATTCATATATTAATATAAGGATAGTGAGTAATGTCCAATATAGGTATTGGCACAAAAGTTTTTGATTTTGCTATCAATTTGAGAAGACTTTAAGTCAATAGCCATTCTCTTTTGATGGATGGCCTAGAAGATATCATTGAATCTAATAAATTCGTAATATATGTACACCTTTTGATGGCATTGTAAAGATTCCCGAAGACTTTTATTATGAAGGACTCTGCTTTGTGTAATAGATTCTACTTAAAATTATTTTGAGATTGCTTCATGGTTAAGAATCCCATCAATTTCTGGACATCTTGAAATTGTGAATCTGATTCTTCTTCCTCATCATATAAGTAGAATCTTTCACATAGCTCCTTTAATTCTTTTAATTCTTATTGTAATTCTTATTTTTCCTCCATCAAACCTAAGCCTATGGAAGACTCACTATCAATTTGAACTTAATATTTTCTGTATTGCTGTATGAGATTCTCAACTAAGAATGAAACTCCGAAGGGATGCATATGCATAAAATCAGTTATTTCTTTATTGCAATCTACCTTATTGATATCCTCGCTAACAAAGTCTTCGTTAATTCCTTCTTCAAATGTCAAATACATCCTATGTAAAATTATCGCAATTTTATACCTTTCTAATTTTTGTAACACTTGCAAATCTATCACTACTTTTCTTTACTCGTGCAATTTAAAGATGTTGGTCTCATTTTGATCATTCAATTATTGTATAGTTTTTTCTTATTCAGCTAATGTTTATTAAGCTTACTTATAAAATGGTGTCAAATACTTTTATTTTTTGCAATAAACTATAATAGTTCTACTGAGTCTGCTATGTTTCATTTTTGACTTTCTCCAAATTATCCAATACTTCAACCTTCTTATTTTCCAATTGCTTAATGTACTCATCATAATTTAATTTATATTTGGAATAACTTAGGTAACTTAATTTCTTGGTCTGTTGACTCTCCCTATGCTCAATAGGCAAATCTTGATAGAAACTGTTGATCAATCTCAGTTGCTCCTCCAAATCATTTATGTATTTCTGTCTCAACAACTAAATTTATCAAATTACCATCATACAATTGAATAGAGTGTTCTATCTAAATCTATCTCCAAATACTATTTTTGTTCCAGAGCCTTCTCAATCTCTTCAACATGCAACTGTTATTTCTCTTACTTAATCTGATACTATGTTTCTTCCTTCTTTAATCTTGCAATCTAATCTCTCTTAGATATATTGTTGAAATGCACCTCATTATATATTTGTTCAATCTTTTATTGGAGGAATTATGAATACATAAGAATGAGAAAATGCTGAACTCTCGATATTACATTAAGTCAAAAATTCATTCTCCAATTCATTCATAATTAATGAATATTAAATAATAACTCCTCAAATAGTAAATTCCATCTTATTAGCATTCAGATGGCACTTGTTTCTGCTCTGTGTGTTTGTGCAGCAAGTGTTACTGCAAATAAAAGCCTTAACAAACCCATTACATTAATGAACCTAAATCAATCTATAATATAGATTTTGATTCAAGAAGAACCCCTATCAAACATTCCAGATTGCCTAATCAGAACTATCAAGGCAGACAAAAGGCTTTGTCACTTCATTCTGTTTACAACGATGATTTCGATAAAAAGCAGTTGAACAAATCATCCCTAGATAATACACAATAACCATAGAACAATTCTTTCAGCATTCCTTTTTGTGGTTGCAACTCATATGCACTTCAATTTCCAGCTAAAACTTCTTTGCCTCCTTAATTGTTGAAACCATTAAATTAAATTTAACTACTACCTGCTAAATTAGATATCAAATCAAGTTATCAAAGAGAACACAAACATCACAAATTGGATCAAGACAAAATCATTAATTTTTCCAAGATTACTAATTAAAGATTGCATACTAATTCTAAAGAAAAAAACATATTCTTGAACTCCAGCTATTAAGAGTAATACAAAGGTTAAACTGCCAAAAGAGTTTCATAATTACCAGTCTAATCAACCTATTTACCTTTCGGACTCAGTAACTAAGGAATCAATCTGTATGTTAGTACAAATAAATAAGATTATGAACAATAAAGATTATATTAATGTGAAGCAGATTAGAAATTGCAAGAATTAAGCAATTAAATATTATCATAACAATGAAAATAATATAATCAAATTATTGAATATCTTTTTTTTTCTATTTACTTAAATTAGGTTGAAATATTCTAGTCTAATGATTGCCTTTTTCCAAATCTACTATTATTACAACTATTTAACATAACACGATCTATTATTGATCTTCTTTTCTATTTTGAGAATTCCATAGAACAATCATTTTATTTTCTTTAAGTAGGAATGTTAATATCATATATAAATTAAATTTTGGTTTTACCATTCTAGTTTAGTTGGTTGAATAGTTCTTTTTTTTGTTTAACAATTTAATCAATCCTCTAAAAAGGAGAGTTTGATTTGATAATACTTCTTGACCTTTAAGGTGACTATATCTTTTTTTAAATTCTATTTTGTCTATGGGTTTCTTTTAAATCGCTTAGATTCTTCAGTTCGTTTATCAAATGTAATTCGTTGTTTGCCTAATTAAAATTTAATATTACTAATAGTCTTTGTACAAGGCTTTCCAATTAGATACACAGTACTTTGCCATAATCTGAATTGCATCGAATAGTTTGGGTTCTTTATTATAAATGTTGAAATGTTTCCTTGTCTCCAAAGATACAACCTTTTTGTAAAATAGCTATTTCTCTGGTCTAATTTATTTGCTATTAGTTGATGTAATATGTTTGTTTTTCTGTTACAATAAATTCTCCACTGAGAATCAAATATATTTCTTCCTTATTAAGTTAACCTTCCCTATAAATAAGGTCTCTAAATTTATATTCCTAGCTTTGGAATGCATATAACAGAATTGTTAACAGCCTTCTAGACATCCCTTGAAAGGTTGAAATCGATTAAAGTTCCTTAATTTACTATTGAATTTTTTCACTTTAGGCCTGTTACAAAATTTCTTTGTATGCTTATTTATTTAATACTGCAAAATAGCATTGCTTTTCACAAACTACAGTTGCCAATCGACCAGTTTCATTTATCAAGGCTCTTTCACCAAACGAATCTCCTTCATGTAATTCATTCACTTTCAATAAGCTAATTTAAATAAGATTATTTACTTTTTTATTTTTTCATTTAGAAGTATTCTTCGAATCTCAGGAGTTTAATCTTTATTTGGTCCAACGCCTTCCCCTAAGAGTTAATTTACATATTCTCTTATTCCTTAACGAATATTTATTTTATTGTGCTATAGCTATTCCATATTATTTGAAAATATATAAATTCCGACTTATCCGGACAAAATGATGTAGAAATCTCTTCCTCTATCCCCTTTCTCAAAGACAATTGTGTCCTATTTGCACTATTTTACATTTAAATACTTCTGGATAAATTTCCAATTGGATTCGCTGTAAACATTTTTATAGGGCTTGGACACCGCATTCTTCTTAGATTTCCTAAAAATATTTGATGTTTTTAGTAGCTAATTATAGAATCTGTTTGATTTAAATTCATATAGCATAAACAAATACCGATATATCATATGTGGTTCGCTCTGACCAAGCCTTTTACAAAATAACAGTGCTCATTTCTCGAAGTTGTAATGGAGTAAAAGTAAAGGACATATCAGAAATTTCAAACATATTGTTGTTCCTGATAAATTAATTCATGCACTAATGTGATCATTAATATAGTATATATCATAAATTGATTTTTTTCAAATACTCTTCTCGAGCAAAAGGAATTATGCAAAACTGAAATTCCCTCAAAAAACTACTGCTTCACTAATGATTTCAATATTTAATAATTTTATTATTTACATACTTTAATATCATAGTGAATATGATATTGTTATTAATGACGTAATATAGACATAGATAACTAATAAACCAAATAATTAGTACGAAAACATTAAAAATGATTGTTACAAACTATTGTACCTGATTGGTGCAATTAATTCTTAAATTCAAATGCAGATGTTGATGTGATTTTATAATCTCAAAATTTTATTTATTTTGTTTTATTAATGGATACACCAAATATGTAAAGATAATATTTATTTAAGACAAGCAGCTGGAGCCAGACCTAACAAATAAACATTTGATCAAGCACCTCCTACCAGACAAGTGTAATTATGCTTGATTTATTTAGAATTCAAAACAAATCTGATATTTTTGGAGTCAATGCTCCCGCACCTGCCCCACAGGTATCAAGATAAAGTGTAAGGCCTAAAACTGATATTTTCAGTAATGAAAGTCAAGCACCAAAATAATAAGAAGTATTAGCCTTTTTATATGTGTATTAGGTAAGATAAAACAAAACTTTTTAATCTTAAATCTTTTAATAAGAGGCTGTTCAAAATGCACCACCACCTGCTCGTTCAAATCAAACATTTGAGAATTCGCAATAAGAAGTGAAGAGATATTAGAAAAAAAATAATGACAATAGATAAGTTGATCATGGAAAAGATTTCCTATTTGGGAAGAGTGGTAAAAACGATTGAATAAGTTGTAGATTTTGATGAATACAAATCTTTAAAAAGGGCAGCCACTTTGAGTGAGTTCAAACCAAAATTAAACTATGATCCATAAAATAGAAGAAATAAAGAACTCTATGGCAATGAAATAGCTCGTGATCATCTTCCAACTAAGGAAGTCAATTTGGAAACATCCAGCCCTTAAAAAACAAAGAAATAATAATAATAGCAATAAGAATAGAATCCAACCAACCGAAAATTGATGGAAAATCAATCAAGTGTTTTTGGAGATTCTCCTAAGTATAGCATATAATGTTATCTCTAGTAAGGCTGTGAAAAACCAAAAAGTAGAAAAACTGACCGCTTCCACTTAAAAATGGAGCACTGTAGGAGGATAGAGCAATAATCAAGTCAAAGAGTTTGATCCTGATACATATGCTAAAAACAGGAAGGATGCTGAATTGTAATCGAGCGTATTTGGTGAACAACAAGTAAAAGTTTAACCAGCTCCAATTCCAGAATAATAGGAAGAGTCTTAAACATAATAATGTATTATCGTATTTAATATAGCAACATCATAACAGCAATAAAAAGTCTAAAAGCCAAAGGAAAGATTAATTCCAAATAATTAAACATGGTAATAGACTGATTCAGTTAAAAATATGAGAGATTTTGATCCAACCCAATCTTAATTAAAAGAGGATGTTGATGCATCTTAAAAGAAAATGGACGCTCTTAAGTCAGCTATGGATACCCATTAATTTGAAGCACAATAGATTCCAACAAACCAAAAAATATCAAATAAACATCTTAAAGTAAAAAATAAATTATATAAATAGTAAAAAAAAGATATCATCTAAAGGGAAGAAAAATTAACCAAAGAAAAAACAACAACAAAAACATAAGCTAAGAAAAAATGATATATTTATATCATATCATTATAGTATTTGGAATATATAAAATATTTTATTAAGAGAAGAAATTTATTTATTTTAATTATATATGTATATACATCAACGCTTTTTATTTCTCTTTATTTTTCTCATATCGTTTACATCATTTGGATTCAATTTGCCATAACCAACTGTAATTTTTTGTTAAGGATGCTTATAATCAATATCTTCAAAACCAATTCCATTTTCATATGTTTTCATAACCTTCTTGTATCTGAGTTCTTCTTGTTTTCTCTATACAATATATAAATTCCATAATTTACTTGTCTTGCTAGCTATTGCTGAATTCCGCTTTTCATTAATTGATCTTAACAGAAAATAAATGGGGCATCCTTTTTGGTTAAGTTCTAAGGAATGGAATACTAATCGATTAGAACATTAATTTACTTGAGTTCCTCTTAGATTAACTTTGAAATTCTTCTTCCTATACAAGATAATTGTTCCATCAGATTCCAAGGAACAGGAGACTTTCAGTAATGAATTGTTTCCACAATTAGTGCAGAAGAGTCTTGTTGGATCTCTGACTAAGGTTTTACATATATGACATTCTAAAATGAACCTCCTTGCACTCTTAATCATATACCCTTCAGTTGATAAGACAGGGACACCCATTTATAATAGAACATTCTATAAAAATGACAAAAATATGATACTTGCATAGCAAAGTCAGTTGTCAGAAGAGCAACACCAAATAGATTTCCTTAACTATCTTATGGATTGATTTAAATTTCATTTAATTTTTCATGGATGTTTGTATTATTAATCCACTCTTCTTCATTTTCATCCTCTGATGACTCCTCTTCCTGATCTTCAACTTGTATTTCTTCTGATTTAGGTTTTTATGAGTTGTTTTATTTAGAGTAATTGTTATAATATTTTTTCTTTGGGACAACCTCTTCCCATCCATCAGAATCATCATCATCATTATTATCTTCATTCTTTTAGGTTTCTTATTTTTCTGGTTCTTCCGATTTTTGTTAAGTTTATTCTTCATCTTATTATTTATTTTAAACTTATTCATTTTCTTCCTTTTATACTTCTTCTTCCTCCTCTTCTACTTGTTAATTATTTTTGGATCCATAAACATTCTTAATTTTATTAAACTCTAATGGTTTTAGTGGTTCCAACTTTAACTTGTCCTTCTGTCCATTTTCCTCAATCAAGGTACAAGCTAAAGCAATGAGTTCAATATCAATTGGTGATAATGATGCTATGTCGGACGTTTATGTGGCGAATTGCTTAACGATTTTAATCATTTTCTCTGATGGAGTCAAGAAGGTGAGAGGGTAGGTGAAATTTTATAATTTTTACCTGGCTCTTTCATCTCTGACTTCAGTGAGAATGGCCTCATGAGTTACGAATGAGTAATGTTCTGAAAGGTGTTGAAAGTTGATTTCTTTAATAAATGCATTGGCATCCAATATTAATTTATTCATTTATTTTAATTTAAAAAAATAAAAGATGTCGGAACAATAAGTATATAATAAATTAATTAGGTTATATTTAATATAGCCAAAAATGAATAAGGTAATCTCAGCCAGAATTACAAGAAGTTATTTAAAAAGTATAAGTCTTTATATAAGGTAAGTTATGGATTTTTGAATTATTTAGTTTAGCTTAAATAAAGAGGACTTAGTTATAGACAAAATCAGAAATGCCAATCTACTCATTTTTGCTGGGTCCAGAGCTCCCTTTACTTAGAAAGGTATTTTTTATTTTGATTCCTAGAAATCTTATGCCTCGAAGAATACTTCAATGGCGGAGGCAACATACTAATCTTATTCTCTGATGGTGGTGAGAGTAAGTCTACTAGCAACCTAAATGTATTTATTGAGAAATTTGGAATTTATGTGAACAACGATTGTGTTGTAAGGACATGCTATTTTAAATATTTTCATCCAAAAGAAGCATACATCTAATAAGGAGTTATCAATCAAGAAGTTTGAAAATCTATATTCTATTTAAGATAGTTCGTGTGATTAATGGTGAATAAAGAGAGACTAGAAAAAACAAGGCATCCACACCATACCTCTAGGGAGTCATCGAAATGGAAGATACTGAAATTAACAATCAAAGTGGTCTCGACTTTGTCTATCCCAATGGAGCCACTCTGATTGTGAAGGACAAGGCCTTCCCCATCCTATCCACTGGCCCTATGTCTTATCCATGCGAAAAACCAATCATGGCCATCAACCAAGAAAAGGGTAAACTTGTAGTCATAGGCTCAACCGACATCTTCAATGATGAATACTTTGAGAAGGATGACAATCAAAAGATTTTTGAATTCCTCTTAAAGTTCTTCTTTACAAAAGAGGTTGAATTCGATAAGAAAACTCCTTTCGCTGAAAACGATTGCAAAAATGCTCCTGATATTGCAGAGCTGTCTGATAAACTAAAGAGTTGCTTACAAGAAAGTGAAGAACTACCAAAAGATGTAACAACCTTGTTTGATTCAACCTTATTCAAATTTGACCTTGATCTCATACCAGATGCTGTTAAGCTATACGAAACTCTCTGTATTGTTCAATCATATTCTAGAGGTCAAGCATGAACCACTGACTCTTATAGTTCCCCAATTTGAAACTCCTCTCTTGGGATTACAACCAGCTGTATTCCCACCTATTCCAAGGGAATTGCCACCCCCTCCTCTTGAGTTATTTGATTTAGATGAGGAGTTTGCATCTGAAAAGTAATTTTATCTGCAATATCTTACTCAGAACTCGTTTGGCATAATTGACAAACAAATGCACAAATGAAGATTTGGAATATTACGTAAAAGAGGCTGGAGACATCATAGGAATCACAGATAAATTAAAGAATAGACAAAAGGCATAATCAGTAATTCATTATGTTCTGGAAAATTTAATCAATTTTAAAAAATTAAATTAAGGTTGAGCTTTATTAATAAATAAATATAAAGTTACATTTAATTTATATCTTTGTAGATTAAAATACTGTTTTGCATATTGATATATATATAAATATAAATTAATTCATAGTTTTCTGCACGAAAACTTTTTGTTAGTTGAATTTAAATCAACTTTATTTAAAGATGATGTTCTGATATGTTATTATGAAAAGTTTGAATGTTCCAATCGAGATTTCAACTTACTCCATAAATCTTCAATCAAATTGTACATTCTTGAATTTTATTTAATTAATTTTAGCATTTCATTACTTTTTATGGCTCTATAAAGGATGTTTGAGACTAGTTACAACGAATCTTAAGTAGACAGCAACTCAGGTTCAATTATTTAATCATTTTATAGGATTTTTATTTGCTCCATTAACTAAATCATATTCATTCAAATGTTTACTTCTTTCAATTTAATATTATGATGTCTCTTTAGTTATATGATTTCTTCCCTTATGTCTTCAATATGCATCCAATCTTAAATTACTTAGAGTCTTTCATTTTTATTAATTTTAATTGCCTCTTTAATTGCTAGCAGTATATTTTCCTATTCCACTGATGAAAACTAAGTCAAGAGTATCTACAATGGATTGCTTACTTCAAAATTGTTTAGTTACTATTGCTTGTTGTATAACTATTGTAATTCATTGGTTAATTGAATGATTTGCCAATTCTACTATTACATAGTTTATTGGTAAAACTATTCTTTTTCATTTTGTTCGTTTATCAGTTCATTTATTTTATTCTTCTATGCATTGATTTCAATTTCATATGATTTATTTTAAGTAATTAGCAATCCATTCTCTTTTTTTATAGTTTTAATTTAATTGAAGATCTCCTCCTTTTGAAATTGCAATTGCATAACATTTTCTTACAAGATCTCTAATTTTGGTTTGGGTAGAATTTCTGTTTATATTTCTTTGTTTAGTTTATTTATTTAGATTTTATTCAAAGATTGGCTGAATATATCCTTTTTTGGTAACGCAAAGGCAGAAACCTCCTCATAATACCCTTAATACTGTCTACTATCAGCTGTAGTCATGCTATGCATTTCTGTCGAACTTTTGGATCTATTTTGCCTCGAGAGATCTTAGATTTACGACAATTCTTATTGAAAATATTCTAGTCTTTTAACCTACTCTCTTATTTTAGGTTTTTGAGTTTGAAAACTGAAAATCATTTGTTTATCCATATTATTCAAATTTTAACAGTAATATATTGAATTAATTTGTTATAATTATATAAGATAAAGTATATTGTCTTTTTGTATTATATCAAGAGAAAAACAAAACTAATTTTAAAACATTTCTTTTGCAATGTCTAAACCGATATTAATGAAGATTATTATGAAAGCAAAAGCATTTTATATTCAATCCATATGAGTATTTTTGGAAATACTATATTTTTCTAATCCTTGAACCAATTTCATTAGTTCAATGGATATAAGTATCATAAATATGATAAGTCAGAAAGAGTTTCCAAATAAGAGAATGGAAATTTCAACTATGTTTATCAGAATAAATTCAAAAGATGAATTAAATAAGAGTTAATGATATGCTAAAATAATTTATGATTTATGAATTCATCACATTGTTAAGAATTTTTCTAACATAGCATAAGCGCCTAAGGGATTATCTGTAGGGACCATGTGACCTGCTGTGTATATTGTTGCATAGATGAAATTTTCATATTGCTTCCAGGTTCCTTGTGTTTCTTTGTTCACAACAATCATTTCCTTCTTAGCATTTTTCCATAGTCCAATTTTGTCCCAATTCAATTAACTCATCCACAGGACAGCCCCAGGAGTATTAACTATATAATCTAATTACCCATTGAACAATAAGACTTTGATGTTGCTTGATAAGAGGACCTCAATGTCGCCCTTTCTACTAGTTGGAATATCCAAAGCAAAGGCATCAAAAGTAGGTCCATCACATCCTTCAAATATAGTTTTAGTGGTTGGAGCCTTGAATTAAGTCTTTAGATAAAAGTTCAAGAATCTCTCATGAGAAGTATCTTCGATGTCTTATCCTTGGTATTGTCTGAAATTGTAAACGTTGATTCCACCAGCCATATTAATGGTTTCATCATCAGACAACAAGTCGAATTATTTGTATGCCAATTGCATGTCCCCATTCAAAATGGCATTCTATCCTATGGCTATGTTATTCTGGATTATTTTGAATTGTCTTTCTGTAATTGTACCAATTGTGTACAAATAGGAAGCATACTAAGAAAATTATGAAAATGGCTATGTCCAGCCATCTCCTATAGCAACTCCCTTAAAATTGACGAATGTCAACCTCTAAGTCAATATCTAGATAGCTATGGCAGGGATATAATGTCCAGCGAAACTTTCTCCCATAATATACAATTGAGTTCTCTATAGAATTGTGTGTTTGTTGTAGAGGACCCGAAGGAAATTAGCGAAATACTTAGCAGCAGTTTCAGTATTTGAGACCACAAATCCGTCTTTTGCGCTACTCATCCCGACTCTTAATGGTTAATCGACAAATAATTGATGTGTCAACTTATTCCAAGATTATGGCTATCCCATATTCAATAAATAATTACTCTTTCCTCAACCTTATAATTGTCTTTGCTCACTTCCACCACCTTGTATGGACCTATCTCTTAAAAGTTTCCAAATTGTGATGAGCAACCTGGACCACCATTCAGCCAGATAACCAAAATATCGTCCTATTTTATTTGGTCTAAGCTCATGGTTCCTTGTTTTAAAAACATGTGGTAGAACATTTCTCCAACCGCTGTCTATCCATCCTCTAAGTCCTTTAATGTAACATATCCTGTTTCGATGTATTATTTAGGATCTGCACCCAACAGTTATTTGTAAAATTCTGAGCAATTAATTACAACCATTTATACCTGTCTAAACTGTAGTTTGCACATCTCCTTAACAAAGGACTAAACTAAATAATCCAATCAGAATATATATCATTTTTTTGAATAAATTTTTTATATTTAATTTCTTAATTTCTTACATTAAGTTTTTACAGGACTAATTACAAGAATTACATCACTACTTTGGTATTCAACGACAAACATTTCTACCTTTGAAAAAACACGATTCAAAATTAATACGACTTAAAATCATAAATATAATTATTTCTGGTATTTATATTATAATCATAATTAATTATATCAATAAATTACACTTTGATGCCTTTTATAGACATTAGAAAATAAATGCCTTCTTTGGACTCACAAGAAATCTATGAACAATACCTATTCCCAAGACCTTCCTCGTAATACAAAATCATCTCAAACACCGTGGCTATTGCCTTTTGTGGATTTTTTTATGGGATTGGCAAAGCTTTATAAAAACATTAATCGAAATTCATTTAATCCAACAAGTATTGTTTTTATGGATTATTGACTGGATACACTCATCAGTAATTGAACGAAATAGGCACTGGCATACTAATAAGAAACTTTGGATTTGATTAATATTGGCTATCTAATACAGCAGCAGGACTAATTAACTGTGGAATTATTTACAGCGCTATGCAATTGAAAAACAGTGAGAATGGACAATTGATTAAAGCCCAAAAGTTCGCAGGAGCAATTTGTTTGATATCTATGTTCTTGGATCTGCTCAGTCAAGTGCAGAGGAAACTGATTTTGGAATATTTTCAAAATGGAAAGGAAGGAAAGAAATACTGAAATTATATTGTGTAAATTTATTTGAATTATAAATATAGCATTGATTTATATATTATTATTACTTATACTAATGAAAGTTTAAGATTTTTCTGAAAAGTAAGCCAAAGCCATCGATTCACGATTGATGAATGGACCGTTACAAGATCGCCATTGCACAGATATCATATGTTGTTTATTATTTATTGCTTCGTTCATATTCATGTGGTGAGTTATTTTATTCTACAACCTTAGGTATATTGCAATAACTGGGTACTCTTTAGGGAAACCAGAAAGAATTTTGGCAGCCTATGATTCTGATGGTACTGTTTCTCCATTATATTTAGGCAACGCTTGCGATCTGGATTTACCAAGTTATCCCTTATTGTACTTTCCTATTATTCATCCTGATTACTATAACAAGACAGTCTGTGTGGAAAGATGTCCAGCAAGTACATCAGACACTGTTAAATGTTAAACAAACAAAAATATCACCTCCTGTCCTAGAGATTGTACGAAAGTTTCAGTTAATACATCTGCAACTTTCGATTTCACTTCTGTAGATTCAATGAAGACCTACGTAGACACAATCACAAGTTCAGTCACTAATCCTGAAAATTGGATTTGTCTCTATGGAAGTGAACCCATTTTCTCAAGAGCATGTTTTCCAAGTACTGCTTTAGACATTTTGAATCAAACCTCTAATTTTAGTTCTTCTATTGACTTGAATAGATTGACATCCTGGCTGTATGATCTTTCTATTGCCAAATATATCATTCTTGCATCGTTTTTTATAGCTTTCGGTTTAGGGTAAAAACAGTAAATTTATAATGATAGATTAATTTATATGGTGATTCTGAGATTTTTAGGGGGATTATTTGTATGGCTAACAATCTTGCTCTACTTTGTTGGAATTTCAGTTTTGGCAGGTTACACATGGAATCAGCACTTGTATTATTTAAAGTAAATATAATTCACATTATTTATTTTAGTGATTCTCAATAGTCAGCTTCAGCAGGTTCGACTAATGCTTCTGACAATGCAAAAGCCTTAGAATACATATTTTATATTGAAATAGCTTGGATTGCATTTTCAATTCTTGCTTTTTTTTGCATTTTCAACAAAATTAGATTGGCAATAGGAGTAGTGAAGACAGCTACTCTCTATGTAAGAGATAACTTTTCCGTTATGATTGTACCTCCAGTGATTGGGATTTGTTTAGGAGTCTTGTGGGTTTGGTGGATAGTGTCAGTTGTGTAAGAAATATCAATAATTTATTAGATACATTGTTGGTCTTGGAGACATCAAAGGAGATGGCAGTACTCCTTTTGCCACAGTAACTTTTGACAATACAACTAGAAACATGGTGTATTACTTTATGTTTGGTGGACTGTGGAAATAAGCCTTTTTGTTGGCTCTGAATCAATTCATAATTGGTTGTTCAGTGTGCATATGGTATTTCAATTAAGGACCAGGCTAATCCTACACTGGCAACTTATTCTAAAGCATCTATTGGGCATTTCGTTATCATCTTGGTTCTTTGGCATTTGGTTCTTTCATATTGGCAGTGGTTCAATTCATTCGATTGATGTTGGAATATGCAAAGTATCAGACCAAATAGATGGCAGGAGATAATAAATGTACGAAATGCATACTAGATTGTCTCTCTTGTTTGGTGGCCTGTTTTGAGCGATTCATCGAATTCCTCAATAAAAATGCTTACATTCAAATTGCATTGACTAGCAAGAGTTTCTGTCCAGCTGCTAAAGATGCTTTTGAATCAATATGGGCTAATACCATGAGATACAGTTTAGTTTCTGGTATTGGTTCCATTTTTACATTCGTAACACTTTATTTATATTCAAATAGATTGGTAAGTTATTTGTTGGTTTTGCTACAGTTCTGTTCTCCTATGAAATCTTTATTAATGTGGAACCGTATAAAACAGATCTAGCATCTCCAGTTGTGCCATCAATAGTCTGCTTTATTATTGCATATATGGTGGCCATTCTATTCATGAGTATCTATTAAATGGCATGTGATGCTGTGTTGACTTGTTTCATTTACGATGAAGAATTAAATAAGTAGAATGGTGGAATGTCAGCATAACATTGTCCAGAGACATTAAGAGAATGGTTTGATAGTACTTAATCATCATGATATTAATTTTATAAACATAAATTGATGATTAAATTACTACTAAAAATAATCATAAATCTATTCATTAGATCACAAATAAAAATGTAATGATCAGACTCACATTCAGATAAGTCATTATGTTATTAATTGAAATTAATAATGGAATATGTTGATTTTCTTTTATAAATATATTTAATATTAATAAAAATGAAATTCCTTTTCTATTCCATATGTTTCCTATTGCTGAGTAATTAAATCAAGGCAAACGATGAAAATAACACTAAGTGTTAAGCATATTTTACAGGCATTTTAGAGGCAATAACTAATGGTGAAATTCCATAGAACATATCAGCATAATCTTTACTTAGTTCAGGGAAAGGACTCTAAGATTTGGGTTCCTATCTAGTTTGTAGAGATTCTGTCGACTTGCATTACATTCACTTGAGAATGATCAGCGGAGGAAGACCATTACATATGGGATTTTGTTTACCTTAGTTCTGTGAAATGAGTTATCTGCAGACTTTCAATGAAACTACAAAATCGTTCATCAATAATCTAACTGTACTCATCCACAATTCCCCTAGCATCTCCAATACAATAGGTCGATGGTTGACAGTGTTTCCTACTAGGATCCTGAACTCATGTATCCAGAATGGGGTGTCGGCACCTATTTGACTCTTCTGTTGTTGATAGTCGTTGTTGGCCTCAATATTACAGGGAGCATTTTGTCCATAATAGCAGAAAACAAAAAGAAAGCTTATTCGGAAGACTTATAGATAGAGATATAGAAGAAGGCTGAGAAAATAAATGATTCTAAAATTGAAGATCAATCCTTATAATCAGATATAATAGATGAACAGTACAGGAGATCGGAATTGATTTGTAAATAAATATATCATTATGCAATATAGAGAATGAAATCATGGAAAATTAGGAATCTGCTTTCATGAGTGGCAAAGGGCAATTTGAGGAAATCACATATGAGAAATACAAAGAACCATCATGGGAACGACTTGCCTTAAGTTTCTCCTTCGTTCACAATTACCAGAAACTATTTAAAATCAATGAACCCAAAGGTGAGAATGCAGGTTTTGTGATTTTTAATGGGATAAGATCATTATCAATATTCTGGGTGATCTTTGGTCATGATTAACTGATCAGAGGAACTAATTCATTCAATCTGATTGACATCCCCTACAAGATCACAGAACCTGGATGGGTGACCCTAACACCTGCAGCATACTTTGCAGTTGATACATTCTTTTTTGTGGGAGGCTTTTTGGCTACTGTTTTATTGTTGGAAAAGTTGACCAAATTGAGAACAATCAAATTTACATTGGTGCCAGCAATGTGGTTACATAGATTCTTAAGAATATGGCCAACATACGCATTTTGCATTCTAATGTATTGGCAATTGTCTGTGTATTGGTCAGATGGTCCAATCTGGAACGAATATATAGCATCAACATCCACTTGCAATGCCTAATGGTGGAAGAATCTATTGTTCATAGATAACATGTTTTCGCATGCAAACAATGGATTAAGTTATTGTTTTGGATGGGGTTGGTATTTATCGAATGATTTTCAAATATTTCTCATCACTCCAATCTTACTGATTATTTATGCCAAAAATAAATAAATTGGATTAGCAACTATTATTTCATTGTTAGTCGGAAGCATCTTCTCAGCCTATTACATTGCTTTTTCTCACAACTACCATTTGTAAATAGGGACTCCAAATTCCAAACCACAACCAGATTATCAAGACGTATTTTACTATAAACCTTGGGTCAGAATATCTCCTTACTTGATTGGAATCCTCTTTGGACTTTTCTATCGAAATTACATTAGCGGTTAAAATTAAAGGATTGTTGATTTGGCTTCGAAGATCAAGGAGAGTGTGTTTATCAGAACTCTGCTATATATAATTGGAATCGGATTAACTCAGACCATCATTTGGATCATTATACCACTCTAAAAGGATATGGATGCTTGGCCTCCTTAAGCCTAATATTTCTACCAAGCTTTCAATAGAGTGCTGTTTGTAATAGGCGTTGCATTTTGCATAACTCCTGCTTTGCTAGGTTGCAAGAATGACCCATCAAGATTCATGTATGAAAATAATGAAATTTTAGACTCGGACATCCCTTTTGGTAACCAATAGCCAGAATTTCATTTTGCATGTACTTGACTCATTTCATTGTGATCTTGTTCATGACTTTCAGTTCAACACAATTAGTTTACTATCAATACTCTCACATTCTATTTTTCACACTTACTGATATCGTCTACACAATTGTAATCGGAGGTCTCGTAAGTTTAGCCATCGAAGTATAGCATTCATCTCATGTAGGTGCCTTGCATGAATCTTGAGAAGATCCTATTTGCTCCCAAGAAACACGAAGCCGTAAAAGTGAATAGCAATTAAGTGGGTGAGTAGATTGATTTATGAACAATTGTTTTATGTATTGGTATAATTGGCATATCAATTAAATCAGCTTTTCTTCCAATGAGATTTGCCCCCCCCCCATATTCAATTGTATTACATATGATTCAATACATAAATATTAAATATTTAAAAAATGAAGCTTAAAAGGTTTCTTCTGAGATATTATCCTCCTGGCATAATTTTGGAGTACGTTCGCAGTAATGGAGAATAAGAAACGAAATCTATTGACTTGCTAAATTTGAGCAATGAGTATAGTTTGAAGTCTAACATAATAGTACAGATGTAGATCAATTAGTTGAAGAAATAGTGATGGAAGAGCCAATCATTTCAGAAAGTCGAAAACCCTAATTGGCAGCCTTAATTAGAAGTAACACAAATTTTAAGCTTTATTAGAATTAATAGAAAAAATTGAATCAAAAAAGGAGCAATAATTTGAATTATTCAAAACTCTTAAAGCTCATATGCTGCCTCTGACAAATTGTGCATTCAATAAAAATGGAGACAAGTACTTACTTTGAGTTGATATAAAAATTAGGTTTATCACAGGTAGCTATGACAGAACATGTAAAGTGTGGGATACTTTTACAGGAGAGGAAATAGTATCTCTGGAAGGTCATAAAAATGTTGTATATTGTATTGCATTTAACAATCCATTTGGGTACTAAAGCTGAATTATATCAATAGGGATCGGGTGGTAACAGGATCATTTGATAAGACTGCAAAAATATGGGATGCTAGTTCTGGCAAATGTCTATAGACTCTAGTAGGACACAATTATGAAATAGTGTGCACATCTTTCGATCCTCATTCTTTAATTGTGGCTACAGGATCAATGGATAAAACTGCTAGATTGTGGGATGTAGAGAGTGGAAAGTAAATAGCTAGACTAGATGGACATGATGGAGAAATTGTTAGTTTGCATTTCAATTCAGATGGAGATAAATTATTGACAGGTTCATTTGATAAAACTGCAATGATTTGGGATGTTAGATCAGGCGAGTGTATTCATATGTTGGATGAACACACAGGAGAAATTTCAAGTACTTAATTTGAGTTTACAGGTGATTATTGTGCTACTGGATCTATTGATAAGTAAGTGGATATATATTTAATTTAGGACTTGTAAAATCTGGGATATCAAAACAGGTAAATGCATTGAAACTTTGAGAGGACACAAAGACGAAGTTTAAGACATCTGTTTCAACTCCACAGGTTCATCTATACCTTTATTCTAGGCACTAGATTAGTGACAGTTTCAGCAGATGCCACTGGAAGAGTATACAATGTGCATACTGGAGAATGCATTTCATAATTACTTGGTCACAAGGGAGAAATATCCAAGGTTCAATTTAATCCCTCTGGTAACAAGATCATTACTGCTAGTGCAGACAACACTGCCAGAATATTGTATGCTTTGTTATTAATAATTTATATAGTTCAGAAACTGGTGAATGTTTGTAAGTACTTGAGGGACACACAGATGAAATATTTAGTTGCTCATTTAATTATGAAGGAGACATCATCATTACTGGGTCTAAAGATAATACATGTAAAATATGGAAGGAAGCTAATCTTCCAGTCAAAAAAAAGTGACAAATTCATTAATAATATATTTATTATTTTCAGCAACTTTTATATAGTTTCAATTGCTAAATTCATGTGAGAATTAACCATAGAATAATTATAATTTATGATTTTTAATAATCATCTCCAAATTCTCATTTTATTAAATTCTCCAATTCTCCCTTCTAATCCAAATTCACTACATCTGTGTATCCACCAACAAACTTTTGTTTAATGAATACCATTGGAATTGTGCTCCACTTCAATTTAACTACGAATTCGTTCACTTATTTTTCGTGTTCCTTCTCCTTTGTGATGTCTCTGTATTCATAAGGTATATTTTTAGTCTCCAAAAAGCGCTTTAATTTGTGACAATATGGACAATAATCACCTCCATAGATTACCACAGGTTTATCTGATTTAATTTCTGAATGTTCCATAGATATGTTAACAATTTTATATATATATAATTATATTAATTATTTAATTTGCACGTATGATCAACAAGATATTGTTGCCCATAAACTTTAACTCTTATTTTGAGCAAAGCAAAGTCAATTAGATCAGGAGGGAGATGTGAGATTCATGTCCCTCTTTTCTGAAGTTCAGTTCAATTAAACTTAGAGGAGTAATATAAAGATAGAAATATATTAATCTTATAATTTATCTGAATGATAATAAGTCCACATATATATTAGGATTTTAAATATATATTATTAACAAATTTAAATATATATTAAAGATTATAAGATTTTTTAAGTTCTGAAAACTGTTGTTATTTAATACAATACTATCATTCTCAAATGAAATCCTTTAGTGTAGTACGTCCTTCATCAAATTTTTGGTCCAGACACTTGCTAGATTATAACGGAGTTATATATTGTCTTTGCTCTTGTATACGGCCAAATTATTAAAGATGAGGCTGAGTTTGCTGAATAGGTTACTACCATCCTTAAGAATTGATCATTTGTTGGGTTTGCAATTACATTAGACACTAGTTTAAATATTGGTTTCTAGAATCAAATTAATACACTTACTGTTGAAGAAGCATGTATGGATTCATGGACAGGCTGAGCTACATCAGTTAAATTTATTAGTTTAACTATAATTATAACGATTGAAATTATTGGTCGATGGGCGAAGTCTAAGTAGATTGGACTGGAGCCAACGATTCTTTTGTTTTATTGATTTCTTAAGGTTTTTCAGGTAGAGATTCTAACTTAGAAGTACTTCGTCTCTGACGTGTCTTCTTCTTCCCTACTCTTCCTTCCCTTCTGTAAGTTTACAAAATAGCTTTAGACGTGCTAAACTTAATTCCAAATTCTTGCGCAGCCTACTTTATTGTTGATTATTTGGATTAGACTCTTTTAATAAAAGCCATTCTCACTGCTGGTGTGATCACAGCGTATTTTTTCCTCGATTAACTACCATCATTTAATGACTCCATAATTTTAATATTTATAATTGATGAATTTAATTAAAGATAAGAACTTACATATTACATTAAATCATTATTCATAAGAGAAATTACATTAATATATCCTATACTTATTTTATACTAGAATAATAAATTAATTTAAATACATACAAAATGAATTAGGATATGATTATTATTGACGGTTCAAGCAATGAAGGAGGAGGTTAAATGTTCAGAAGTGCTTTAGCTCTATCTGTACTCTTCCAAAAACAATTCAAAATCACAAATATAAGATCTAACAGACCAAATCCTGGAATAAATAACTAGCTTCTCAATTAGATCACATTAATCACAAAAATTATAAAATCTGAAGTTGAAGGTCTTAAATTGGGTTCAGAAGAATTTTAATTCAGACCTCTTCAAAAGTTCTTACCTCAAGACATTATTTGCCCAGCTTAGACAGCATAAAGTATAACCTTAATCTTGTAATCTTTGTTACCTATCTCTATTAATGCTCAAAAACAAGTATCCATTACCATACACGGAGGAACTTATTTAAATCATTGTCCTACCATCTAAGCTTGGAGCACAATTTTCCTCCCGATAATAAACCAAATGGGTCTCAAATGCAATGTTAAGGTTTTAAAGGATGGCTACTATCCTTAAGGAGGAGGCTTGATTTAAGCTGTGCTTGAGCCTGTATAAAATACACTCAATTAATTAATAAAGAAAGAATTTACTAAAATTAATAAATTGAATTGCACTTATTTATTAGGGTCTCCAAGTGACACTCAAATATTTGATCAATAGATTGTGGATGAATTGAAATAATATGCTGAGAATGGCTAATTAATTATCAACAGCGAAATTAAAATAGTGAATTCAAAAAAGTTCAAGAAATGCTATGGGATTTCTCTGGTTAGTCATTCTAATTTAAATTCTTACGACTATACTATAATAAATGACAGCGATAAAACGATTGAAGAAACTCTAGCTAATGTAATAGGAAATACTAAATCATAATTGGAATAATAAACTTGCTTTGATGATCATCATTAGGATTAACTTCTTCTATTGATGGCTTTGGCAAAAGGTAAATCGGAAATTTTAGTTAGTAAGCCTTCCACTCACACTGAATCTTTAAAGTATGTGATTTAGAAATTCCTTCCAGAGTGCTTGATAGAATTTGAGAAGACAAATATAAAGGACAATTATATAATATCAGTCTAAGGAGTAGGTTATATGTTCGAATGAATAATTATATGTAACTAATATACAGAAAAAAACAAAACTAGACTCAATAAACACATATTCGCAATCTCATCGTTGCTTAAAATAATAATACTCTTATGGTTTCGTTATTTTATTCAAAATTTCTCCTATTTGGGAGAGATATTTGAGCTTTTCTTGTTGATCGCTTCTTAAGACCTAGGCGTAAGCATGTTTTTGATAGAATTCAATAGACAACTTTTAGAATAGGGCTTTAAACAGATCTTAGCATTATTATCCTTTGGAATCAGAATGACACAAGATCAGCATATCTTAAATGGCCTTTAATTCTAATTGTTAGAGCCACGTTTTGAAATGGGGCTTGAGATTAGTGTTATCTGAAAAGTAGGTTTCAATAATTTAAATTGCTTCTTCATGTTAAAAAATAAAATTCATTTAATTTTAGATTAGAACATTTTATATTTTTTTTTCTTCTATTATAAAAATATAACATATTATATATACCATCAATAGGGTAGAATCCTTTTTGTTAGATTTCGATCTATTTGATTAGTTCCTCCACTGCGTCATTTCTGTTCTCTTCGACTCGAAAGGAGGGGTTATTTAGAGTTCTTAATTATTTATTGGAATAGGCTTATTAAATTAGTTATTGTAGGAAGCTAAGAGGGATGGTTACAGTTGGATCTTGGCGAGTCTACTTTAGGATACATGATTACAATGGTTTCATCTGCTGGTTGGAAGCGTAGATTTAACTATGGATATTTGCGTCTTTCCTCACTATTGGCGATATCGTTGTGAATAATTTTGACAGGAGCATATTTTAAGTGGACATGATTGTTGCCATTGTGATGGTGATTGCTGTCATTAGATTCCATGTTTAATTTGGATGGATGATAACGTTCAAAGCTCATTCTTATAGACGATAAATTATAAATAAATTATTATATAAAATGATGAATTAAATTTTCATTATCAGGAATTAAATAAATTAAAATAATTATTGATAGATAATAAAAATTAATATAAGTACTTCATCATCATTATTATTTTACATTCTTATGAGACTACAAATAATATAGGAAATAACTGATTACCAATAGAGTTGAAGTTTTTTGTTAAAGTAAAGTCGTAGAATGTTTTGGCTGGATTTGCTCCTTGGAATCCACTAGTTATTTAAGTGTTTTATAGATGTTGACAGCTTCCATAATCTTATAATCCCCAATACTCCTACTATTATTTTGACTTCTATTAAAGTGGCTGTCTTTGTTTAAATAAAACTAGGATCAAAGGACATAATTACTTATTGTGTCGTATTGGCTTTGGTAGAACTAAGATCGTAAGTGTGGTTGGAAGTTTACTTTAAAATGGTTTTGACTGGTGAGGTCTTTTCACTTTCTGAATTTCTCTTTTGGGACAACTATTTCAAAGGTGGTTTTGGGATCTTACGCTCACTGGAAATCACTTTGCTGGACTTGATAACATTGGCTTCGATGTTGACTGATTTTGTTTTTTGTTTAACAATTTTTTTTTCTGATTGAGTGTTGATTTAAAGAAAATCATAGGGTTTGGATTAATCGTTAGTTTTCGATTCTTCAATCTTTCTCTGGTTGGAATAATTGCGTAGAGATTCAGCGAGTTTGGAATAAGAGTTTTCGGCTGCCTTATTGATTTTGTTAGATTTTTGTCTATTTGTATAATAGCTTTGATTCTTATTCTAAATTGAAGTTTTCTATTCAGATTTGGATAATTCAGTTTAATTTAATGTTTTGGTCAGTATTTTAGAATGGGAATATTGTTTTTCCAAATAGAGTGGCTTAGTTCTGTTGGTGTTATATTCATTTGTCATTTTTTGTATTTCCACATCAATATTGCCAATGTCCTTTAACAATGAAGTCTTAACTATTTTTTTTAATTGATTTTCTTTGGAAGTCTCCCCCATCCCTTAATTTGATTGATTGAGCTTTTAGGGTAATTTTGATTACTCATGTTTGGATAGGATATTATTTTTTGATTGTTACTGTTATTTTTGAACTCTAGTGTATTGATCAATTAAATTTCCTAATAGTTTTTTCTTTCTCTTGATAGAATATTTAGTGGTTACCTTTCCTCGAATATTAGAGCTGCCTCATCCTCATTCATTTTGCTCAACTTCATCCGCGTCAATTAATAAATTATTTATTAATTTTTAGTTATTATAATAATTATATATCAACATCGATCACTAAGATTAAATAAATTAGCCTGTCTTTCTATCTTGCTACGGTTGTTGCGTACAAAAGGGTTGAGGTTCCTCATCCGATCCGAAGAGAGACTATTCCATTTCTTCGATAGACTCCTTTTTGCTTTTCGGCCATTTTTCTTTTTCGTAAATTCTCCTGATCAAATCCTTCTTATTTTATTTCTTCGCGTGAGAAATCTGCGAATACGTAGTCATCACATCATCATCTATTGTAGTTTTATTAAGCTTCTATTGGAAGATTGAAGATATGTTTAAATCAGAATCTTAAAACACTCTAAATACAACTCTCTCCTTTTGGGACTCCAAATACACTTTCCCCAAAGTATATTACTGCACATTCTTATTTAATTGATACTTCTTGTGTACTATCATATATATTCGCAACACTTACATAGACTATCAAGAAAACCGATTTTTGGCTTGAGATCACTTAAATCTAATTAAGGGAAATGTTTTCGACTTGCCCTCCCTTTGATCTCTGTTGAGTGTATTTCCTTGCTCATTAATTTAAATATTGTTGTGTTCGATTTTCTTGACTTCGAATTATATATAAATATTAAATATTCTACTAATTCAGATGTCTAAATTGTTTATAATGCACTCGAGAATATAAAATATATTAACTATGCGATACCAGCAATTAATAACTCATGTAATCGACCTCATTAAATCTTACAATCCCATTATCCTGACTCCAGACTCTCACTGCGAACAATACATCCAAGACAATTGCAAGAAACTCTTCGACACCGAAATCATGTTTTTGAAACAAGTATCCATTTTGCACTCATTCTCAAATAGGTCTTCTCAGGAGTACAACGTTACGAGGAATTCCTCAAAATCCTCACAAAAACTATGTTCACTCTCTTGTCCAGCACGACCAATAGAAATGATGCCACTCTTTATCACATCTTCTCCTATCTCATTTTGTTTAGATTGGATGAACTACCCTACAATGAATTCAAAAAGATGGTCAACGAACAAGACCCAGTCAAAATGAATGTCCTCTTGCAATTTCTATTTGACATCGACAAAGTTATTACGCATGTCTAACCCCTTTGGATAGAAATCTACGATCCTCAATACATCCAAGAAACTGTGATTGGAGGCTTGGAATAGCATTTCCCCATGATGAAAGATCTATTAAGTTCTCTGAGTTCAAGAGCCACTGGCAAACAAAGCGAATTGGTCCAAGAAGATGAAAGACCTGAATCAGCTGCAAAAAAATAACCGACGAAAACTATGCCTTTCAAATTGAGTGAAACCAAGAAAAAGCCTGAACCACCTCCTCCTCCTAAACCAGAGTTATACAAAAGTAAACCTGTTCCAAGTAATCTCAATAAAAAAACATTGCAATAGATCGAAGAAGACAATAAGCTTAGATTTGAGCAATCTAAAAAAAAGGTTCAAGAAACCTACAAGGATGCAAAGTAATTTGAATTCAAAACAGATCTTCGACCAACCAACTATGAAACAGTCAAAAAAGAGGTTGAAGACACTCTAAATCAATAATTGTAGTTCAATATGAAAATTGCTAAACCTGCCCCTGCTGATTTAGAGACTGCTGAAATCAAATTAAATGCGGCAGCCATCTTGAGGGAGGAAATGCTATTGAAGAAGAAACAAGACATTGAAAGAGAGAGAGTCAAAAATCTGGAAGTCAATCTCAGAGATTCAGGAGAATTCGAAGAATGGAAGAGGTAACAAGAGGAAGAAGAGCAGATAGCTAGAATGGAACACTAATAATAAAAAAAGATAGAAATGGAATTGGCAAGAGAAGCAGCTATGAGAGCATAGGAGGAGAAATTTAAAGAGAATAGAATCTTGGCTGAAAAAATGAAGGTTGAGGCTGTGGAAAGATTGAAGGAAAGATAAGAATTGTAGTAAGAATAAGTTGAGTATAAAAAGTAATTAATTGAGCAAATTATAGAAGCTGAGAAGAAGGTATATTTGTAAGTAGAAAAAGTATAAGAGAAAAATAAGCAAATGGCTGAGGATTAGAAATTGGAAATGGCTAGGATGTTAGAATTGAAACGACAAGAAGATGAATAAATTAGAATTAAGAGAGAAGAATTAATTAAATAAATCAGGGAATTAGAAAGATAACCAATCAAAAGAACCAAGGGATATGATCCTACTGAAACTATGGGTTATGGTCTATTGGAAGAAATGTCATTAGCTGAATTAAGAGATAGACTAGAAATAGTGAAGGCGGAGAGAAAGGCCGAAGAAGAAGACAAAAGAAAGGAGATTGTTACTTAGAAGGATGAATACCTATCATCAATGCAAAGGAAGGTCTAAGAAATCAAAGCACACAGATAAGCTGAATCATAGCAGAAAGACATGGAGAGGGAAGCTAAGAGGATGAAAAAGCAAAAGGAGGAAGAGTTGAGAAAAAAGATTAGGGAGGAACAATTGCTTTAAGTGTAAAATAAGATTAGCAACAAAAAGTAAGTCAAGAGTGCTGAGGAACAAAGAATAGCAGCCGAAGTTAGAGAAACTAAACTTAGACAACAATATATGAATGCTAATAAAGCTATGGTGGAAATGAAAGCTTGGAAATCTCAATAGGATGGTATAATAGAAGAATAATTGGTTAGGTTTGGAGAGAGAAATCAAGAATAGACAGAACGAAAAATTGATTGTATAAGAGGGAGTCGAATCGGTTAATTTAAGGGAAAGGAAGATCTTGGCTGAGTAAGCTAAGAGATTAGTGAAGGCTAAAGTTGATTTCAATTAAGCATACGATCATGAATTGAAGACAGCTTATCAAATGAATGATTAGTTGCATTTAGAAGAAGCTGAAAATAGAACTCAAATGCACAACATTCAAAGAGAATGGAAGGAAGAACATACTAAAAATATGATCACTAGAGATGAGTATAAATAGAAAATATCAGAAACCTCATTGAAAAATTCAAAAAAAAAAAAATAATAATAAACTATTAAATAAGATTTTAGTAGATAATTAGAATAACTACCTTCAGCTTAGTATTCTTGATATTTCATCACATAATCAAACTAGATATTTATTTTTTTATAATATAATATGCTTGGTTATTTTATTAGATAAAATCACATCCCAAGAAATCTTTTTGTTTTATTAATTGTTTCTACTGCTGTCTTCTTTACCTTATCCATAACTGCTTCGCTAGTTTGTCGTTGGAATGTTTATCTAAATTTTGTTTAAATATGTAAAATACTGTGGATCCTATTTCAAGAGTTTCTGTGCATTTCTCAACACTAACAAAGTCTTTCTGATGGTATCTCTTTCGATTGTAATGTATTCAGGCTAAATTGTATAAAAACATTCTTACTTCAGACATCAATCCCATCACTGACTAACTTTTCATGATTTCATTGTATAATTAGAATTACATTTATTCTTAAGCTGCTCTAACTAAGAAATATCCTATTGCCTTAGGAACAGAATCTCTTAGGTTTCTTATGACAATTCTATAATATGCATCCAATCTTCTGCTCAATTCTTGAGCTAAAACCTTTTCAGGGTCTGTATCTTTATTGTTTGATTATGCAGCAGGTTTATTCGTAGTGTTTGCAGATGTATTTGCAGTGCCTGCAGCATTGTCCCCTGTTGGAGCAGCAGATGCATTTTTTTATTCTTCTTTATCTTCTTACTAAAATGATATAGGATATATAGAACATACTGGAATAATGCTGGCATTCATGGTTAAATAGTCTTGATCATTTGTGAAAATATATCCTAATTCAGCATCAATCAAATTTTCAACAACAACTTTAGTTTTGTTCTTTTATTCTGTCAGAACCTAAGAACTGATGTCAGAAATGGCATCTAAAATTGTTGGGAATCTGTAAAACACCTTTTTCAATATGCTATTAGACAATGAATCAACATAGGTAAACACTTCATTTAAAGTATCTATTGCAGGTTCCCTCAACCTCTCTAATTATGGCATGATTAAATATAAAAAGCTATCGAATGATGGGAATCCTGGAATAGAATCACCTTAATGTAATCTGATGGCTTCTCTAATTTCTCTATCTGTATACTCTCGACTGACTCTATAATTTTTGCCCGATTATCTAAATCTTAATACTGATAGAATACTCATTGTATAGTTCATTCAAGTAGAGTTTGACTTAGGCTCCTCCTGAGATTTGATTATCCTTCTGTTATGCTTATTTAACATCGAATTTTCCTCTTAATTTATTATTTAAATTTTCTGTATATTCAGTCAACATATTCCATATAATTTGCATCTTCTCCTTGTTGTCTCTTGGTAATCCTGGTCCTAATTGAGCGAGTTTGATTTCACAGTCTTATACTTTTTAATCGATTTCCCTGATGATCTGAGGTAAGGATGCTCGAATACTTTTGATATATAATAGATGCATACTGTTTAAACAAAATAGTAGTTAATTTCTGAATCAAGGCCTTTGTTCCCATGATGTCAGGAGGCATTTAAGAATATAATGGATGTTTTGCAAAGAAATCTGTCTCTCTTTACAATGCAACACCAACTCTGACCTTCTCAATGATGTCTTTTTAATTTCTGTTTTTTACACCAACATAACCCAATTTCAATGGAATTACTTGTCCCAACAATTCCTTTCTGCAATCTGTTCCTTAATCCATGATATCAATCTAGATTCACTATGAATTACTACTTTTGTAATAACACCCAAAGTTCTTGATCCTGTTGGATCTAATTTGATTGCTAATTGAAGTCCATCACTTGTTGATAAATCCTGATTGGCTGGACACACAGCCAAGATAATTGTTCTTTCATCTTAACAATAATGAGTGGCCATCTCCAAGGTGACTTTTTCGATGTCTTCTCTCTGTCCTTTTATTGCTATTCTTGTAATTCCTGGTAAATCGATCACTGTCAAGTCTGGACAATCTCGTGAATAGACAGTCATTACTATTGGGTCGGGGACAACATCTAGTCGATAATTTCACTTCAAAATACCTTTTGAATTTCCTGTTGCTTTATCTGTCAATTCTACAATGTATTCTCTAACCTTCTCAAAATCAAAGAATTTCTGATCTTTGCATACATCAAACACTGCCCATGGTTTTAATGCGTCAGGTTTATGTATCAATCTCATTTCCAAAGGTCTTCTTGTCACTATACCTTCTCCTCTTGGTAAGAAATCCAATCCAACAATGTTTTCCAAAAGACTACTTTTTCCTGCACTCTAACTTCCCAACACAGCTATTCTGGGTAATTTGATGTACTCCGAAACTCCTAAGTCTCTTAATTGATCAATGAGTGTAATCAGAGATCTTAAATTATCAAAGAGTTGTCCCTATAATGAACTATCTTATTATTCTGACATTATTTAATTTAATTTATTATAGTAGAATCCTTAATATTGAGATTTAAAGAAAATAAATATTGTTAAGGTGTTGCGTTGATACACTCATAATTTAACATGTACAAATCCCATAAATCCATTTCCTTTCTTATATGATATCATGTACTTTTTAAAATTACAAACAAAACAAAATAAGATTGCAAAAATTATAATCATTTGATATTTTTTT